ATTAAATATATTTTGAAAAATTTATTAATCAAACTTAATAATCAACCTAAACTTCATTCCTATACTTTTAAGTATGGGTGTTATTCACCTTAGTATTTCTTTAAAATAGTATAATAAAAACGATTCTTAACTTAATTTTCCTAAAAATAGAATTTTTAATTTTACAGATCTATTTTTAAGCATTTTAGCAATAACAGCCCATTTAGCTCCTCCTTTCTTATATTCTTCTAAAATGATTCTATCCTCATCTAATGACCACTCTTCATGTGTTATAGAAGGATCGATTTAATTCACATATCTATCACGCACTTATTTTGAAGTACGGCCTGCCAATTCTAAAAATTATAAAAAAATAGTTACTTTAACTTATCCTAATCCATTGTCTTCCAAATTCTTTATAGGCATCTATTAAAATTTGATCTTCTTCATAAGACCATTTTTTTTTAGTTCTTTTCTCTTAATCTTGAAGCTTTCTATATTTTTGAGAACATTAAGAGATATTTCTACCCTTGAGATGTTTAATAATTTATTTCCAATGGCCTTTGTACTTTTTATAGTAAAAAATTAGATTATTTATTTCTTTTTAAGTCCATAATTAACCTTTTCCTCTAACTATTCCACTAGCGTTAGTATGAATTTCATCTAAAAGGGGTTTAGTTTACTCTTTTTCACTCTCAGAATGGAGATCAACCTTAGCAATTTATTATTGAGCCACAGGATTAAATTGGAATGGTATATAATAAGGAACAAAGTAGTAAATAGGATTGGGTGAATTGATGTACATTGATATTTATAAACTTGAAATTAATGTTCTATAATTAAAGCCTTATTTATAGAATAGTCTATAAGTTGGTCTCAATAATATTGTTATTTTATTTAGATGATATAAAAAAATTGATCAACCTTGAGATTAAATTTTTTTTAAGGAATCTCTTAATGCATTATTTAATACTCTTATAAATTCTTTTTCAACTTTTATAACAAATATCTTGCTCAATGAAGCTCATAGCCCTTCCCATCATGCCAAATTTACATTTTCTTAATTTTCTATGGATGTAATTAATAATATTGTCATTAAAATTTAAGTTTATCTAATTACCAATATTTATTATTAAAAAAATGACTTATTTTAATTAACTTTATCAATCATTCTTCTGACAACTTAAAAATGACTAAAATTTATAAATAAATAATAACACAAGATCAACATCTGCGATATCGAATTTTCTCGAAGTCTAATTCTAAAGTTTTTTATGATGTTATTTCTTTGATTTTCTTTTAATCTCAGTATAAATATGAAGGGTTGACTTCATATTATGATAATCTATATTTCTGACTTTTAAATTTCTAATTTGTTTTGCCAAAACACTAAGTCTTTTTTATCCTTTAATTCAATTAATTAATATAACTTATTCTTTCAAAAATTATTATATTTTGGGTAATTATTTTATTGACAAATAATCCTTTTTCTCCTAATTTTAGGTTAATTGGATCTTGATTCCATAGTTTATATTTGCTAATTTTTTACACTTCTTAAGGCCAAGGGCATTAAGGAATAGTATTTATCTAATTGTCTGAATTCTTTCAAAAAATATCGAATTTAATCTTTAAAATCAATAATCTGCCACATTCAAAATTAAGATTCTAATGGTAAATTATCATTGATGAAAGCTAATAATCTCCCATATTCTGAAAAATTGATTCTATGAAGTTTAAATCTATAAGGTTAACTCTTTAATAGGAGTCATTACCAATATTCTTGGTCCAGTTATTGGATGGCTTAATGTATCCAAGATTCACTAAATAGAATGTTATAAAGAATTAAACATTTATTTTTCTTAACTTTTTGTAAATCTTAAAATTTTAATTAATTTTTATATTAAATGTTTTATTCCTTAACTAAAGATTAAAGAGACATGCGTAAAAAAGAAAAAAAAGCAAATTAAGTAAACTGTCCACTATGCCCTGCTTCTTTATAAGGACTTTTAAAATAAAAAGCATTTTGGTTGTTAAATTAATATATTGTTTTAGTATTTTTTGCTTAAATTATGTTTGCAAAACTCACATTGTAAAAAAACGAAAAGATCCTTTAATAGAAGATAAAATAGGAAAAATATGTAGAGAATGTGAAGATTTAATTCTCTATTAAAAAATAATGTCAAAGGTAGTATTTAAAATTCTATAGAAATTCAGCATTAAAAAAAAGAATAAGAACTTCAAGTATAAGATAAAGAGTTCTCTAATAATCTTAATAATGTGAATAGTTAATTTTAAGATCTTTTATCTTAAGAATAAACAATAAAATATTAAATTGATAAAGATTAAAAGGAACATGAAAAGAAAGATCAATAAATTAAATTAAATATTAAAGAAGCAGAAGATAGATAGAATTAACTTAATTAAGAGAGTCTTAAGTTAAGTGAATAATATCGTAAACTTGTTGAGATAAAGCAGGGTAAAGAGAAAGAAAAATAATTATTACAAGAATAACTTGAAAAACTGTATAAATTAATAATATTTAAGTTAAAATGATGAACAAGAAATTTAGCTTCAAAATTAGTAAATTCAAGATTAAATTAAAATTGTAAGCGAAAATAACAGCAAACTTACTTTACAAATAGCTTAATTAAGTAATAATGTTTAAAATGATGAAAGAGAAAAAAAATCTATATTTAATGCATACACCACCAGCAATTTTGGAACAATTTAAATTGATTCTAAATAAGCTTCAGAAATAATGCCTAGACCTTCTAAATAAAAAAAAGAAATAGATTAACATGTAAGAAGTGATGATGCATTTTGCTGTTATAAATTTATTCCTAGCAAATCCAAAAAACCTAAAAAGAAATGAATAATTTAACTAAATTTATCTACTGAATGAATTTTATTATATTTATTCATCAAAATTCATTTCAAATTTAAAAATTTGCTAATGAAGAATGTTTCTATTTAATATCAATTGCAAGAACAGCATTTTTATCTTAAACTTATTCACTAATACAAACATCATCAATAGAAATGAAATCTAATGTATTTTTTCTTATTTTCAATAAGTCTACGATGGATTTATCAATAGAATTTATTAATCTTACATTGATGGGATTTTCTAAATGATCAGCAACGTGTTTAAATGCATTTTAAGCATCTACTGCTCTTTAAAAATCACTTTTCATAGGCTTTAATATTGAATAATAATGCTAATTTATGCTAAACTATTTAGAATTTGGATCTAAAGGAATTGTTGGTTTTTAAAGATAATCAAAAACTTTAATCTAAGATTCTGTTAATAATATCATTTTCAATTTATCAATTTCTTGTAGTTTTTTCATTATATATATAATATCCATTTACTTAATAATTTTTTTGACAGAAAATTCAATTTAAAGACTTTTGTAATTTTTCGAACTACTTTATATTTTTATATTTACTTAACGAAACAACTTATAAAATATAAATAATCTGTCCATTTCATCTTTAGTTTTCTGGAAATGCTATGAAAATACTCTTTGATTGAAAATTCTATAGCTTTTGTTAATTATTATTTAGCTTCATCTTTTGATTGTGGATCAACAGCCATAGAATCAATTACTTCCATCTATTTTTTCTTTATTTTTATAGATTATAATCGTTAAAATGCTTTTTTTTTATTTTCGATAAATAAAGTTTCTCTAGTTGATTATAATTATTTTCGAGTTAATAATTCTTATTATGGTACATCTGCATTTTAATCTTCTCCTACTTTGATTGTTGCTGACTTTTTCTTCTCTTGTTCAAACTCAAATAAAGAATTCAAAACTCTAACATAATATGATAACATATTAATAGGTTTCTGTAAAAGTAATGCAACGGTAAAAAATACTTACCAAAGTCCTCCCATTTAACTTAAAATAATTTGAATTTTTGTGTAATGTCTATAATATTATTATTCAATCTAATCTAATCTTATTGCGACATTCATAATTAAATCACTCTCATTTAAATCAATCATTTCTGTATGTCTTTTATATCTTAAGCCTTGATCTATATAATAATCTTCAGAAATAAGTCCAAGATCTGTTAATATAGTAATTGGTTACATATAAAAAGAAATTTCTTTAAAAATCTTACTAGATATTGTAGTGAAAATGTCTTCACCTTTAGAATTAAAAGGTTATTCTTAATTTTTGACATCGATAACAAATGATGACATTTATAGAGAGAAATAATTTTGTTCTAAAAGTTATTTAATTTCATTTCTAGATTTACATTCCTTTGATTTTTTTGTTTGATCGTTACACATTTTAAATTATAATAATATAAAACTATAAGCTGAAGAGTCAAAAGTGCCTTCCAAAGTTAACTAATCTATTTTATTCCAATCAATGCAATAATTTGTTGGTAAATTTATATGAGAAAAATATTCTTATAATTCAACCTATCTAATAAGTTCTGAAGTACAAGGAGCTAATGGAATTTCCTTTGAAGTCCATTCATCAATTTTTTGATTATCAAAACTAAAAATACTTAAGATAATTAATACGTTTTGGTTGTCTTTGTTGTAATTTTTGCTTCCACTATATAGATTGATTCATCTATATATGTAGCGTAATCTGAAGATTAAATAGCAAAAGTTAATGTGAAATTTTTATCATTAAATTTGAATTATTCTGGTTATGCATGATAAACCTCTGTGGTTAGTGAAGTCGGATTATTTCTTTGCCCTAAAGTATAGAGATTAACAATTAGTAAATAAAGAAAGAATGAAATCAATCCTAAGGTTAAACAAGCCCCAAATAAAGTTTTATGTCCCTCTTCTTGTTTTATTAAAAGTTGAACAGGTTACTAAAATATATCCACTTTCTTAAGATTTTTCAAAGCCTTTTTCTAAAAATTAATAAACATTTTAATTATAATAAATTATTTAATTTAATTAATAATAAAATATTTAAAATCCCTGATATTTATGATTTAACTATTTTTGATTACTTAATCAATCTAATTTTATTATCAGCATCAGCATAAAAATAATTAAAAAAAATTTATTTTTTCTTATTATTGGTTTTTTATTTTTATCCAATGATTCAATAAGAATTATTGAAAGTTTAAATTACGATATTTTTTATTTTTCTTTAAAGGATTCAAACTGAATTAATCTCCTAGATAATAAAGTAATACAAAATAATTTTTTAACTATTTCCTTAAAGAACTTCTTATAAAAAGTTTGCAAATTTATAGTTATTTCTTCCTCATCAGCATGTTTATTGTTTTCAATTTAAATTTAAAAATAAAAATCAATTATCAAACTATTTAATTAGATGAGTTGGTTTCTCATAAAATAATTTAATTTGAGTAGAGATTTTTCAATTTTTCTATAATGAATCAAAAATTATTTATTTTTGCTTATTCAATAGCTATTATACCTATAAATTAGGAAAAATACTTTTAAAAATCTAAAATTTGCTAATAATTCTTCAAAAATGCCCCAAGTTGAAAGCCCTTAGTTATAATATCCAAATTAAGCAATATAAAATAATTATTAATTGGAATGGTATTGATTCAAACATAAAGAGAAAGAAAAAAGCTGAAATTATAAATTATTATATGTATTTTATAAATTTTTTTATCTATTTAATAAATTTTAAGGAATGAAACCATCTAAATCTATTATATATAATATGTCCTTTTTAAAATATTATATTATTTCTAAAATATATATTTTTTTAATATAAATTATAAAAATGCTGAAATTTAATTTTTTTATTAAGGATAAAATTTTAATCTTTCAAAAAGATGATTGTTTGAATTATAAGAAAAAGTAAAAATATATGAATATCTTTGATCAAATTTTATTCATATTTATAATTAAATAAATATATTAAATATAATTTTAGATATAAAGAAAGTTAATAATGAGCACTAAAAATGTTTAATTTTAGGTAGCATAAAAAGAATTCTTTAAAAAAATGCTAAAATAAATAAATAATAATTTTTTTTCCAGCATTGAATAATGTACTATTAATATTATAATTGAATCACTCCTTTAAAGCAAACTTTCTCAAAGGGAAATTGTTTAATTTTTTCCATTATCTTGCAGTCTTTTAAGCTATAAGAATAAATTTGCAAGTTTTACCTCTCTCACTTCTATTTAATCTTTATCTGATTGCTCTTGTTTTTTTTCCTCTAAGATCAACTGGAAGTCTTGAAGCATGCTTTGTAGTTGTTTTAACTTAATTTCTTCTTTATTCATTAATGACTGTTAAAAATTTTGCAATTCTCTTTCTAACAAGCTGATTATATTATTTATTTATTTACTCCGATTCTGCCAAGTTTTTAAGCATTACCAGCAGAAACTTTAACTGTTCTCAATTGAATGAGCTCACCTTTAAGTTTTTCTAAATCTTTTAGAAGATCTTCTGGCTTTTATTCTTTAAGCTTTCTCACTTTGAACTTTTAAGACATATTTTAAAAAAGGATTTAATTTTTTATTAAATATGAGGAATTGTTTAGATTAATAAGAGAATTATAAATTATCCATGAAAATAATAAAACAGATTTGAAGTATTGATTAATAAGGCTTTTTTAGAGATAGATAAAGAAAGGATAAATTTTTAAGAATTTGTAAACAAGGGTGAGATTGAAATGGGTTTTATTTATTATAAATTAAAGGGTTAATTAAAGAAAGTACATAAATTTATAATGAAAAGTACCTATAGAGTTATAAAAGTCATTAATAAATAAGATATCATAAATTATGTAAAGTTTATAAAATTAGAAAAATGCGATAGAATATGGTAATAATAATCCATTTATGATCAAATTATATACTCATTTCAATCTGAATAAAAATAGTATTTAATTATGGAGTACAGATTTTATATATACTTAAAAGATATTTCAATGGTGGATAATTTCTTAAAATATTAAATAGATAACCCTAAAAAGATATAGATTGAAGAATCTTAGTTCTGAATAGCAGAGATAATACTTGTTCTTGAATATTTGCATGAAATACTCTAGATGATATATAGAGATAGGAAACCAGAAATATTTTATTCGTGTTTTTGGATTATCTAAAAACATCAATCAGCTAATATAAAATTCTATGCAGTATTTAAATAAATAAATTAAATTCTTATCGATAATTTAAATGGATGGTATTTTTGAATATCTGGTTTTTGAAATTATAAGAAATATTGAATAGGTGCTTTGCGATCTTGATTCATGAAATTTTAACCGAAAGAACACTTTAAATATTGAAGATTATGCTTGCTTAATGATTTATATAGGAATAATATTGCTAATTTAAAAGTTAATCAACAAAAGATAAATTTATTCCGAAAAAGATTCTACTTAAGTGGCCAAAATTGATTAGAATTTTGAAAGTTTTTCTGCCAATCAAGAAGAATTTTAATTGAAAATTTCCTTATGTTAAAATCATTCTTAAAAATATTATGAAATTTAGTATATTTGAATTTTAAAATATCTTTAATAGTTTTTACAATTTTCTTTTCATAAGTTAATAATTTAAATAAATTTAATATAGCTGTAATAATTTGAGTTTAAATTATTAACTCAGTGATATTATTAAAATAGATTTTATTAATCATTTAAGATAAAACATATTCTTCTAATTATATTAATTATTTTTTGTTTAATGTAGAATAACACAAAGACTGTTGTATATGTAATATTTAATTAAATTAGATATAATTCAATTTTACCTTTTCTGATATATGTATAATTAGTATAAGAATTATAGAATTTTCAAATAATAATAAATTAATTCATATTACAATGTCTAAAATCATTTCTAGATTTAAATTGATTTTTAAGAATGAAAAAGTTTTTTATTTGTCTGAAGTATTGGCATCTCTTCAATGGAACAATCTTCTGGTATATCCTCACACTATTATTAAGGCATTGTAGTGTCTTGTAAAATTTTTCTAGTTTTTTCAATTATCAACTAAGATGATTTTAGTCGAATTACTGGCTCCTTGCGCCTTTCAATATATCCTATTAAGTAATTTTATAATGTTGCAATAACATATGGTTTGTGCTTATGAATAGATTTTTGGAATAGGATGTTAGAAACATCTTAATTTTCATATTATTTAATTTCCATTTAACCTCCAGGGTGTTGTGTGATGAAATCTGTTAAATCATATATTGCCCTCTTATAGACAAATAGGGATAGTTGATTTCTTTTTGCATAAAATTACATTTCTTGTATATCATTAAAATATAAAAGTTGATTCATATTAATTATCATTTCTTAATATCAAGAAACTATTTTACATTTTATTTAAATCTCAATTAAAAGAATTTGATAAAATATATTATTAGTTGGAATATGTATTGTTGTCGAAAGAAAAGCTACATAAATGAATTGCAATTGACTCAACGGATATAAAATTAAACTTAATTTCTATCACTATTATTTTTATTATTTTATCTAATTTTAATTATTCAAATCGATATTATTTCTAAATATTTATATTCATTATCTACTATTAAGAAATATATTTTAACTTTAAATTTTATATAAAGTTTGCTAATCATCATAATCTATAAAAATATTACTTCAAAAAAAGATTCTAATTATTTCTTAATTAGTATTTAACGATAAAAAATTATATTTATTATCATTTAATTCTATTTTAATTAAGAATTCACTTAAAATTTGATCAATAAATTGATTGAAATATCTTTAAAAAATCAAAAGAATTAATGTTATTAGAGATGATATATTATATTACAATATTAACTTGTTCAATAATAGTTGAAATAAATAGTAATAGAAGTTTTTTTATATTTTGTTTATTAATGAATACGTTGAGAAAAAAAAGTGTTTTCCAAGTAAAGCAAATCAAAACTCCTTCAACAGAATCTACTATAAGAAAGTCATTGCAATCTAGATCTAAAAGGGCTAATACTGAATATAATTATCCAGAAGTCAGTCAATTTGAACCATCTAAAAAAAGGAATAGAGAATAATTCTTACCATAAACACATCAACAATATTTAAAAGCAAAAAGAGATATAGAATATACAAATAATTTTTAACAAAGAAAAAGATAATAAACTTAGCATAACGAAATTCCTTTTGATTTAAAATAAGCATATATCATCAAAAGACAATCAGAAACAGGGAGAAAAATATTACATAAATCTTCTTTTGAAGAAAGTGTATCTTCTCTTATAACAAAAAAGAAATTAGATTCTTTTGGCAAAGAATCTTTCTTACTTCAACCAATAAAAAAAGAACCAATTTTTGAATAAGAAAATTTGGGATACCCAAGTCTTCATTAAGAATGGGATAAAAGATGGGAATCCTTATTTGAAACTTTCTTTGAAATGAAAGCAGTCAAATCAAAAAATATATCCTAATAAATTGAAACTCGTAAAGATAGTAGAGTTAAATTTAGTAAAGGTATTGTAATGAAGTATAATTAAAGATCAATCATTAATAAAATTAATAATGATGAGATTAATATATTAAAAAGAGAATTATCTAAATAGTTATCATATAGAGATATTTAGAGATTAGATCCTATTTTTTAAAAGAACAAATTTTTTGCTAGATTTAATGAAATCATAAGAAAACTTATTATTCAGTAATGCTAATTAAGAGAGTATTAGCCTGATTAACTTGTATTGTCAAATGAAATTAATCGTGATAAAGTATTTGGAATAGTTTTAGGATCATGTAAGGTTGTGATGACTTCATTCAACAAAAATCAAGAAATTTTAGGTAGAATGGTTATCAGATCAATTTATGATGGATACCATATAAATGTTGATAATTTATTAATTGAGAAAAAAATAGAAGATATAAAATAAATGAATGATATATCAGAGGCTAATTTATAGCAATATGTAAAGAGTGAAATATATGCATAAGAGAAATGTATCTTAATAGAAATAAGTAGAGAAATATATGATAATGTATTAACTTATGCTATAGACGAGGGAATGAAAGAAAAGATTGAACTTTTATAAAGGATAAAAATTTTAGGATGTAATAAAGATTTAAGACCTTTGGCAGCAATATTACATCATCATTAATATAAATTTGGAGATTTAATTATATCAGCTTAATAAGAAATCAATCATTGCTATTTTATAAAGTCTGGAAGAGTTAAAGTGACAATTTGTACTAGAAAATAAAGAGAATTATTTAATTATTTGACATAAACAACTCAAACAGATTTATATGATTTTTAAGAAGAAACATCAATTATAAAGACATCAAAAAATATTGATCATTGCGGTAAGATTTTAAGAATGAATAAAAACAATTGTCCTATGATGGAAATGAATATTCATATTGATATAAAAAACTTAGAAGTTGGAGAATTTTTTGGAGGATCAAGTCTACTAACTCAATAAGAGATAAAAGTAACGAATAGATATAAAAAAGATAAAATTGCATTGGTTAGTTTGATAGCTTTAACACCAATTGTAGAATTATATTCAATAGATAGTATGGAATTTGAGACTTTGCCAGATGGTTTTTAACATTAATTAAAAGAGTTAAGTTCATCATAGTCAGAATTTGATGATTTTGATGTTAATAAAATTGTTAATGATTATGATTAATGGTCAATTTTAAAGCAAGCATATTATAAAAGTTTAGTAAAAAATTGAATTAAATTAGACTAATATGAATTATTTGTATTCAAAATTATTATTTTCGATTAAATTATTGTAAAAAAAAATAGGTTTAAATTCTATAAATTTGTTAAAAAAGCAAGTATACCGAAACTTAAATTTTTGATAAAATGATTACTAATTGTATATATTTAGAAAAAACTAGGAAATATGTATTTTGGAATAGAATAGATATTTCTTTAGAAGTTTATGAATAATTTTAGATTTGATTAGTAGTAGTAATATGGATTAGAAAACCAGTTCTAAATTTACTCTATAAAATCAGATTGTATGTTTTTTATTCATTGAATAATTGGATTCAAAATATTTGACAGGCAACATATCGTTTATGTTTTACAATATCTCTCAATTCCTTTTCACTTAAGGAACTTCTGGTACTATGTCTAATTTCATTAGCAAATTAAGCACTCTTTCTAAGAATATTGTTTTGATTAGAATCTTATAATTTTAACTAATCAATGTTTTCATTAGAATTAGAATTTTGGATTTAAGATGTGAGTACTTCATTTTTTCTAATTTAAGAGTTAAAATATACGTTGTTAGAGGGGTTTATATTGGTTGATAAGCAGAATTGGAACTATTAATATGGGTAATATTATTTACAAGGACTAATAATTATTCATTATTTAATGATATTAATTATTGAAGGGTAACCTTTAATGAAGAAATATAAGATCTCAAATTCAAATAGATAACCAACTAGAAGCATCGGAGTTTCAAGGATTTCAACAATTCCTGAAATTAGAGATGAAAAACCTTCTAAAAAAGAATTCAAACATAATGTAATAAGTCTAAAGGAATTGGTTCGTAAGAATGTGGAGAGTAAATTAATAAAAACACCAGAACCTCCTCTAAAAAGAAAGGTAATAATACCAGAAGTCTCGGAAGAATAATTTAAGTCTTAAATAACTCCATCAATCTGTAAATAAAGAGTGATCCATTTATTTGCAAAGAGAAAACTCTATATAAAATAATTCAATACTTCACTTTCTTCGTTTAAATTAAGTTGAATATCAAAATGAATTATAAATTAATGAATCATTATAATCTAAAATCTCATTTTTCTTTTTTTATAATAAATTCAAGGTGTAAAAATACTTATGCCATTATAATTGACATTCAATGTAAAAATTAAATCAATCAGTATCATAGGACTCTTAATTTTGCATTTTATCATGAAGATCATCCACTTATTGTCTCTTCAATTTTTCATTAATAGAATAGGAAATAAAATTACCAACAAAACCAATTCCAAACATTATAATTAAAGTAATAATAGAACTGCTTTCTGAATCGATCTAAATTTTAATTAATTAACATTTACTTTTAGTATAAGAATTTCAGGAATAGCTTATATAAAATTTAATCCATTTCCAATCAATCCTAAAAATGCAATAGTAGAAGTTTCACTTACAGGGAAACTAATTTCACATGAAAATTCAAATGTTAACGCCAAAATACTAGAACATAGACATACAAAGAAATAACAAATATAAAATAACCAATGAAGTTTGAAAACAAGACTTAAAATAAGGAAACCATAAAAAAATGAAGTGGATGCATTACAAATTTGTAATACTAATTTATATTTTCCTAATTTTTTTACAGCTGAACCTACAACTATATCTCCAAGTAATCCTGCAATAACTCCTACAAGAATAACGTTAGAGATTTATTCTAAATTATATCCAAAAGGTTTCACAACATATTCCATTTATACAGTAAGCAGCAAGACTGGCCCCAATATTAGAGAGAAAGCTAGAGCCAATTTTAAATAATCTTGATTTCTATATAACATTTTGGCTGCATTTGAATAATTTTCTCTAACACATTACTAAAATATATATTAGATTTCTTTACTTCAGAAGCACTATATGATGGAGGATGTTTTGGTTTAGCCTTAAAAAAAAATAATGTTGGCACTGTTGTAATAAACATAATTCCTGCCAAAAATGCCATTAGTTAAAATACATTTGTTTTACCTTAAGAATAATCATTTAATGAATCTTATTCCACATCATAATCACCAAATATAAATAATGGTATTTTAATAGATATTCCTGTACTTGAATTAAAAAGAAGAGCAATTATAACCATAACAATAATTCTATTCTTTGGATAAAACCAATTCGCTGTAAATTTAGATGCAGAAATCAAACGAAAAGGAAATCCAACTAAAGAAACAAGTTCTCCAAAATAGAGCCACCAAAATGAATAATTTACTAGCAATGCCATTAATGATCCAATAAATGTGAGAAGACAACCTTTATATTTCTAAACAATATATATATACCTAATTTTATATTATATTATATTCCGTATTTTTCGCTTAAAATATTTCCAGGAATAATCATAATTGCTGAGAAAAGAGTAAAGCTAACACTCAATAATTAGAGCCACCTAATTCTATCATATGTATTACGTCTAAGAAACTCCATATATTGCTGAAATTTCTTTTGTTATAGGAGATAATGAAAATCCAAACATGATATTGGAAATCAAAGCTCCTAAAAACAGTGTTAATTAGAAATATCGACTTCTTGTTTCATAGTATTGATCAGTGCTCTTTGAGTTTAAAGTCTCATCTAATAATTTCATCACTTTATATTTTAATTATTATGATTACGTATGTAAAAGAATACTATCTGAAATTCTAATAAAATATTCAAAAATTTATTTATTAATAAAAATAATCGCAATAATCTTTGAACATTGATTATAATTCTTTATAACCTGGCTAATCATATAATTCTTGCATTTGTTCTTTAGTTGACAATCCAAGAATGCAACAATTAGTTGTGCTTTCATAATTCTAATGCTTATCATCTATTGTAATTACAACATCTACATAATTGATCTATGTAAAATCACAGAAAACAACTTGTTATTTCTTTTTGAAATAAGTATTAAAATTACATTATAAATGGCATCACTATTCTCATAAACTTTAAGATTGTTAAATTGATCAATAAATAATTAATGCAACACTGATGCCAATATTTTTATGGCTTCTTTATGGTTAGGAATCTTTGGATATTATGAATACCATTCATGAATCAATAAAATTCTTTGGACTATTACTTAAATGAATATATAATCCATTTAAATCATTTTACTTACTTCTGCACTCACTTATCTCTAAATATATGAATCTCTTACCCAATTGTAACATTTGGCCTTAAATATACACGATCACTTACAAACTTAGGATGTGCTGGTAATAAAAATCCTCCTTATGATGAAAATTTCTTTATAAATTGTTTATGTTCATCACTTAAGGAATTTTTAGTTAAGAATGGCAACTTCTTAAACAAAATTGTAAGAATTTAAAAAACTATTTTAGATTTTAATTCAATATCTTTATTGTCGAAGATATTTCAATTTTTAGTAAAATATCTATTCTTATTACATTCAACAACAAGCAAAATGAAAACTTCTTTATGGTTCTATCTATATCTAATTATTCAATTACAAACTCATGATCAAATTTGTCAATTTATAATTAAGCTTCATTTTCATAATATTTTTGTCTTCGATTCAACCAGACCCTTTTTAAATATTTTTTTAAACCCATTCCTATTCTGATAAACCAAAAAATTCCACATAACTTTCTTCTCAAATTAATTTTCTCATCATCTTTAAATAATTTAGGTTTTTTTGTTTTTATTTTAACAGAAGATCTAGTAAATTTACTCACATAACTATCATGCAGAGACCCTTTACTTGTTTTATTTTAATATGATTAATCACGACCTTAATCCTTTTATCTATCCCTTTATGAATGATATCTGTTTTATTTTGAATCATCTCTATTATAATCATCAGAATAATCACTATAATTAGAATCTCTTCTTCTATGATTATCTCTCTCTCCTTTTTATAAGATTTTTAGAGCTAACTTTTTATATGGATCAACTTTCTTTTTTGGTGCTTAATTCTAAGATTACTAGTACTACAAATTTTGAGGCATGTGAAAATAATGATTCATATACATATAAGGAGGCATTAATGGCTATATTTAAGGTTGTTGAATAGTTGGTATATATTATGGTATAATAAAAGGATTTTACACTTGATTAGTTTTTGGCCCAGTTTCAATATTGTTTATTTATTTTCTCAGAGTTTTGATTTCTTCTAAAAGCTCGAAAGTAAACTAATCTTTTTCATTAGGTGATTTGAATTGATGATTGAATTTTGGTTTATAAGATTCTGTTTTAGATTCTTTAACTAAATAAACTAGTTCTTTCAAGGTTTCCTTTTGTTCATCCAATTTCTTTCTCAGTTCTTATATTTATTTAGAGTCTCTAAAACCATTATTATCTATATCAGGCAGATGATTAGCAGTCTTAAACATTATAAATATATTTATAAAATAATACTATAAGAAATCAAATTTATTTTTCAACTTCATCATATACTCCTTTTGCAGGATAAGGTCTAAGATATTTTGAATTGAATTCTTTATAATACATAGTATGATATTATCCTTTGTATGATGGATTAAGAGGCAAATAAGGTAGTTTTTAATTTTTCATTTATTTAGCTCTATCAGATTCAAGGGAAACATTAGTAGATTTCGCGAATGATGTAGTAGTAAATTTTATATGAAGTGGAGACAAAGGTGATCTTATGCTAAAAAAATTTTATTACTTTTATTGATAAAGCCCTTTTGTGTTTTAATAGGTACATTGTAGAATTCTTAATATTAATATCTTTAGTTGCTTCTACCAGTGAATGGAAAATTTTAAACTATATTTGAATTGTTTTGAGGTATCAATCATGGAGTATCATCAACTTTCCAATTTTTATACATATTCTTGTATGTAGACAATCATGAAAAAGATCCATAATTTGTATTGTTTGATTTAGATCCTTTTTATATTTTTACACTAGACAAATATCTCGGATAATCATGATATTTATGATCATTATTAAAATATCTTATAAGTTGTAACTCTTTTTATATCACCTTCTTGTTTAGGGTTTAAGTATAAGTTTTAATTTTAAGGTGAATATTTATCAGGCATTTTTTATATAGATTTTTATTAATATATAGTTTTATTAAGATGAAGATTTGGTTTATTTATATAGTCAATTACAATGATATTTCCCACTATTACATAAATTACTTAAACATTGTCCTATTCAACTAATATCATTAAAAGATGGTCAAAATAATACTTATTTTTATTATTATTTTAACCTAGTCGATTCTTTTGATGATTTTTCAAATTCTCAAAAACCTTTCATAAATTTTCAAAATACTTTTAATTATGTCTAATTTAACCCTCTAGATGAATTGAAAAGTTTATTTGAACTAGATTATCTTTTAATTATTTTTTATTCAGCCATATTTTATGGTTTTGTTTAATCTATAGTCGCAATATTATTAATAATATGAATTCACTGAAATTTACAAAATTTCTTGAATTAAGATTTTTAAAATGTTTATTTATAAAATTTGATAAGTCATATACCTAATATTAATCATATATGGATAGTAATTTATTGTTGTACTTGAATAATAAGTTGATTAATGATAAAATACTTATTACAATAAAATTAGTAAAAATTTTCAAATGTTTTATTTTGAATAAATATTCTATCCATATTGGAATCTACTAAATGTTTAAGAATTTAATTCCTCTAGGTAAAGTATTTTTAAAAAGAGAATATTTCAATTTTCCTTTCATTGTGATATATTGTGAATGTGCTTTTAAACATTCAGAGTAAATAAAAGCAAAAAAAAAAACCTACCCATAAAGAAAGCAATTCAACAAAATTTTAGAATAGGATTATTTTGAGTAACCTCAAGCTTCGAATTAAATGACTATAGTTTAAGAATCAGAATACCAGAAAGTTATGTTTTTGATAGGAGAGAGAGTGTTTTTTTCATAAAATAGAAGTCAAAATTTCAATAAAAAAATAGATCAGATTCTAAAATTAAGATTATCATTTACATTAACAGTAAAAATAAATTTAAGTAGTCAATATGTAAGCGATGATGAAAATGAAGGTAAAAAATCCTAACGATGAAGAGAAAAATCAATTCAATCTATTAATAAATCTCTATATTCAAAATTTTTATTCTAAAAAGAATTTAACTACTAATTTAACATTTTTTGGATTGGAGATAATAAAAATTGAAATCTTAATATTAAAAGGAGAAATCCCAAGAGCTTCTTCTAAATTGATTATGAAGATGAGAGAATTATTAAAATATTTTTATCATTAGAATATTATTGCAGATATAGTTAATAATAAGATTATTCAGAATGTAGGTATTTTAAGAATAGAGATTTCAGATATGAAAATTAGTTAGATTAATCTAAATATCTTCTCATAAATTGAACTATCTGTGATTAAAAATGATTAAGAATTATAACTAAAACAATTCAGTCTAATTTTCAATATAAGTAATAGCTAGCAAAGATCCTTGAAGAAATAGTCTAAAAATTAAAAGTAAATAAAGAAAAACTCAAATCCATTAAAAAAGAAGTAAAACTAAAATAGAAAGTTGATTTAATTAATACAATAATAAATTTTATTTAATATGGAACCATAAATCAAAGAATTTGTAAGTTCATTACTAAATACTTAAATTACTGAAACTTTGACTCTCTCTGATAAGCAGAAACAATTAAACCATTAAACTGGACTAATGTATATATTATTCTTCAATTTACTTTAGATGTTTTCTTTAAGGCTATTGTTTAGAAATCGGATTTCAAGTTCAACCAAATATCAATTAAGCTATTACTCATTATTTGCACGGTGTCAAGTACTTTGCAGATCCATTATGTGCCCATTAATTGGAGCAATATTATACTAAAAATAAGAATAAAGTTTTGGCTACCTTGTAAGTAANAGAGTAAATAAAAGCAAAAAAAAAAACCTACCCATAAAGAAAGCAATTCAACAAAATTTTAGAATAGGATTATTTTGAGTAACCTCAAGCTTCGAATTAAATGACTATAGTTTAAGAATCAGAATACCAGAAAGTTATGTTTTTGATAGGAGAGAGAGTGTTTTTTTCATAAAATAGAAGTCAAAATTTCAATAAAAAAATAGATCAGATTCTAAAATTAAGATTATCATTTACATTAACAGTAAAAATAAATTTAAGTAGTCAATATGTAAGCGATGATGAAAATGAAGGTAAAAAATCCTAACGATGAAGAGAAAAATCAATTCAATCTATTAATAAATCTCTATATTCAAAATTTTTATTCTAAAAAGAATTTAACTACTAATTTAACATTTTTTGGATTGGAGATAATAAAAATTGAAATCTTAATATTAAAAGGAGAAATCCCAAGAGCTTCTTCTAAATTGATTATGAAGATGAGAGAATTATTAAAATATTTTTATCATTAGAATATTATTGCAGATATAGTTAATAATAAGATTATTCAGAATGTAGGTATTTTAAGAATAGAGATTTCAGATATGAAAATTAGTTAGATTAATCTAAATATCTTCTCATAAATTGAACTATCTGTGATTAAAAATGATTAAGAATTATAACTAAAACAATTCAGTCTAATTTTCAATATAAGTAATAGCTAGCAAAGATCCTTGAAGAAATAGTCTAAAAATTAAAAGTAAATAAAGAAAAACTCAAATCCATTAAAAAAGAAGTAAAACTAAAATAGAAAGTTGATTTAATTAATACAATAATAAATTTTATTTAATATGGAACCATAAATCAAAGAATTTGTAAGTTCATTACTAAATACTTAAATTACTGAAACTTTGACTCTCTCTGATAAGCAGAAACAATTAAACCATTAAACTGGACTAATGTATATATTATTCTTCAATTTACTTTAGATGTTTTCTTTAAGGCTATTGTTTAGAAATCGGATTTCAAGTTCAACCAAATATCAATTAAGCTATTACTCATTATTTGCACGGTGTCAAGTACTTTGCAGATCCATTATGTGCCCATTAATTGGAGCAATATTATACTAAAAATAAGAATAAAGTTTTGGCTACCTTGTAAGTAATCTCATATAGCATTTAGTTGCAAAGCTCTTTATTATTTACTAATTGATTTGATTTATGAAATTAAACATTCACTTAAGAAGGTTGAATGTGAAAAATATAATGAAGCAATATAAGAATTAGCTCCAACTCCAGATATTCCTTTGTAATAATTAAGCCCTTTTCTTAAGGCTCTTTTTATTTTCAGAGAAAATGAATCGCAATAAAATTATGATTCACTTTTAATTAACTTTGAATAAATGAATACCAAAATTCATGCTTATCCAATACTGATTAAATAATTTACTTAATAAACAAAAAATCCCGATAAATGTCCTGATATAATTTTTAAATAATGTTAATTAGTTAATCCAGAACCCTTTTTAAATTAGGTATAAATTAAAATTTGATATTAAGTTAGTGTTTATATAACATTTTTCTTTACGGCTAGATTGATGCTTCACATTTGAACTCTATTCGTCAGATTATTTTCGAGTTGAGTTTTCTTCATAGACATGAACCTTATGCTTAAGTGATTGAACAATTTTATTCAAGAGGAACTCAAAATGCAATACATAAAATCCTTATATTATAAAAAAGAGCTAAATAATTTAAAGATCATTAATTAAAGGATGAAGAAATCAAATTTATAGAATTACAGAACTCGGTGATTAGTCTTTATTTATTAGGGAAACAATAAAAAGATAAGTCAAAAAATTGTTTTTTATGTAAGGCTAAAGAACTTCTAAAAAATCCATGGCCAGAAAGTCCTTATATTTAATTTGTTTATATGTTCTATAAATCTAAGTTGGAATTACATCATTAGAATCATGATGGTTATACTAAATTGATTGATTCAAATCTATTTGAGGAATGTTAATAGTTTTATGACCGAAACTCCATTCATTTCAAATAGGTTAGAACATTTTAATTTTATTCAATTCGACGTAGATTAGATAAATAAAAAGATAAGATTATATTTTAAAATAAACAGATTTAAACAATGTTTGATTAAAAGAAAGTTTAATAATTAGATCTATCTAGAGGCAATTTTCAAACAATCCATTAAAGTCAAATAGAACTAAGAAGATCATATGTAAATCAATCACCAGAAAAAAAGTCATTAGATGCAATTAAATAAACATAAAGTATTTATGTGAACAGTGGTAGTAAAAGGTTAAATTTTGATAGAACAATTCAAGGACCTTAAATTCTACCATAATTAGAAGAAAAATAATTACAGAAATCACGATTTGTTGATTTAGAAAATAAGATTAGATATACCAAATTAAATCTGATATAAACAGAGGATATTTCAGAAATCTAATTTATTAGTAAAAGCAATAGAGATGGTTAATTAAGCATAGGGAAATATTAAGGACAATTTATTTATATAAAGACATTGGCTTATATGAATTATGATCAGATAAACTAATATTTTAAATTAATGAAAAAGTATTTTAATTTGGAGCATAAAAACATAAGGACCATAATTGGGTATAATATAGAGGATTTTTAAGAATAAGATTTAAGTGGATAAATACGTATTTTAACATATAGATATGATTATAATTTAAGAACCTTCCTTTAAAAGAACAAGATATCAACAAAGGAGAAATGGCATTTGGCAGTTTAAATTATTGATGCTGTTTATTATCTACATTAACATGAAGTAATCTTTTGTAATTTACATCCTAATAATATACTTATTGATGGTGACACTCATGTTCCTGTGTTAATTGATTTTGATTTAATGTTTGATAAAGAATACTTAGATATAAAATATATGGCTAAATAAGTAATTAAAGAAGAAGTACCTGAATTTACTGAGAAGACTGATATTTATTCAATAGGATGTATTTTACTATATATATTTTTTGGTTGTGAATTTCGATTTCAATAATCACAGTAATTTATCTGATTTAATAATTAGTCATTCTACAACTTTAAGTTTGGAAGCCTTCTAGAATTTGAATCCTCATCAATCAACAAAAGTAGAATTTCTCATACCTCCTGGTTAAGAAGCTTTATAAGAGAAAGCAAGAATGATTACATTGAAATGTTTAAATGGAGAGATTGAATTATTAGATTTGCTTCAACATTTTTATGACTATGTATGATGATCTATTATATTATTTATATTATTATTAACAGATGAACTTTAAATAATATGAAAGTTTATCTCAAAAAAAATCTAACAAATCACTATAATTAAGAGGAGACAGAATAAAAGTTATAAATCCTCAATCAATTCCAAATACACCTACATCTTCAAAGTATTCTCCTCATGTAGCTTCAAAAGTTCGAATTCAAACAATGAATAGTTAAGAGAAACATGAAAAAATGCTCGATCTTTAAAATAAAAGAATAAATAGGATATAATAAGTATCTCTAGATTCTGAACCAAAAGTGTTTGTAAGAAAAAGCAGTTAATTAACAATATAAAGTGATTCAGATCTGTTGAATTTGATAGAAGTAAAAACAACTCGAACAACTTAAAGAGAATTCAAATTGGAAGAGAGGATCATAAAAAAAGAAATAATTGGAGATTAATAGAAAGTTAAAAAATTCTAAGCTTGCGAATCATAGACTAATAATAATAATAATAATATTTTGGATTTACTATTATTAAATACTTAATAATTAAAAGATATTTTTTAGAAGGTGAAGCAACCTTAGATAAGATAGAAACCAAAAATAAATAATATAAAAAGATTTCCATCTGATTTCTTTTCTATATAATGAGTTAATATTAAATCATTTTCCTGGTTCAATTGCACTAGGTTTCTTATTATATGAATTGCTTAATGCATCAATAACTCTATGAATCAATTCATTCCAACTTTGAGGTTTGTTATTCTCTAAATGAGCACTCAATTATTCCATTTTACTTTCTAAGATTTAAATTCTTCCATCTTTATAGCAATCTCTAGGTTTAGCAATGGCTCTGAATTCATGTTATTCTTCTACAATTTTTGGATAGTTCCATAATTCTGGTGGTCTCCTTTGGATCACATAAATGTTTGAATTGTCTTTCTCTTATAATTTATTAAACATTTGACTTGGATCATTTTATTAAATTTATCTTGGACGATTTCTAAAAATTAATAAATAAAATACTTTGGAACCATTCCTTCTTTTATTATAACGTCCTCTATATCTTATTAAACAGCCTTATTAATGTGTCTAATCAATTCAACACATTCTTCAAAATTAGCTTTCATTTATTCTTAAGCATAATATTCCCATATCCAAAATCTACCATATTTTTCAAAATCTATTTTATCTTATATTTTCATATTTTCTTCTTCTTTCTTCCTTAAATCATCATCTGCTTATCTCTTCTTATCTGGTGACATACCAGACATAGCTGATTAAGCCTCAAACAAATTTGATTATGCTAAAGGTTATGTTTTTTATTATTATTTTTATTCTTTTAATTCATCTGCTATTTTTCTATCTTTCCATGCTCTCATATATAAAATTGTATGATAAGTAATTAATTTTGGAATACTTCCCTTAACACAATTATCATCTCTTTTTATAAGAAATTCTCTTGCTTGAGCATTTGAATTAAATAATACACTTAATACATTAAATGTAAAATTGATTTAATCTCTTTTTAATGGTGTTCCCATCAAATGTTCAGCTATTAATTCGGCATCTATCAATTCCTTCACATCTTCAACAAATTACTAATGTTAATTTTATTTATTACAGTATTATCCATCATAGGTGCCTTATAATAATTGATACCTTTTAACATTAAGCAAAGTAAATTATTTCTCATTTTATCAAACGCTTCTTGCAAAGGTGTTAAATAGAAAGACTCAATCTTATTTTACTACCACCCTTCATATCCCAATTTATTAAATATCAATTTAACATTTGGATTGCAAGATATAGCTTTTGAATCTAATAATAACCTTTAAGCTTCTTGTAAACATATACAATATTGTTCAATATCAGCCTATTAATTAATATCATTTTAATATACAACCTTTAAAATAAAGTCTTTTGTTTATCTTGCTTAATTTGAAGTATTAACAAGATCAAAGAACATCATTTTTTTGTTAATTTCCAACAATGCTCTCAAAGGCCCCAATACAAGCATCAACTTTTCTTCAATTATTTTATGACTAGATTTAATTAGAATTGGAAGCTTTTTCAAAAAATCATTCAGAAGTCCTACAAATGCTTTTCTTTCTGCAATATAATTTTCTGCATTCATGTCAAAAAACTTATGATCCTCCAATGCTATCATAGTTAAATATTCATGTACTTCTAGCAATTTTTGCAAATAATTCTTTTACATGTTTGGCTCTGTCTTTATCTTACTTTTCAACTGAATAATAAAATCCATCTAGATATTGCTTCACTACTGTTTTATTGATTTCCACATCTTCAACTGCAAAGAAGGCACTTCTCATATGACAATGCTCTATTTATTTAATCTTTGATTTGCATTTGAATGATTAGCAAACTTCAAGTAATTTATCATGATAAACCTAAATGAAAGAAATGATTTTAAAGAAGAGTTTACTTGCCAATTGCCTGTCAAGTCTTTGGAAGTTTCAGATATATTATTTTCCATAGATTTATAAATGATTTACAACTCTGACCAGATTCTGTATTCATCACTTTCCTTCCATTATTCAAATTATTTCTAAAATACTCTAGTAATAATTCAATACAGCTTGTAATTCTGGATCTATCTTTTTTGCTTTAGGAGGCATAATAATGAATAGTTAAAAATATAAATAATAATAAAGAATTTAATAGAGGAAAATAAAAATCATAGAGTTAGATCAAAGTCTAATTGTCATGTTTATATTAATGGAGTTTTTTTATTTATAATGACCTTTAAAACAAAATAATCTTATAAAATATTTAGTTATTATAAATGGCCAATTCTTCTGTTGTGTTAATCTGTATACAGAATCCAGATTTCATAAATATAACAGTGACACATGTTTATCAAAATTTTATCCAGTTTGGAACAATTGAAAAAGTATTGGGTGATAAAATTCATAGATACTTATATTTGAGCGAAATAAGCCAATTTGGAAAGCTTTAGTTCAGTTTGAGAATGTCCGATGTGCCTTAAATGCTCTTCAATTAAATAATACAATCATGCATGGACTATCTATATTGGTTTATGAGTCTAATCGTAAAGGCCTTGACTTTTAAGCTCGTAATCAATATGCAAGATGTACATTGTCCATTCTTATTAAGAGACTACACTGCCTAATAAATTTAGGGTATAGTACATTCAACAGAATTACCAAAGACTGTTCCTATTACCCAATGGCTTCCTCATTCTTAAATGTTACCCCCTTAAACTGGAATGCCTCCTATACCTACTTAATTTGCAGAAGCTTTGAACTTTGATAAAGCTGACGGAGCTTCTGACTATGATTCTTAAGAAGAAGCAACTGAAGATAAATAAGAAGAATTGTAAAAAATTTTGTGAATTATTTCCTAAAAAGGTCGAATCAATTTGTTAAGTGTATGGGTGACAATTTAACTTAACTTTTTCAGTTCTCACCAGGATAACGTATTTCTACGTCATAGCAATTACCAAACAATGTACAAGTAGAAAAATAAATCTTTCAATCAGAAATTCTTCCATAAAGTAAATACCGATCATTTCTATCTAGAAAAATTGATTACTAAAGTTCTCTATGCTAATTGGTTTGACCCAAAATAAACTTCTATGACTATGATTTATAATATCTTTAGTACTTTTGGAAACATTTAGAAAATGATTTACTTTAAAACAAAATGCAATGTCTTAATTGAATATTCTACAGAAGTCAGTGTTAAATTCTTATTGACCAATTTTAATGAAGGCAACCCTACTCTTTTTGGTCAAAAATTAAAAGTAACTTCAATAAATCATTTAGGTCTATCCTTCTAATTATGAATTTATTTTCTTTCGAAATTGTGAAGAAGGTTAATTACCTAAAAATACTGAAGAAGAAGAATTTTATTTAGGAAATGAAGCATCTTTCAGATATAAAGATAATAATTTTAAATATTTGGTTTCACCTTCACAATAAATTATGTTAACTAATTTGAAGAAAGAATTTTGTGAAGAGGGAATTATTTATGATACATTTTCTAAATTTGGATAAATTGAGAAAATTAAGTAACATATAAAATTAATTTATTTTTTTAGAATATTTTGTGAAGAAAAAAATAAAAATAAATGTCTCATCCGTTATTAAGATTTAGATTCAGCCATGTAAGCTATGGCAATCATGCATAATTATGAATACAATAAAAGGAAAATCTAGATTTTTTTTTCTAAAAATAAAACATGAAATAAAACTTGAGTTTTTGTTATTAATTAATGAATTATTCAATTTTGAAGAAAACATTCTCTAATAGTATTGAATCTGAAGAAAGCAAATTGAGTCTTATCTATCTAGTAACATCAAACTCTTTAGGAATATCATTAGATGATCTTATCACCCTCTTTCCTAGATGCTGTCAAAATTTTATTGCTGAAAAAATTGTGACTGAATCTTTAGCCTATAAACAATTTCTTTCTCACTTCATTACTGAAGACTCTGAAGGATAGAAAGTTTATGTATTAGGAAAAGATAAATTCTTATTCGATTATATGTATAAGACTAATACCAGCTATTTATTCTCTAAAGGTATTTTCTATAAATTTATAATAAGCTTACAAATATTTATTATAGAATACTATTGAGATTTATAATCTAGATTCTTTTGATAAAACATTAAACCCATTGATAATCTATGAAAAATAACATCAAATAGATACCTCAAACCCATTACATTTTCAATTATATCGTATTTCGAATATTGAACTATTACTTAGAGAAGGTCTTAAAAAGTATTTATTTACTTTTACTCAAAATAAAGAAGAATGTTATAATTTAATTTAGAATGAAAAGTATTACGAAACAACCAAACTTAATTTTTCAAATTTCGAATAAGATTAATTTCATATTGAATTAAGTAATGTCTTAGCTAATTTTTAAATAAGTTTAAATTCAAATTTCTCATCCATCTATTAATTCCTTAAATTTTTATTAGGATGCAGAATTATTTATTAACTAAATAAATAACACATAAAAAATATCTCTTTAAAATTGATTTGCTAATCATTCTGTAAATAGTTTTTTGATCATTACTTATTTATATATACAGAATTCCATGAATACATGATCAAATTTATTCAATTTGAATGCGATTCACTAACTTCAGGTTTATTATCTAATAGTTTACCAAATCTTAGTATTACTCTAAGTGCATATTGTTAATACTACAAAATTAATAAGAAAATATTAAATTTTGATTACAAAAAGCATATAAAAATTGGAGATTTTTTAGATTTTTATTTTAGATTTGATTTACTCTATTTATAATTCTCTTAAGTTTCATCAATTGAAGAATATGCTGTAATTGTTGATTACTACAGATTGAATCTAAAAAATCCTTATCCTAATGTGTTGGTGAGAGAAATCTTATAAAATATAGCCACTTCAATTGATGAATGTCAATAACCAAAAGTCTTGGATCCTTTTGATTTTATTTCTTATGATGTTTCTCCTCCTAGATTGATGATTAAACTATAAACCTTTTTAGTTGAGAGACATCTTTATCTAAATAATTATGAATGGTAATTCTTCTTATTTGAAACGGTAATACATATGTATCTATACTTTTAGTTTAGTGATATTAAAGCAAATAAAAATTTACTTAATGATGAGCAATTTGTCTAAAAGAAAATTAAATATATTTAAGAGAATTATGAAGATACTAAAAAAATTAATTAAGTTGAACATATCTTTATTAATCTTCTTCCTCTTACATCATAAAAGTCATTGTCCGATTACATTTTGCTTGTGTTGACAATATTAGATCATTCCCTTTTTATTAAATTATTTAGTTTAATAGTTTATAAGTATTATGCACATTCACAAAATAAAAATATAAAAGTGCTTGAAGGTATGCACATCAAAATAAAATAGATTTATAAAAATTCTTATGCATTCCTGAGTATAATTATTTATTGATTGGAATCATTAAACTTATTAATTAATGGAAGAATGAAATCAAAAACTCTAAAGATCCATTTTATATTGCTTTAGACTAAGTAAAATGGAAATACAGATAAATTGGATTAGTTTTTTTTCGATGTGGAAGTTTTGTAGAATCTGTTTATTATTTAGAAAAATACCTAGCCAAAAAAAATTTACTCTTTATATTTGATTTAAAGAAATTATCTCATAAAAAATAAGAAAAGCTCCACACCACTCTTTTATATATTAATATGGCAAAGAGCCATTTGAATTGCTCTATACCTCCTGAATAAATCTATACTAGATTAGATTTTAAGTTTCCTTTTAATCCTGATTCATTACTCGAAGTAGGAAATAATTGGTACAAAGAATAAAATGTTGCTATGAAAATGAAATAAAAGTAAATACCTTTAGATGTACAATTATACAATTTTAAGGAACTAAATTAAAAAGGGCAATATTTAAATATTTTAGATCCTTCTCGATTAGATAAAATAGTTATTTCTTTAATAGCAGACATTTCAAGATATGTTTCATAATAGATGAGTAAAGATGAAATAAATTAGAATTTAAAATATGTAAAGTTATCAATAGCTTTATCTCTAAAATCAACAAGTTTATCGAAAATAATTTGTTAAAATATAATTTAGATTTCTTATATAATAAAAAGAATAGAGAATTATTGGGAAGGTATTTAAGGTAAAGAGATTAGAATAACGTTTGTAAAAAGATTTTCTCAAATATATTGGATGTACTTAAATACTTTGGTGAAGAGGAGGTAATAAATTTAAGATTAAGTTTAATAGTTCTAAATCATATAAAATAATAAATTATAGAGAACAGTATGCAAAATACTTGATGTAAATTGACAAATATGAGGAGGCTTTGGCAATATGTAAGAAAAAGTAAAATCTAATCCAATGTCGTATTTATGAAAGAATGGGATATTATTATAAAGCAATAAGTTTAACAGGGATTGATCCTTTTACATATACATAGAATAAAGGACTTTTTATAACAGAGATATAGAATTGTTCATAGAAAATAAAATTCTTACGATATTTAATTAAGGATTAATTATTTCATAGAGAAAGGGTATTGTAAACTTATAGTGATATTTGGAGTTCAAAACATTTGCCTCCATTATCTAGATTTTTTGAGAATAAGAAGAAATTTAGTAAATTTTGTTATCATTATGCATAAGAATTGGAATAGGAATATAAATGTAGATGTGATAGTTAGAATCAATAAAATTGTTTAAAATTGATGGATTTATATTTAAGTAGTGTAAGTGCAGGGGATAAATATGTTTAATAATCATTTCCAAAGATATTTAGACTTTGGTTTGTACATAAATAAAAAGATTAATTTGCATTAAAATTTGATTAATATTTGAATTCTATAAGTTGTGTAAAGTTGCAATATTGTTTAGAGTTATTAATAACAGGAGTGGAAACATTTAAGAATGATAGAACATCTAGTAGAAGTTTAACTTAAGCTTTATCAATATTGGCTACTAATTATCCAAATTAAATGATTTGGTGGTTGGCTCCTTTAAAATATTTCAATTAATAATCTTAACAGTAATTATTGTAAATAACAGTTTTAGTAAAATAAATATTTATCAAGAAGTCTTAAAATTGATACCTGAGAAGAGAGAGAAATTAGAAGAGTTGGAAAAATAGTTTAATGTGATTTTAAGAATTTGTTAATAAAAGTCAAAAATATAATAATAATAAGGATGGGTAGTTGAGAATATTAATTCATAATTTATAAGTGAATATAATAAAAATAGAGAGAAATTAATATATCCTGGGATTGATAATTTATCATAACCTTTTAAATAAGAAGAAAGTTTAGTGAAGATTGTATAAATATATCCTTAAATGAAAATTGCTCCATCAAAAGACAAACCTAAGAAAATATAGGTTGAATGCAGTGATTCAAGCATAAAATATTTATTATTAAAAAATGAAGTTTAAGATTCAAAAAATAATGGAGATACAAGAAGAGAATAAAGAATAATATTGATGTTATAATTTTTTAATACTTTATTAGAGCCTCTCTAATTAAGATATCCATTATTTGCATCAATGAGTTTAAATTAACTTAGTTAAGTAATTGAATGGGTAACTTAAACAACTACATGTAGAGAAGCAATAGGAGTATCTACAATAAGTGCTAAGAACAGATAAGTTTATAATTAAACAGAATGGAAATAATTAAGTGAATAAGAACCAAAGTTAAATAATTATTTTTTTACATAATATTAAGATCCTTATGTTTGGTATGATGCTTAATAAGGATTTATCAAATCTATGGCTTTATGGTCAGCCTTTTAATATTTAATTGGATTTGGCGATAGACATTGTGATAATATTTTAATTCATGAAAATGGAGAACTTATTCATATAGATTATGAATGTGTATTTCATAAAGGAAAATTCTTACCTGTACCTGAGATTGTGGATTTCAGACTAACAAAAAATCTTAGATATGGTATGGGATACTTAAGAGAGCAAGGTTAATTTCGATAATTGCTAGAATAAATTATAGAAGTATTCCAAAAACATAAGGATAGTATATTTGCATTTCTTGATCCATACATCTATGATCCTTTATTATGTAGAACTTCATCAGATGTAATAGAATTAATTAAGTTTAAATTGAATAACTCAATTAATGTCCAAAATTTAATAGAACGTAATTGTGATTTAGAAATTCTTAGATAAATGTATTATGGATGGGCTCCTTATTAATGATATCACTATAAACATATATTATATTTATTTATTTCAACTCAATTTACCCATTTCATATTTTTTAAGTAAAGCAACTACTGATTTATGTATCATTCCATCTACAATACTAGCAATTGTAAATACTCCTCCTAAAATTGCACAAATCTAAACCAAAAAATGTAAGAAGCTTTCCCTATATTACAAAAACTTAACTGTTACTGGAGACAAGTCATATCTAATTATTATATTTTATTATAATACCTAAAATAAACTGCTGGAAGATGATCAGTTTATACTTCATTACTATTTGCAGTGAATTAATGAACATAGTATTCATTTCCTGATACATCAATATAAGTTGTTGGTACAACAGATATATAATATTAAAACATCATTCCGCTTGATCCTTATACTACTTTCTTTGTATTATCAAGAGGATTAAGCACACCTTTTTAAAATTATTTTTTTATTTTTTATAAATCATCTTCTTCTCCAAATGATATATGATTTATTGTATGTGATAAATCTAATGTTGTTATCTAACTCCTTTAAAATACTTAATGCAATATTCCACCAAAAGCATGAGCTGATACATGGAAATTACCTAATCAATTAATAAACTTTCCTTTACCTGGTACTTTGTTTACTATAATATATCCTGCAATTTAACAACCTTCCTTTTCTTTAAATGCTTATTCTATACGTCCAAAATCTATTGATGGCTATCCATGATGATCATGTCCTTCATGATTTGAATGAACTTCTTCAGATATTATTTTCCCATTCTTTATTCTCTTTTTTATTAATCTACCTTCAACATTTACAACATGAGATCCCATTATATCTTAAACATCTAAAGATAGAATGTCACAAGGAAATTTATGAAATTCAATATCCAAATTAACACGTATTTATTCACCACCTCGATTTATATCAACAAACATCTCACTACTATTATCTACTTCAATATATGCCTATCAATATATATAATAATAAGCTTTACTTGTAATTCTGTGATAAATAGTATAACTATCACTATTGTACTTATGACTGAAATTAATGCACCAGCTGTTGTTGGCTCTGTTAAATCTGCTGGTAATTTACGATAAATATCTAATTTTCTCAATCTTTATTACACTCCACCTATCATTTAATTTATTTATCAAAAATAGCTTAAATAATTTTTAAGATTTCTACATTCATTCTTTTTTAAATCTTACAATCTAAAATATTATTAGAAATCACATCAAATATTATCTTATTAATATTAATGATATTTTATAACTTTTATTTTCTTAGTCCACTATAATTCTTATATAATACATATTTCTAAACTTTAAAAAATTATTATCAATAGAAACTCAAAAATCTCACTTTATTCTTATTATATTTAAACGATTAAACTCTTTTCTAATGTAACATTCAATCAAAATTTGACAAGAAATTTAAAATTGTGTATCAAAACAATATATATCAATTTTTAATGAAAATTAATGAATATATAATAATAAGTATTTAAATTTTATTTTTTCACTATACTCATATTCCCATCATTTTATTAACAATTTATTCACTTTTCTTCTTCTAAAATAAATATTTCAATCTTTCAACATGAATATTCTTTGATAAATGTTCACTATGATTTTATGATTCAAACATATTATTTTAAGGAGATGCTCTTTAAACTTTGGACATTAAAACTGTATAAGTCTCTACTAAATTTCTTGGTCTTTCTCTTAAACGAGGAAGCAATGAATGCTATTACCTCATCATTTTTTCAACCAATTCTTTTTCCTTATCAAAATCTCTCATTTGTAAACATAATTTAACATTCTGCAATTTCTCTTTTAATGAACATTGTACATTATTATACTCTACTATTTCACTTATCCTATCTTTTGATATTTTGTTTGAATTAGTTTATGTTTTATTAGGTAATATACATTATTGAAGAACATCCTTAGTATTCACACCTTTTAATAAAGATTTATTTGATTCTTTTTTTTATAAAGCAATCATATTATGACATTTCTTTACCCATTCTTATCTATAAGTTTCACTACTTATTCTTAAATCAGTCATTCTTTCTCTCATAAATTTATCTAAACCATTACAATTCTTTTTTGGTAAAAAGTATATGATTGTTTCATATGAACCAGATATTGCAGAATATGTTCTTAAACTTGGATTTTTTAAATCGAATAACCCTACAAACTATCCTTCACAAAATTGATTAACACGCACATTATCACAAATAATTTCAACTATTCCTGAAAAAATAAGATACAAACCATCTACAACATCACCTTATTTAAAAATAGTGGAATTAATTGAATATATTTTTTTTTGAAAATCAAAACTTAATTAAATAACATTTTCTTTGGATGATTAAGGAAACAATTTACTTAACATACCAAGAGTAAAATTTAATTTTTCTAATTTACTTTCAAATATTCGTAAATAATTAGTTTTATTAAGTGCACCAAGATGTAACGTCTCTAAGGCTATTAATGTTGCTGCTCTAGGTTCATTTCTAAACAGAGAAACTTCTCCAAAACATTCCCCTTCCCTCATTACATTTACTTTCTTATAGAGACATATCATTTATCCATTTTATAGTTTCTAATAATATCTACTTTTGAAAGGAAACAGTAAAATGTCTTCAGGGTTTTAATAATCTTACAATTAAGTTTAAAGATCTTGTAACTGTTTTTATAATTATTTTATTTCATCCTTCTTTTTAGTATTAGCCAAATCTTCCTTGCATTAATCTACTTTTAATAAGATTGTTTTCTATTAAACAAGTTCTTCTTATCTACAATATCAAAAATAATAAATTACTTTTTTGGGACATAAACTATACCTGTTCCTCTTAGAATGAGATAAAAATAATCTCCTCTTTCTCCACAATGAAAAACAATATTTCCTCTCTTAACTTGTTTATACTCCATACTAGTGATAGTTTATTCAATGTAATCAAAATATTCTTCTTGTTATTCAAGGGCTTTAAAATAACTGAAATTATAAACTTATTTATTTACCCGAATTCTCTAAGTATGTCTTACATGTAAATTCTTGCTGCTTATTCATTCAATTATAAATTCTTTGATAAAATCTCGACTGCCTTATCAAAAGATTCAGATGGCAAATCATATTCTCTTCCGAAAGTAAAATTTAATGTACTTCTTCTCACAGATAATGGTCCAATAGAAGAATTAACAATTTAGGAATCATTATTATAATTATTCATTTTATTACTACAATCTTGATTAACAATACTAACTGAGTATTTGCTGATAAGATTTCTTAATGTTCTAATGATTGGTTCTATAAGTAAGACTATTTTAAAGGTTTTCAATGCTTTTTTTGAGTCTTTTATTCTCCCTTTCAATTTAATCAGATACTTCTGTTTTTTCTTTACGTATATGTGGTAATTTAGGAAATATAGGTTTTTGATTACTAATTTTCATAATAGCTTAGCGTATCTTTTGGTTACTATATGCTATGCTTTTGTGTTCTTCATGTAATTCAAAAGCTTAAACTTGAGTTTTTATCTTTTTCATCATAGAAACTTAAGGATATTAGACACTTTACGTTAACGGATTACACCTATAGAGTCTTCTTCAACTTTATTTTTTCTTGTCTTTATGGACTAAAGGGAATTGATGTGATTTGTAAAATATTGTCTATGTATAGATTCAGGGAGTATTGTAGATTTCATGGTTAATTAAATTAATCAATTTCCATATAATTTTTCAAATTCCAAATGCTCTTCAAATTTGTCTATCAAAGCAATATCATTTTCCCTATAATCCAATAACTTTAAATCAGCACTTTACATATTTATAATAAAATACTTATATTTATCCATTTTCTTTCCTCTTAATTGTTTGCCAATTTGAGTTACAATTATAGAATTATTAAGTGAATTGATATAACTAAATTAATGAAAAAATAATACCTTTAATCTCTCGAGTAGTACTTTTCAATTTATTTATCCTTTTTTAATTAATTTTGGTTTACGATTGGCAAATCTGATTTTTAAAAACATTTGCTAAGATTAGAATTTTGATAATGACTAGCTCTTCTTTTATAAATTTCAAATTCTTAAGGAGTGAAACTGAAGTTTTTAACATCTCTCAAACGTCCCTTAGGTCTTTGTCTATCATTGAGATGACCATAAACATTTTAATTATCATTCTTTTCAATAAAATCTGTGAACAATTCTACCACTATAGTATATCGTATTTACCATGCTTTCTACCAAAGAGTCCTGTCTTTTAAAGTGTTCGATAAGCAAGCTAAAAAGTATTTTCTTCACCTTTGATTTATGGTGTCTAAACATAATGTACTTGATTAGTTACAGTACTATAATGATTAAGAAACATAGTACTTAACTATTTTAATATTTTTATATCCTTTATTTGGGAGATTGGCAAATTTCTGTTCGTTAACATTATAAAACTCAAAATTGTTGAGAGTACTACTTCGTAAGGTTTCCCATTTGCTATGAGGTTTAGTTTTGAGTTTTAGGAATGGATTATCATAGCTTTCTCTGCAGATCAATGTGTTAGGATTACGGAAAAAGGAAGGTGATTCGAGAGAGTTACCAAAAGCATATTATGGTAAGATTTTCTTTCCTTTCTAGAGTTTGGGTGGCTCTTACATTTTAAAGGTGTCAGAGAAGGTACTTCTTAAATAATCTGGCAATTGTTCGCTCTCAAAATTACCGCGATTTGACTAAGGTTGAAGGTGAGATTACTCGTGTAAGTCGAGGTGGTTTTTCTTCTTTGCCTGCAAGCATTAGAGAAATAAAATATTTTATAATATTTATAAAAAGAATGGTGTATTAATATTTATATACTTATATTTATTAATTTATAAATGTACGTTTTGCTACTTCAATTAGTGATTCTAGTTTATGGATATCCAATTTTAGAAAATGGTTAGTTACTAATTGGAGCTGAAGGTATAGCTTGTGAAAAAGACACAATTACTCATATCAAATTCTTAAATGTTTACAAAGTTTATGTTCCATAAGTAATCTTCGTTTTGAGTAATTACACCAATGAAATGCAGTTCTCTGATTTTGCTTTAGACATACATGTTGAGCTCATGAAAGTTAACACAACAGGTAATATAAATTCAAGATCTAAATAGGATTCACAATTTAAGTAGTTTGTTCAAAAAGCTGCACTAAGTCAGTACTTTATACTTGGTATGCTTTTGGAGGAGATACTTATGATTCTGGATGTTTTCCATTGTAAGAAAGAGCTTAAGTAACTTTGGAACAAATTTACACATCTCCAATGTAACATTCAGTATTTATTTCTGGGTTTGCTGGTTTTTTTAAATATGGTGGCAAGAAACCTATGCTAAAATTATACTCTTCTTTTGATAATTAAAATCTAACGATACAAGTTGAATCTACTTTTTAATATGTGTATATCTGCTATATATTAGCTTAAGACATGAGTTCAACTACACTTAATGATACAGAAGTAGCAAGTATATTTAATTGAAATATTCAAAAGCTCTGGTTTAAAAGGGAACATATTTAGATGATACACTAATTTTGGGAATGGAATCTTTCTAATTATTCGGCAATAATCTTTAAATATAAATGTTGAATGACAAATCCTTCTTTCCTAAATAAATTGAATTAACTGTCAAGGTTGCAAAACTTTATGAACCAACTTATAGAATGTGTCCTAAGGTTTATACAGAATGTATGTTTCAAGGAGATCCTATTTATGTTTGCGATGATACTGTTAAATTAACTAATATTTGGAAAGAATTCAAAAGTTTAAGAGTGTATGATTAAAAAATGAAATTCAAATTAAATATAGTTAGTAATGATAACATATTGGTAATTTTCTATTTTTAATTTTCTTTAGTGGCTTTCTGAAGATATTGATTGTAGTTATGATATGTATGATTAATTAATGGAATTCAAAATAAAAAACTAACCAATTGAGAGATAAATAATTAGAAAAAGAAAAATGCTAGGAATGCTTTATGATGAATAAACTGAAGATGATTAAGAATACTCTGAAGATACTATTTTAATAGGTTAATCATGAATGTATTTAATTAAATAGTTTTTTTATAATAAATCAAATTTAATCAATGCTCCTCTAATTTCTATCTGAATCTTTCTAAAAATTCTCTCTCCTTCTACTCTAATGTTTTCTAAATTCCATTTGTTTCTGTTTATATTTATTTCCTCTAAATAAAAAAAGAATTTTTTGAAATATTTTAATTTATCTCTTTCATTTCTTTTACATAAGAAAAATCCCTACTTTCTTTTGCTTCTTTTAATTCTGTTTCAGGACGTGTAATTCCTCCTATTTATTTAAACATTTTATGATCAATTGATTTTGAAACATTCTTTACAGGATTATAATTTTTATGATTTAGTTCCAATAGTTTTGATTACTACTGGATTTGAACTTTCTATTTTTATTAATTATTCCATATGATATCATGATTTTCCTCTATAATATTTAAATTTATACCCTACAATCCTAGTAATTCTGATAATTCTCTTAAAGATTCTGAAAATTTAAATTAAACACATCTCTCTTCCTCTAATTTAGTTAATATTCCAAATTATTTGCCTATCAATGCAGCGAATTTTTGATGATCAACTAATTCTAGAATTTACTTATCAACTTCTACCTCCAGTTATAGCCTTTACACATCTCTTTGACAAAGTATACATCATTTTGTATATACAATTATTGTATTCATTTTAAAGTTTTCTACTTGTTGACATCAAAGAAATAAAGAAATAAAAAAACAAAAAATTAAAATAATCAATGTTATGCTGCATGACCATCACTTAATGTAAAACAATGATCTCCGTAGATGTCTTACCAATCACAGTCACTATCCTTATCTGGTGATCGCGGAGACAATTGAAATGTTTCCTTTTATTGAATTGAACTAGTTTAACCATGAGCAATTGATAGATCCTATTTCTTTGGGAATTATTTGCTAAATGTTAATTTAACTTCGGGATCTAAGTTATGGACTTTACGACTTATTTTTGTGTCTCTATAAGTCTAAATCACAATTCTAGCTTATTCGTTCTCCTAAACTTCCTATGTGTAGTGTATTGACTTTTGTTCTTGTGGCATTTCAGATAGCTTTCTTGATGAAACCTCTTGCTTATTGAGGATCGATCCCATTAAAATAATTTATATTATTTTTTTTATCATTCCAGTTAAAGGTATACCTCACCCACCATTACTTCGTCTTTCTTTATCGTACATCACTCTATCAACTTTTCATTGATTATTTCATTTGGCTTATACAACTAAGTTTAAAATCTCTTCTTACCAACTTTCTTAACCCAAAATAAAAACTGCCTTCTTTAGAACTCAAAAAATTCAAAACATACACTTCTCTTTATTCTTCTAATGTCTTCTAGAACTTATCTAAAATAAGTTTATGATCCCCTTATTAACAATTTTTTACATAAACAAACTCCTCTATTACTCTAAATTGTCTAATTTACATCCTTACCATTCTATCTAAACACCCAATTTTATTCTTATTCAATTTTATAAGTTTTTCAGTTACCCAAATTAATACATTCAATATTCTTTGTACCAATAATTTCAAATAAATGATACCAATAATCTTTTTTTTTTAAAATCAACTTCAGCCCAATCATATTTTGTGGTTTTATACTTTTTGTTTTCGAAATTATTATAAAAATATCATCCAAAATAACTAGAATAATTCTCTAGTAATTCTAAATTATATCCTTATAATTTCTCTCTAGCTTTCTATTAATTCTATTTCTCTTTCCTTCTATTATTTATCAAATTAGAAGATTTATTTGACATAATAAAATTTCTAATAGAGATTTTCATCTCTCCCAACATTAACAAATATAACACAATCTAATTATAAAAATAAATAGATTGATTTTTGAAGCTTTGATATGAAATTAATTATTTTCATAAATTAAAATATATGAGAATAATTTTATCGTTTCTGACACTTTTCTTAGTAAACACATCAAATCAATATTGCAATGTACATAATAAAGGAGTCAATTCAGGATTGGCTAATTAACTTGCTCATTCACTAAATCAAATCAGAAATTAAGTTGCAACTGGTTAAATAAGCTTTGAAGGATCACAATCAGCATCAAATATGAATGTTATTCATTGGAGTAATGGATATGCAAAAATGGCTTAAACATGTGTTGAAAAATGCCCACTTAAAGCTTCCACTTGTGGCTAAGTAATAAATCATATCATTAATAGTTTTAAAATTATGGAGTACTTTTTTTTAAGAGACACCTTAATTAACAAATGAGAACTAATTAAGTTATGGAAAAGTGGTTAAAAGAACCTGAAAATGCTAAATAATTACTTACAGCCAGATCAAGTGCTTTTGGATGTGGAAAAGCTGAAGATAATGCTTCGGAATATATAGTTTGTTATTTCGATGAGGTAAAAATAATTATATTATTATCTCTATAGAAATACACTGGTGCAAAATAAGCATTCTTAGCAGGACCTGTAGGAGCTAGTTGTAAATTAGGTCGTTCTAAAATGTATAGTGGTCTCTGTGCTACTGCATCATCATAAACTTTGATCCATTAATCTTCACATATCAAAAATAAGAAATAAAAAAAATAAAAAAAATAAAAATCACACAAAAATAAGAAAACTATTGATAAAGATATTGCTTTTATTGCTATGACAGATTTTAATGAATTTGTTTGAAATAGTTTTTAAAATTAATAATAACTATTATCATTAGTATTAATATTAACTATTATTTCTAAATAAATTTAATTAATATATATATATTTGAATAATTCTATTCAATTATTATTTTGTTAACTATTGATTAGTTATTAAAATATTACTCATATTAGACATTCGTATGGTTTTAGTATTAATAACTTAATAAAGAAAATTTTAATTATTGATAGTTGATGTTATTATTTGAATAAACTTAATTTATTTTTATTAAGGTAAGTAAAACAATTGCTTTATTTCATTAATTATTTTAAATTGATGGAATTGATTCAAGAAATAACATTACTAAAAGAATCCTTCTTGGAATTTATATGCAAAGTAACTCCTGTGTTAACAGAACCAATATTAGAATAATTTAACTCAAAATGGAATCCTTTGAAAAAGCTATTAAGTGATCCTTCTAAAAGGGCAAGTGATATTTTTTTATTGGTTTCTTCAATGTCTTCATTAAAAAAGAGCAATACTTCATCTACTTCAGCTACTTCTCCAAATTCAGATTGTAGTAGTCAGAAAACTCAAAAAACAGTCAATTAAGTAAAGAAATGCAACGAACTTCCAGAGCAGAGGGAGATTACTAAAGTGAAAGAACAAGCTAATCCATTATTGTATAAAGAGCTCAAAATAGGTAATTTTATATTCTAAAACGTAAAATAGAAATAAACAAGAAGTTCTATCCAAATACTCCAAGATCAAGGCCAACTTTATAATAAGAATCAGTAAATAATGGGGAAAAGCTATAAGAAGAAGACATAAAGGCAAAAATCTTGAGAGATGATATAAAATGTATGATGTTGTTATTTACTGAGTTAGTTTTAAATCAATTAAGAGCCCCTACTCATGAGAAAAAGGTTAGTGTCACCATCAGATGCAATCTTGGATTGAAATTATCAGATGCTATTTCTTAATTTCGTAGGGATAACTTCACTTTGAAAACTATTCATGAAAGAAGTAATGAAATAACAACACCAGAAAGTCCTAAAAAAGAGCGCTCAGAATCACCATTATTGGTAATATAGAGACCAACAAATCAATATTTCTAACAGCCAGTGTTTGTACAATAGTAATAGGCTGGAGCATTAAAAGGATATAGTATCTACTCAAAAAAAGGGTATATTTAACCAATACAATTCGATGCTCAATTTTAGATGTTAATGTAACAGTACTAGAATAATATAATCTATAAGAAACTATATTTTTGAAGAAAATTTTGAATATGAGCTTATTTTTTGTATTATTANTATTATCATTAGTATTAATATTAACTATTATTTCTAAATAAATTTAATTAATATATATATATTTGAATAATTCTATTCAATTATTATTTTGTTAACTATTGATTAGTTATTAAAATATTACTCATATTAGACATTCGTATGGTTTTAGTATTAATAACTTAATAAAGAAAATTTTAATTATTGATAGTTGATGTTATTATTTGAATAAACTTAATTTATTTTTATTAAGGTAAGTAAAACAATTGCTTTATTTCATTAATTATTTTAAATTGATGGAATTGATTCAAGAAATAACATTACTAAAAGAATCCTTCTTGGAATTTATATGCAAAGTAACTCCTGTGTTAACAGAACCAATATTAGAATAATTTAACTCAAAATGGAATCCTTTGAAAAAGCTATTAAGTGATCCTTCTAAAAGGGCAAGTGATATTTTTTTATTGGTTTCTTCAATGTCTTCATTAAAAAAGAGCAATACTTCATCTACTTCAGCTACTTCTCCAAATTCAGATTGTAGTAGTCAGAAAACTCAAAAAACAGTCAATTAAGTAAAGAAATGCAACGAACTTCCAGAGCAGAGGGAGATTACTAAAGTGAAAGAACAAGCTAATCCATTATTGTATAAAGAGCTCAAAATAGGTAATTTTATATTCTAAAACGTAAAATAGAAATAAACAAGAAGTTCTATCCAAATACTCCAAGATCAAGGCCAACTTTATAATAAGAATCAGTAAATAATGGGGAAAAGCTATAAGAAGAAGACATAAAGGCAAAAATCTTGAGAGATGATATAAAATGTATGATGTTGTTATTTACTGAGTTAGTTTTAAATCAATTAAGAGCCCCTACTCATGAGAAAAAGGTTAGTGTCACCATCAGATGCAATCTTGGATTGAAATTATCAGATGCTATTTCTTAATTTCGTAGGGATAACTTCACTTTGAAAACTATTCATGAAAGAAGTAATGAAATAACAACACCAGAAAGTCCTAAAAAAGAGCGCTCAGAATCACCATTATTGGTAATATAGAGACCAACAAATCAATATTTCTAACAGCCAGTGTTTGTACAATAGTAATAGGCTGGAGCATTAAAAGGATATAGTATCTACTCAAAAAAAGGGTATATTTAACCAATACAATTCGATGCTCAATTTTAGATGTTAATGTAACAGTACTAGAATAATATAATCTATAAGAAACTATATTTTTGAAGAAAATTTTGAATATGAGCTTATTTTTTGTATTATTAGAAGTTAGATAATTACTCATATTTAATATTATTAATATTTAATAATAATCAAATACTATATTAATAAAAATTATTATAATATTGTCGAAATAAATCTATCTCTATTTATTTGATTCAATTTAATATCTTTTGATTAAATTTGCTGTTCTTGAATTTATTTTCTTCAAATTCTGTTTCTTTACTTTATATCCATATACTAATATTTTTTGATGGGATCTTTATTGTTGAGTATTTTAAATAGTTATGTCTCTCTTTCTTTTTTGAATGACTCAAACTGTAATTAATGGGATTGTTTTTATAAAGTCCTTTTAAAAAATAATTATCTTGAGCGATAAAATATTTAATAACTTAATATAAGTTTATATAAATTTACCTCTACAATTTTTTATTGTAGAGGTAAATTAATTGATTAAATAAATTATATAAAAGAAGAGTTTGAGTAATATAATGTTATTTACGATCAAAAAGCTGAGCAAATGTATGGGATGTGATCTTTTAGGAAGTTTTGTTTATTATAATTAAGGAAAAAATTATTATAATTTGAACTAAAATTAAGATTAAATAAAGAGCAAATAATAATTAAGTTAACGCATATTTGTGTTAACTGAGAAACCTAAGTAAAATAAAAAGTTTTATATATTATATGAATTATGCAAATTTAAAATCAAGACAACAGAATATTAAAACTAACTTGAGCATTTTAAAAAATCTAAAAGGATTTTCAATTTACTCTTTAAATTAATTAAGATTATATGGAAGAGCTTTTAAAATTACTTAAAAAGATAATTTTATTTATCCAAACTTATATTATGATAGACTCTGCTAATAATTTCCTTTCTTAAAATTAACAAAAAGATTGTTAAATAGAAATATTATATAATGAATTAGATACTGATGACTAATCATTAATAATAGATCTTGAGAAACAAAAATAAAGATGAATTTTTTATCTTATAATATGAATAGCAATTATGAGATATTCATATAGTTTATTTAAAAAAGAAATATTAGAATTCAGTTTAAAAATCAATTTATCTAACAAGGAAGGACAGGAAGAAATGATTGATTAGATGTAAAGAAATAAATTAATGGTTGACAATTATTTATAAAGTTTAATTTTAATAATAAAGAAATTTTTACACTAATTGATAATAAAATAAGTTGGTTCAATGAAAATCTATTTCAAAGAAGTGAAATTTTTCAAATGAGAACAGCAGTAAGATTTGGCAGACAAAACAATGTATAAAATTTTACTGAGACATTTTTAATACCCGATAACAAATATGCCTTAAAAAAGTGATTGTTATTAATGTATTTGAATAATGTAAATGTAATTTTACTTTTCATAATCTTCTTCCTCTTCTACCACCTGGTCTTCTAGTTGAATCTGTTGGGATTGGTGTAACATCTTCAATTCTACCAATTTTTAATCCCAAACGTGCAAGTGCTCTAAGAGCAGCCTAAGCTCCTGGACCTGGTTATCTAGTATCAACACCTAAATATATATATAAATATAGAATTACCTCCTCTAGCTCTTAATTTAATATGTAAAGCATTTATTTTGAGTGTTTTCAATTTCTCATAAACATCTTTAGCTGCTTGCATTGCTGCATATGGAGATGATTCTTCTCTGTCTGATTTGACTTTCATTCCACCTGTTACTCTTGCAAGTGTTTCTCTACCTGTCAAATCTGTTATATGAATGAATGTATCATTCCAAGTTGACAATATATGAGCAACTCCAAAAACTAATTCATTTCCAGCAACATTTGGCCCTAATGTAGCTACCACTTATTAAGGTTAATCTTCTCCTTAATTCTTTTTTCCTTTCTTTCCTTTTGTTTATTATGCAGCAGGTTATTCTTTATTATCAGCCTAAATTAAATTGCTTAACATACCATTCACCTTAAAAATTTTAAATCTTTTTTTAATATAAAAAAATAGAAATCAAACAAAAAATAAGAATAATATATATATATTTATTATTGTACTATTTATTTGTTTTAAAATCATCATTCAGCTGCCAACTTGTTTTATGTTTTCTTTACTCTTTATGCCTTATTCTTTTCTCTTCTATCATTTTATTCTTTTTCAATCTTATCTACTCTAACTTTTTCTTATTTTGTTTCATGAATTGCTTCAATAAGTACTTTTTTGTTTTTATATTAATTACCCTTTGAAGCTAAATAAAATTCATGATATCTATGCAATAATTATTATATTATTTTACTATTATCTATCAATTTTTTTAGCAGCTCTGTATTTTCTTAATAATCTTCTTAATACTCTTTATCTACGAATCCAAAGTACTTTTGTTGGCATTCTAGCCTCTCTTGTTCCTCTTCTCTTACCAGTACCTGTATGTCTGCCTATTTAAATTAATCACTATTAATTTTATACCTCTTCTCTTAGCTTCTAAGAATCTTCGTGCTCTTGCTCTTGAATGAATTGTTCTCAATCTTCTCATTATCAAACCATCCTTAATCAATTTTCTAATTGACATTCTTGAATTTGCAAGACTGATTTCACTAGCTTCATTTGGATCTAACCAAACTCTATTCACGCCAACCTTTAATTATGTTGCTGCTAATCTTTTCTAGAGACGGAGATTAACCATTAAAAAATTAATATCTAAATATTTAAATTTTTATATATAATTAATATGGGATGCAGTACATCTAATTAAGGTATTATAATCCTTTTTATATTATCGAGCTAGTAAGAAAATTGATATCGTTGACAATAATATTTCATGGGAAACCATATAAAATAATCACTATGATGTATCATCATTAATGATATTATAGTCCATCTTAAATTCTTCTTAAGACCATTATGAAAGTTCTGTCACTATTAGCCATATTAAGTAGAAATCTAATGACATTCTTACTTTTGAAATTAAGGGTATTTTTATACAAAACAATATTATAAATAAATGATATCATAATTTTAGATATATCTCAATCTATTTTATGAAGATTTCACTACTCTCACTCCACTTGCCATTATTCTATATTTCATAGTTTTTTATAAATAAATATACAGATAAACTATAAAATAAAAAATTATATTTTTATAAATTAGATCTTTCAAATCACATATATAATACAAAATAGAATAATTCTTTACAAACAAAATAACTAAATAGACTATTTTTTTTTCCTTTAATCATATAGATTTTTTTATATTTAAATTTATTTAATTTAGTGAATAAATATTCTGTTCAACATAATTCATTATTATCTATTTAATTCTTACAATAATGAGTTATATTTTTATATCACATTCTTGCAATATGCATCTTATACAATGGGTGATGGAATTTAATCGAATGTTATTTTTTACTTATTCTGTTTGTTTTCATTATGTATTATCGTAGAATTATTTTTACTTTGTCTTTGTTTTGTTTATTATCTAGATATATTTGAAACATTGGTTTAAGTATTTTAATTTTAAGGTTTATAAGATGAAGCATCTGAATTTAATAACTAAATAATAAGATCATCTTCATTATACTATTATTAAAATTATGTCTATTATATTTCACTCTATTATTCTGATCTTACAGTCTATTAAGTTTAGAGTGATTATTATTCAATATTTAAAAGTTTCTAAAAAACATTTTGAAGATAACTAGTATTATTTAATTGAGAATTTTGATCTTCAGATTTTCTATTAGTAGTTAATTCAATACTCTAAATAAGTGACATTAAATACCTATTCATTTGAAAAATTCAATCTATTCACTATTTTTTCAAATTCTTAAATCTTTTTCATCAATATCTCCTTCTTCTTTTTTGATGACTTTTTTTATTATACTTATGTTTATTGTTAAATTTGTTATTGCATAATAGAAGTTTGAATTTGTTGATCAACTTTGATAGGAGAGTCTCTTTAAGTAATAGGTATAATAAAGGAGGAACTTTAATCTTCATTTATTTGGTTTAGCACCTTAAAATTTGGACTTTAATGTAAATTTTATAAGTTTTCATCTTCATTTTCAAATTTTTATAAAAACTTTTATTTGCTTAGAGTTTATAATTAAGGAGGTTAATAGTTTGATTTTTTTTCTTAATCTTATAATTGAGAAATTTCTTCATCTATTTTTTCAATTTCAGTTTATAATCTTTATTATTTTTATTCTGATTATTGCATTTCTGCTAATTTTTTTAACAGCATTTCTTTTTCTTCTCTCTCTTGTGCTAATTTTTTTATTAATTTTCCTATTTTCTTTTTATCTTCCTAACATAAGTCTTTAATTTTTGGTTTTTAATTTGAGTCAAATTGATATGTTTTATGCATACGTTAAATATTAAATTAGTAATTATAATAATTGAAATAAAACTAAGAATTTGAAAATCATAATCAAATTGGATAATTTCATTAATTCTTGATAAATGAATTAAATTATAATCACAGATATAGATTTGCTAATAACAATCTTTTTTTTTTAGTCTAAAGTATTTTTTAGGCTTCTTTTCTTGGAATTTATTTAATATTTGGTATAGTAAATAATTCATCAGCATTATTTAGAGATACAAAATTACAACATTATATTGTAGCATGTATTGAAAATTAAAAAGGTATTTGTACTTTAATTGGAAAGCCATTTAATTCAATAATCTCTTGCATTTCTGGTCTTTGAAATAATCCATTTAATTTTTCCATTAAAAGATTACCTTTTGCTAATAGAGAGACTATATTAGCAAAATCTTTGAATTTAAGTGAATGATTTTTACAAATCCATAGAGATATGGTTCTAGTTTCATTTTATTCTTTAGGTTTCTAATTTAATAATAAATCTGTGTTAGGTAGAACATCATTCAATATCCATTCTTCATAAAGTTCTCTTTCAACTGCAAATTTAATTTATGTATCATTGCTTTTCTTTAAATAAGAACTCTTATATGTAATTTTAATATCAAATCTCTATCTAATAAAAATGAATACTTTTCACAAGAATATTATCCTACTTATTCAATTATCTTTCTACCTCTCCAATCCATACATTATTTAATTGTACAACTAGTTATATCTAAAGCTCCACTTACTGGCTCACTATGTAAAATATCATAAATAATTAGTTTTTTCTCTTCAGTATCTAATTCCTCTAAAGGATCAGTATAAAATTGATTAGTTCTATTAATTTAAAATAATTTATTTTATTTAAATAATAGAGATGTATTTCTCCTTTTACATTAAAGTTTAGAAAAACCCACTAAAGTGCTATCTAATCTTAATTGTTATTCATATTTGTATAATTTGATAGTATCATTAGGAGCTAATAATTTAATAAAAGGTAAAGGGCTGTCAAAATTCCAATTCATATCTAATTAAAAATTTGGTACTTATTAAAGTATATTTGACAATTAATTAAATTAATTTAAAAACTCATTTCTTTTAATTCTATAACATTATTAAAATAATAAAGCTGTTGCATAAATTGATCTTTAAGAGAGAGATTCATCCATTGCTGACCATCCTGTTAATTTATTTTTAATAAATGGATCTGGATTCATTTTTAATACTTCTTTTAATAATTCATCATATTTTTTATGAAACCCATACAATTTAATAGTCGTTATTAAAATTGTATTTCCTAAAATATCATGTTAATTTAAATACTAAAATTTACTTTCTATCATATATAATAATAAAAATACCTTTCATTAATGATTAGAATTTAGTTATATCATTGTTTAGCATGCTCTGAACAATATGTTTAAAATTGATTATTGTATTATGTTTCTTAAATGCTATTATAGGTTATCTGATAATATTTGCCTCACTTTTAATTCCTTCAGTAAGCATTTATTATTTGCCATGATTAAATTGTTTAAATAAAATCTCATTTTCTGATAATATTTTTTCAATGTATTGATGTGATTAATCTTATTAAGTTTATGATTATTAAGTTGATTAATATGGTTGTTTTTTATCTTTAAGTATATCTTAAAAGCATTCACTTGATTCAGATAAATGATATTTCTAATTAGAAGACTTAGGTGAGACATTATTATTTAGAGGAGAACATAATAAATTAGTTTGAGCAATATTTAGTTTATTTAATGATGAATGAACAGTTAAAGCTTGTTATTATAATTTTTATGGATTATGTATAATTTAAGGAGATTAATCTGAACAGTATAATTTTGAAGCTAATTAACTATAGCTGGCAGCAACTTTAGATCTATCTATTTTACTGGCTACAGAAACTTATTTGATTGTATTTATATTTTATTTTGATTCTTTTTATGAATTGTAATCTCTTTAACTACTTTATCTAGAATTTGATTCCTTATCAGTGACACTTTATATTTCACTTAGTTTTCTAATTGGTTATTATGTACTTTGAAATGGGTTTTATATTTTATGTTCTGAAATTCCATGTGACAACTTACTTAAAGCAAAGTTTTCTTCAGATTATTAATCAACAAAGCATGTTTTTATTTTTGAACTAAATATTTTCTCTTTCTTTCTTGGTAAAATAATTTCTATATTATTTGAATGGAAATTCTATAAAGTTACTTCTTTAATCTCTATAGCTTGTTATTCTCTGCATGTATCATCAACATTACAAATACTGGAATCTAATTATAATAAATTGTATTCAACCACTAAGGGATCCTTAAAAAGAATCTGGAGGAGCATGTTAATGATTTACTTATCTCTCTATTTTTGGATTCTATTTTGTTCTTGCCATATAGCAATTCATCATCATTATAACAAATAATATTATATATATTTTTAATATTCTAATTTATATATAATTTATATCATTTTCTAATTAATTCACTAAATAATTATATTTTAACCATTTACATCTAAATAGAATATTTTTTTGAATAAATATATTAAATGGGCTGATGCTCATCTTAGAGCTAAAATTAAACTTTAGTTATTAAGTAAAAGGTTGGAAGAAATTGTTTTTAAAAGAATCATTTTGAAAAAGAGGTAAATGAATATAAATAAAATCATTAACGCTGAATAACTAACTGACTTAACAGAATAATTACAAAAATAATATTATGAAATAAATTTATAAAAATATAAAATAATTCAATTAATTTAGATGATTCAAATCTAATAAAAATTAATATGTTGAATTAAATCAATATGCTAATCATGATCAAACTATAGCTTAAGTCCTATTTAGAAAACAACCATTTGTAAGTAGAAAATAAATGATCCCAAAAATAAGAATAATTCCTTGCAGAATATGCATGATATACATCGTAATTATAATATAACATAAATTTTAAATCATTAAGCAGATTTATTAAAATTTTTTAATTGACATATAAATATATTAGTAAAAGAATGAGACATATAAATATATTAGTAAAAGAATGAAATTCATTCATTTTTTTGATTATTTTCAATTTTCTGAAAACTAAAGGTTTTAATAGGAATCATTTTGTAAACAGGTTTAGGGGGGAACTCTGCAAGTGGAGGATAAACTAATCTTTTTTGATTTTAAGATGTATTTAAATTTTAGTGTTGATTAGCAAAGACAGTCTTTCTAATGGCACTATTAGGTCTATTTATAGCTGTTATGCTACTAAAAGGACGCTATTATGAAGTAGTTCTAGTTTAAGGGATGACAATATTTCTTCCAGTCAATTATTATAAAGATTAACCATCCAAATCACTGAATGATTAATTTGTAGACAATCTTTTAATTGGTTTTAATTAAGTAGGCTTCATATCAACCTAGACTTTTAATGTTTTTTCTAAATTCTTAACTTATTCAAATTATTAATTAATCATACTCTCTCTTTCTTTAGGTTTAGGAGGCATAAATTATTCATAATAATCTTTATTCTTCCTGTTAATAGATATAAATGTACTTCATCAGGATATATTTTGATATAACCATTTAAATGTTTATCTTCTAAAAGACTGATTTTAGTATAATTTTTTTCTTTTTCTTCTAAACTCATTTTGATAGGTCTTTAATATATTGGAGCTCTTTTTTAATCTAAATATTTTTTTTTTGGTTTATTTTTAACATCTAGTAGTATCAAAGTATCAAGGATCAAATTCTTTTTGATACTTTTATCTAAAGGAGTATCTGTTGAAAATGAAGGAGTATGATTGACTTCTAATAACCAAGGTTTAAGGGAAGAATCTAAGAGTATATCAAATCCAAATAGTTCAAAACATTATTCAATACCATCATTATTATGTTATTAGGATCTATATAAATGAGACAATTCTCCTTAAACACTTTAAATAGTTTTAACAATAACTTATTTGATTTAATTAAGTAATTATTTTACATCATAACCTTAATCTTATAAATACTTATTTAATATATGATACTAATACTTTTAAAACAGATGATAATGATCGTTTATGTCCAACATCATCTTTATTTGTATCGTTATTGAATATAAAATCCTTACTTCTTTTATTAATGGCATAATTTGTCAAATGCATTGTAACACTGCCTAAATTTTTCTTTTAAGGCTTTACATATTTTTTAGTTGAAAATCTCGCAAGTCCTTCTTAATACATAAAAATCTTTAATGGATAAATAGATTTTAAGAGTACATAGATTCTGATAATTTAATAATTTTATACCTTAAATCAAATTTCAATCCATCTATTAAGAATGGATTACTCAAATATTCTTATACAACATAATGTTTGTCTAGAAAGGGATCCAATTTTTTCGTTAAAAATATTCCCCTGCCTTAACAATTTGCTTCTGGTTTAACTATAAATATTGTTGTTCCCTATTTCTATCTTACCTCTTCACTTTAATATGGTAATTGCCATGTTCTTGGAAAGAAATCATAATCATCAGGAAACATTTTCCTCATCCTATTCAAATTACGACAGAGTTCATTCTTTTTCCCTAACATATAAGATCCAGGAAAATGATTAATTCTTTAGTATGGCAATAAACGACGATATTCTTCATCAGTTACATAAGTATCTTTCCAAAATATATGACATTCAATCTCTGAAGGTGTAACTTTCCATTCTAACAGCTGAACTGCTTCTTCTATTACTTTATATTTGGTTTCTAGATTTATCAATACTCTTTTATACATTCTAAGTTGATAAGTATTTTTCTTTTTCTGAAATCCCTTTGTAATTAGGCTAATTGTTGTAGAGACATTAAATCAATCATACTTGAATTTTAATATTTATACTTATTTATTATTATTAATATATTCAACCTTATAATTATCACTATCATACTTAACTATGATAATACATTGATGCAAATTTCATAATGATTTCCTCAAAATACAAATAAGAAATATATTATTTAAAATCTATTCAAAATCTAATTAGATTCAATAGAAGAAACTAGTAAGTATTTTATAAATAAGCATTTTTTAATAGTATTATATAAATTATTTTGCTTTCTATAAAGATTTATAAAATTGCCATATTGATTTTATTATATTTAATAAAAAATGCAAACGATATAATTAGCAGAGCTTTTAATAAAAGTTTTCGAATTTGCTTTTCATTTTTTGATGTCTTGATTTACATATAATAAGCTTAAACAATTTTAGAATTAATTTGATATTTTGAAAATACTTTAATTAATTCTAATATACTATTCATTTAATTTAATTTTAATATTGATATAAATAATTATGTTTTAAGTGAAAGCATTAATTGTTGATTACATAAGTGTGTTACTTTCATACAGCACATCTGATTGTTATCAAAAGAATAAAATTTTTTAAAGAATCAACAATTGTTATTATGATGGTTATATTTACACCTCTTTTCATTAAATATGAATAAAATGATAATCTGTATATAGATTTTTAACGAAGATGTTCTTCTTATACAGAATTGTTTTTAAATTTTTGTTGCCCTGTATCAAATTAAAATTTAAATAGAAATCATTTTTTGATAATTTTTTTGGTAAATCTCATATCATATTATAATATTTACAATTTAGACATTTGTTATTTTGAGTTCATTTGTTTTGTACATGAATGAAAAAAATATTAGTTTAAAAGAAGATGAGATAAAATGAGAATCTCTTTTCGACAGCTACTCAATTTGTAACTGTAATGATATATAAATAATATATTCCTTAGAAGACAACACTTTGGATCATAATCAATCAAGTTATCAAAGAGTGAAAATAATATAATATAAGGTTGTATTTTAGCAATAGATTTAATAACAACAATCTTTTAGTTCAATTTTATTAGATATTTTTATTGGGTTAATTTGAATGTAAAGAATTGATCCTTAATTATTTAAATATAAGAAGAATACTTGTAAGTAAATAGGGGAACAAATTTAAGAATAAAAAAAACTAATCTTAAAGGGATCAAGGGAGATTAGAATTTTGTTAGAACTATTTTCTACAAGCCTAAAATAAATTAAGTTGTGGAAATTAGTATGCATGCAATGTGAATTTAAATATATATATTAATATGTATTGTTGGTTTAACAATTTTTCAACAACACCCTGAGTCATCCTTTTTCTTTTTCTTTTGTGGTTACAACTATTGCTATTGAGTATCTTAGGATTCGGATAATGCAATAGAGACTTTGTTATCGTTTTTACGTATAGTTTCATTGATATAGTTTAGGAAAACTAATTTGGCTGCTTCGGTGAATGCATATAATAGAATTCACTCAATACCAGATCAACATTTTGATTGTTTTTGGCACTTGTCTCAAAGAATAAATTTATGCCCTTTTCATCAATAAACGATTTTCCTTCATCATATGAGACTTGACGTCTAAAAATGATATAGAATTGTACTGTTCCTCTAAATCATTTTAAGCACCAACTAAAACAGTCACAATATTTGGAGATGCATTTTCCTTTGCCTCTTTTAACCATCCATCTAATTTCTCTAAAGTATCTCGTCTATTTCATAATAATTAAATTATACTTTGTAATATTATAGACTAAAAATACTGCAGTAACATTTCTATAAAACGATCTTACAATTGATCTGAAAGATTCTTATCCAGCTGTGTCCCATATTTATAACTTTATTTTTGTATTTAAATCAATCTCCACTGTTTTTGAAGAAAATTCCACACCGATTGTAACATTGTATTCTGAGGTAAATTCATCTTTTGTATATCTTAACAGCAAACATGATTTCCCGACACCTCAATAATTCAATTAATTAATACCGCTTTCTCCAATTATGATAAATTTAAATAATGGTGTTTTATCAGCTGAGGAATTCATCATCGTAAATTCTTTAATATTTTAATTTATGTCGAAAAAACAGAAGTACACTTAAAAATAGACCAAAAAAATTCTAGCTTAGGACATAAATGAGAGTGATTAATCACATTTCTTCAGTCTTCTTGGTGATGATTATGAAGTAAGAATTATTTTCAATTATAATAGAATAATGACAATATTAAAGTAGCTTAAAAAATACTTGGAGATTATAAAACTCTTCTTTAGTATTCTGCAAATAAATTTTGGGCAACTATCTCATACAATTTAAACCTCTAAAATTCTTTAGACCTTTTTTTGAGATATGCACCAAGAAAATATTTTCTCAAAGAAACTCTTCATTTTACAGGATATTATGGAGTACTTTTAAAAGAGATTTTTAAATGTGTCTTTGCAATTTATTTAAGATTAATAGATTTATAAAATGAGGATGAAATTCTTTACGAATAAATTGGTGTTCATGATTTAGTTTACTAAAAATGGATCTTTGATGTCATGAAATTAACTGATATCTGCACAATATATGCTCATTAAAATGAAAGTAATAATTTGATTGTATAAGCTTAGATGCTGTAAAGAAAATTTGTTAATTTGTATTCAATTATCAAGCTTATCAAGATGATTATAAATCAACAATAGATTCTTTTATGAAAAATGTTCTTTAAAAAATCTATGAAGAGATATTTTAGATAAACAATAAATCAGCAAATGAAAGTGAAATAATTATAAGTGATGTTGAATAAAAAATGGAATTATTAACTTTAATGTTAGATTCAATAGAGACAGCGATAGTTTGGGCAAAGTATTTTCCACAAAAGTAACATCTATTTAAGCCAGAAATAATGTAATGTTTTGAATAGATTTTTTATGAATTAATTTTGGCTAAAGGATATAGTCGAGGAAGTACATAATTGGCAGGTATTTGGAAATCATAATATTTATAAAATTTGAACTATTTTTTGAAGCAAGCAGTTTAAAGATTAATTGAATTCTTTGTTTTATATATGAGATATGTGGAAGATTTAATAATGACAAAACAGATAAAGTAATGTTAGGAACATATGGTTTATTTGATTTAGAATTTCGGTACAATGAAAAGGAAATTTAAATCTAAGAAAGGAAATTAGAGTTAGAATAAAGAATGGACACTTTTTGAGGCACTTTATGAGAATAATTTTAATATGATTGAATTGTTAATGAATACTCCATGGAATTAGATAAATTTACCAAAGGATGATATAGAAGAGGTAACACTTTTAATGACTACAGTAATTGATGAGAGAGAGAGACTTAAAGATAGAATGAATAATAATGAGATAGAGAATTTTGATGTTTTTGAAAACTTTGATCCTAGTTAATCTACACTTCCTAAAGAAATTTTAGAGATAGATGAAAAATAAGAGATTGAAGATTAAGAAGAGGATGTAAAAGAGAAAGAGGGAAATGTAGAAGTGAAATAGGAAGAGAAATTAGTGGAAATAATATCAAAAAAGAAATAGAAATTAACATTTGATTAACCATTGAAAGATAGAATAGAGATGGCAGAAATAACTGCAAAATTATATAATGATGAACCAGATGATACATATGATTATTAGGAAGCATTATAAAGACCAGAGAAAGAATATACAAGTAGTGATGAAGATGAATTTGATGATTATGTTCCAAATGATCATTTTGTTAGATATGCATAACCACCTTCTAAGAAATAATTTAATTCATAAGTAAATTCAGGACATAGTTTGAGTTATTAAAATTTGGATAGTAATAATGATAAATAGAAAAAAATATTTCAGAATCCAAACAAATAACCATAATAATAGTATTAATAAAAAGATTAAAAGAGTTATGAAAAAGGTTTCAGTGATGAAGAAGATGATTAAGGTGGAAAGAATAAAAATAATAAAAATAATAAAAATAGTTATAACGATAATCGTGGTTTTTAAGAAAAATCATAGAAAGTATATGTTAGAGAAAATCAATATTATAATAATAATAATGAATATTAGAGAAAATAATAGAATAATAATAATCAAAAATAGGAGGATCGAAATAAAAATAGAAATTAAGAATAATAGAGGAATGATGATTCTTATAAAAGAGATGATTATGATAGGGAAGAGAGAGTTTAAGGAAATAATAATGATCAAAAGAAGGTTTTGTAGAAAGAGAGAAATAGAGATGGTGGTTATGTAGGAAGTAATAAAACAAAAACATAATAAGAATATGAATAGAAATAAGAAAGTAATTACGAATAATAGTAGAAATAAAATAATAATAATAAGAATAGACAATAATAATAAACAAGAAAGAATTTGAATTTAAAGGCTCCATCTTATGAACTTTTTGTTCCTAAGGAGGAATATGAATAAAAAGAATAATAAGTTTAAGAATAGAGATAGGATAAGAAACATCAAAGAGGATAAAAGTGAGTTTGAATATATAAAAATAAATAATTTAATCTAGAATTTCTAGAATTTACTATTGAGAGACTATTTAATTTAATTGTGGGTATTTTTGACTAATAAATAATTTGTGTATAAATTGTTAATGATTTCTTCATCTAGAAAGCTCTTTGGCAATATAGTATTGGGAAAATCCCTTGTATCTACACCAGTTTTCTTTGCAGGAAAAGAATTAAGTTTTGGACAGGAGTGTAGATAATAGATGTTGAGAGGATGTGACAAATTAGCAGATGCAGTTTAGACAACTCTTGGACCAAAAGGAAGAAATGTAGTGATTGATTAAGCTTTTGGTGGTCCAAAAATTACAAAGGATGGTGTTACTGTAGCAAAAGCTATTGAATTTTCTAACAGATTTGAAAATATTGGAGCTTAATTGGTAAAATCAGTAGCATCTAAAGCTAATGATGAAGCTGGTGATGGTACAACAACAGCTACAGTTTTAGCTAGAGCCATATTCAAAGAGGGAGTAAAAAGTGTAGCAGCTGGACTTAATGTAAGATTTAGTTATTTATATTAATTAGCCAATGGATTTAAGAAGAGGTATCAATATAGCATGTGATGCTGTTGTTAAAGATTTAAAAAATAGATCTAAATAAGTTAAATCTAAAGAAATGATTGAAAATGTTGCTACAATCTCTGCTAATGGAGATGTTGAAATTGGAAAATTGATCGCAGAACTTATGGATAAAGTAGGAGAACATGGAACTATTACTGTATCTGATGGAAAAACACTTCATCATGAAATTGAATTTGTAGAAGGTATGAAATTCGACAGAGGATACATCAGTCCTTATTTTGCTACTGATGCTAAGACATAAAAGACAGAGTTTGAAAAACCATACATCTTAATTACAGATAAGAAGATCTCAAATATTCAATCAATTCTCCCTATTTTAGAACATGTTGTTAGAGAAAGCAAACCACTCTTAATTATTTCTGAAGATGTTGAATCAGAAGCTTTAGCTTAATTAGTTCTTAATAAATTAAGAGGTGGTCTCAAAGTATGTGCTGTTAAAGCACCTGCTTTTGGAGTAATTATTATTTATATATTCATAGGATAACAGAAGAGCTATCTTAAATGATATTGCTATCCTTACTGGAGCTACTGTTGTTACAGAAGATCTTGGATTAACTTTAGATAAGGCTGATCACACTGTTCTTGGATAATGCAAATCTGTCCTTGTCACCAAAGATGATACTATCATTATGGATGGAATTGGATCTAAGGAAAGCATCAATGAAAGATGTGAAATTATCAAGGCTTAAATCTCAGAATGCACTTCTGATTATGATAAAGATAAACTTAAAGAAAGATTAGCTAAAATATAAGGAGGAGTTGGAGTCATTAAAGTTGGTGGAGCTTCAGAAGTTGAAGTTGGAGAAATCAAAGATAGAATCACTGATGCACTTAATGCCACTAGAGCTGCCATTGATGAAGGAATTGTTGTTGGTAAATTTATTTTATTAATATTTAGGTGGTGGATGTGCTTTATTGTATGCAACTAGAGTTTTAGATAAACTTAAGGGAGATAACTTTGATTAAAATATTGGAATCTAAATTGTTAAAAAAGCTATTGAATTACCATGCAGAACTATTGTTGAAAATGCAGGAGAAGAAGGAGCTGTTGTTGTTGGAAAATTATTAGAAGGAAATGATGAAGAAGTAGGATATGATGCATCTAAATCATAATACGTTAATATGATCAAGGCTGGTATCATTGATCCAACAAAAGTTGTAAGAACTGCACTTGTTGATGCTGCTTCTGTTGCTAGCTTAATGACAACTACAGAGTAAACTATTATCATATCGTAGATGTATGATTGTTGAAGGAAAAAAAGATGAAAAAGCCGGAACTCCAGACATGGGAGGCATGGGAGGCATGGGAGGAATGGGAGGAATGTATTGATAAAGTGATTATTGTTCATTTAGTATCAAATAAGTTATTATATCTTTTTTAATAATGCTTCTATAGTTACACATATTATACTAACGATTAATGAATGAAGTAATATTTATTAATCTTCTAAAAATAAGTATATGTTTTATTGAAAATTGCTTTAAAATTTAATTTTTCTGATTCTTCATTTAATTAGTCTTTACTTTTTTAATTTAGTTAATTTATTTAAGAATCTATAATTCTTTCAATTAAAGAGTCGGAATAACTAAAAAGTGTATTGAATTTTTATGATAGAAGTTAATGATCATATTCCAAAGACTTCACGGATAGATTGTTCTTCATTGTATTTGAAATTACCAAATGTAAATTGGTTCTTTGGCATAGATTTTTCAGGATCAATTTTATTTACAAATTGTTCGTTTGGTTATTAAGGAATTTTGTATGCTTCTGTAAAAAAAATATGGTTATTTGACTTACTACGATTGAGATTCTAAAGAACAGGATTATTTTTGAAAATATTTGAAGTTTTGCTTTTTTTAACCATAAAGACTATTTTAAGCATAACATGATCTTGAAATTAACTAAAATATATTATGATTGTTATAATTTTAATGACTCTTATTTAATAAATTCTTCAAAAGTTTTTTTTAATATTATTTTTGATTTTCATTTTGATAAAAAATGTATAGGTGGTCAAGAGACTAGGTTATTTTTCAATCCAAAATAGAGGGTGAGCAAATTCAAGTATATAAAGTCTTCAAATAAATTAATGACTTCAATTAAAACATCATTATTAAATTGATTATCATTTTTAAATATAAAAGAATTAGATAAATTTGTTTTCTATGATGAATTTGAAATGGAGATTTTTCGTGATAGAAAAGTGCAGTGCATAATAAATTTTAAAATTTATTTAAATTATTATTATAAAAATATTATGATAAGATATAAAAAAGCAAAAAGGATAATAGCAGATTTAATAAAATTAGAAGTAGATATAGTATAGATGTTAAAAATTAACTGGGATTGTGGATGTTTTAAATTTAATAGTTCAATAAATATGGATTAAATTTTTTATACTTTAAAGATAAAGAATTGATACATTATTGCATGGTAATAATATATGGAAACAATAATAAGTATTTGATAATCATAAGATTTTACGATTATTGAGAATAAAAAGGCAGAGACAGTTAAGGATTAAAAGAAAGTTGAAGAAATAGAAGAGGATGTTTATATGGATGGTTTGTTGATTGAAAATGAAAATAAAAATAATACATTAATATTTTAATATTATGAAATCTAATAAATTAGAGAAATACGAAAAGAAAGAGAAACTTGGTGAAGGTACCTACGGAATAGTGTATAAAGCATTGGGTATTGTTAATTTCTTATATTATATATTGTTAGATCGTAATACTAGTGAATATGTGGCATTAAAAAAAATAAGACTAGAGTCTGAAGAAGAAGGCATTCCAAGTACAGCAATTAGAGAGATCTCTCTTCTTAAAGAGTTGAATCATCCAAACATTGTTAAGTAATACTAAGTCTAACTAGATTGATGGAGGTCGTACATTCAAATAAGAAACTAGTACTGGTCTTTGAGTATGTCGAAATGGATCTTAAGAAATTCTTTGCTTAATTCCCTAAAGAGAAAGGAATGGAACCAGTAATTGTTAAAAGTTTCCTCTATTAACTCTTAAGAGGAATTTAAGCATGTCATTAATAAAAAATATTACACCGTGATCTCAAACCATAAAATCTCTTGGTTTCAAAAGATGGTATACTCAAACTTGCAGATTTTGGATTAGCTAGAGCTAGTGGTATTCCTGTTAAAAGTTTTACTCATGAAGTTGTTACTTTATGGTATAGACCACCAGATGTCTTATTAGGCTCTAAAAATTATAATACTTCTATTGATATATGGAGTGTTGGTTGTATCTTTGCTGAAATGTCAAATCTTAAACCTCTTTTTGCTGGAAGCAATGAAACTGATTAATTAAAAAAGATATTCAGAGTTTTAGGAACTCCTTCTCCTATTGTAATCTAATCTCTCAATATTTTAGGATTATCCTAAATTGAATGATCTACCAAATTGGAAACCTGAAAACTTTGAATAATATCAACCTGATAATCTAGCTAAGTTTTGTCCAAGACTAGATTAAGATGGTCTAGATTTATTAATCAAAATGCTTAAAATCAATCCTGATCAAAGAATCACAGCCAAAGCTGCTTGTGAACATCCCTTCTTTAAAGAATTACCAGAATAAGTTAAGAAATTATATGTTAACATCAAGTGAGATTTCATAAATCAAATATATATCAAATTTCATATCAATTTCTCTCCTCTTTACTATTTATTTTTTTCTATCAATCTACTATTTATTTTTATCAATCTTATTTCTTATGAATCTAAACACAATATTATCTAAATTATATTATTATATATAAATTATAGCTTTTTATTTTTTACTCCAAATTATAACTATATATATATATATTAATCAGATACAAAAAGATGATGTTTTCATTAATTTTTATGATACTATACCTTTAAATAGTTCATTTAATTTCTCTACTTCTTAATTTCTAACTGAAATCAAATCTTATCTAACCTAAATATTTTAATCATTATTATACTCTATCAATTTCAGATTTCATCTTTATCTCACTTTCCTCCTTCTCATAAAATCTCTTTAATTCTTATTTCAATTCTTCATTCTCTTATTTCACTAATCCCACTTTTCTATCTAATTCACTCAATTAATATCTCATCTAATGATGATTTTCTTTGTATTATTGTAGTTTCACTATCTCTTATTATTAATCCTATATAACTTATTTTAATTCTTCTAACTACTAATTTATTTCTATTCTACTCTATCTCATTTCACTTTATATTTTCTTTCTCTCACTTTTATAATTTTTCATTTCTTCTTTCAATTTCTAATTCTCCTCCTTTATTGGTTCCATTGCAAATAACAAATCATCTAACTTTTAAATTTCAACTTTCAATTATTCATTATCCAATTCCCATTTCATTTTCTATTCCTCTTATTCACGCTATCTTTCTAAATGTAACGACTAAATTTATATTTTCATTTACATTCAAATTATCATTATCCTTTCTTAAATGTAAAACCAACTCACTTAACTCTTATATATCTCTCAATAAATCATCCCTTTCCTAAATCTATTTCTTTGATCTCTAAATCTCCTTCTCTTAATTTTTTATCTATTCTTGAAAAGCAACTCTTAATTAAACAATATCATCTGACAAATTCTAATTCTAAATCTACAATTCTCCAATCGCTTGATCCTTCTTTAAAAATTCCACTTTTAATACTTCCATCTGTATTCTATTTCAATATATTTATACCCTCTCTCTTTGCTCTTTCAATTAACTAATGTAGTACTATTCTTGCTCTATTTGTTTCAACTCATTCATTCTTAACTTATCGTTGCTATTAATGAACTCCATGAATTTTCCTGTCTGTTATTGCATTAATAAATAAATTCAAAGATGCTCTTTAATTAATATATAAGAATGAAAATAATTCATTATCATATTCAAGTATTCATTATTACATAAACATAATAATACTAGGTGCTAAATTAATTTAACTATCTAAATCCATTTCGAACAAAATTTTTATTCAAAATCATTAATCTTTAAAGTTTATTTCAAATATTATAAATTTTTTTATCTTTAATTCTTCATATCATCTCCTTAGGTTTTCTAAAAATATATCAATGTCAGAGTCTAAGAAATTAGCAAAAATTGTAATAAATATATATAGGAAACTTTAGCTAAATCAAAAAAAAATAATATTCAAATTAAATTCTAATATAAAACTTAACTAGAAAAATCTGTTACAAAGAATCGAATTTTTAATTTTTTGGATTTTTTTTATTTATATTTGATAAAGAAAAAATCAAAATGGTTTCATTGAATAACTTTGAGAGTATTAACCAACTTCACATAAATTTCTTTCCTCATAGTTTTCCCCTGAATATATACACTTTATATCCTGTATAAGTTGATTGATGTTTTCCTCCCACTATTCACAATCTTAATATGGATTTTGAGGAACTGATACATTTTATATTGTATCGAAAATTTTCCCTAAAAAATTCTCTTAATCTATCTTAATACCTTAACCATATAGATTTAAGATTAATTTTTCAGGTTTTTTTTTCCATTCTTTCAGAATAGCCCATTTAACCAAATTAGGGTTTTTCTCTTTATCAAAAAACTCCTACTCTAATATATTCCCTGTTTCCAAAGAAGCAATTTTCTTTAATAAGCGAAAGAATTATTTACTCATAATATTCTTTAATAAATTAAACTTTAAAGGTGATTAATTTTAATTAATTTCTTAAGTTTAATGATAATTTTAATTCTTAACTTTATGAGGAAAAAAAAATAAAGAGTTCTTATTCTTATTTATTTTTAATCTTTTCATAAGTAAAATTTATTTAGTCTAAAATTAATTAAATGAAATTTATTTACTTTAACATCTTTTAGGGAAGCTTGCCTTTTTTTTTTGAATAATTAAAATTGATCTTTTTTATAATTCTAAATAAAGTCTTAAAAAAGCTCCATACGATTTTTTTCTATATTAGCTTCTTATTAGTTTATTTCAAAATTTAAAATATATTTTTTGTTTTCATTCATATCCCCTAAGATTTGATCACTAATTTTAATAAGTGTTTTTGGAGTATTGTGTTCCTAAAGTTCTTTGTAATCGGAAATGAGTTGTGTTATGTACTCTTAAAAATGTTGTTCGTTCAATTATAGTTTATTTTTTTTTATCAGATCAGAATTATTAATTTCGGACTTGAACTCTTCTTTTGAATTTAACATTAAATATAATTAAAAATCTTTCTTGAAGATATTACTTTTTTATCCTTCAACCCATTTAAATTACCGAATATCATTTTGAATAAGTAATTAAACTAACTTTACAAGCATCTGATCTTGAAACCAAAAATCAATATTGATTGGTTCATTAGTGTTTTGATTCATGATATTATTTTAATTTAAATTATTAAGTGATGATAATTATTATTATTTACATGCTATTTAAAATGAAAAATATATGAACAGATAGATTAGTAATATAAATTTTAAAATATTAACTTATTTAATTAATTAAAAATAAAACCACTTGGTGAATATAAAATAGAAATAATTGATATTTTCATTTGCTAAAGATTCCATCAAAATTGATTGAACTTAATTTAACAGGAACTTTTGTATTAGGCTATTATTAAATTTACATCGTTGGTAGAACAGCTTACCTATCAACTAACTCTAATCTCTCTCTTTCTTCTTGAGTTACTTCCTATAAATAGAATAAATGTATAATACTCTGCCATCTAAATAGAGTATAGTTGGCAATTTCCTCAACACCATTTAACGATATCCAGGTCTTCGACTTAAAGAATTTCCAACTAATTCTAATTCTTTAAGTTATGTTAATGGAACTAAATGCTCAATATCTGGTAGATCATTAATTCTATTAGAATTAGCAAATAAATGCTAGGTTTAATGAATTTACAGATTACCAATAATTTATATAATTTTTAAATATTCTAAAAATTCTTAAGACCATTGCCATCTATCTTCAAACATCTTATAGGATTTGATCCTCCAAATGATTAAGGGTCGAATTGTCTAACTTTGTTTTAATTTAAATCTAATTCTTTTAACTATTTTAAGTTATCTAGGAAATCCACCCTAACAATTTCATTTTTTTCACATTTCATAATTTTTAATTCCTTTAATAAACAAAATTACAATCCATTAAATTCCTTTAAACAATTTTATGAGATATCCAAAATTTATAATTATTAACATCCATTCAATCCTTTTTTTTAATTAATATCATTAGGACAAAGTAAAGTATCAATTTTATTGGATGCCAAAATTAATATTTTTAATTAAGGTAAGAAGCCAAGCATTTTAGTAGAAGTAAATAAATTATGACTTAAATCTAATTCAACAAGTTATGGAAATTATTAAACATTGAAAACATCATCAAAATCTCTAAGTTCACAATTTTGTAAACATAATTCAGTTATTTTATTAGCTGATTATCCTTACAATCTAGAATACAAAATTTCTTCTGTTAATCTACCTGTATAAAGATTCTTAGCCATTTATTATTCTGATGCTTCAATAGAAATACCATCTAAAACTTTAAGTTTAGGTATAACATAAAGAACATATGCTCTATAATTTGTATCTCTAGCAAATGGATTTCCAGAAAGATCTAAAATGATTAACTTTTGTAAATGTTTAATATTATTGATTTCCTTTTAGTTTGTAATATTATTATTTCCTAAATAAATTTCCATTAGACTTTTGAGATCTGGAAAATCTCTTAAATGAAGTATTGCATTATCTTCTAATGACAATTGCATCAAGTTTATAAGATTTGAGATTCCCTCTATTATTGATATTCGATTTCCTCCTAATTCTAATTTCTTTAAATACTACATATTATCTAATTCTTAAATTTATATTATAGAATTCTTTTCTAAATTTAATTCTTCCAATAAAACTGAATCTTAAATAGAAGTAATCTAAGCTATTTTATTATGTCCAAGATTTAAATGTCTTAATTAAACTAATCCTTCCAATCCTTTCATACTACTCAACTTTTGATGGGTGATCATTACTGATTAAATGTTCTATCTCCAATCCATCTAAACTTTACTAAATGTTTAAAGCATTGCTGTAGTTATTAATTACTTTTAATTTGTTGTTTTTTCTTTGTCCTCATCCGTAACTGGTAAATGATCTAAAAATTTTAAATTATTTAAAACCATTACTATTTCTTTTCTTGTTTCTTTATACTCATTAATTGGGTTAAAGACAACACATAAATACTTTAATTATGCATTATATTTAAGTAAAGCAATTTAATCAATGTCTTAAATATTATTGTGAGTTAAATCTAAGACTTCTAAATTATTCAAATGTTATAATCCATTTAAATTACATATTTCATTATGTGATAAATCTAATCTAACTAAATTTGGTAGTTCATTCAAACCAGTAATTGTACTTATTTTATTATAACTTAATATCAATGTATGAAATTATCCTTTTACAAATGTAATATCTTGTACACAACAATTACTTAAATTTAAAAATTAAGTTTAATTTTTAAGAATATCATTTAAATCTGGTGTGCCAACAAGATTTGGATTCAATTCATACAAAGTTGATCTACTCAAACAATATTTAAAATAATTTATTAAAGCTGGCTTTAAAGATGCACATTCTGATCTATCCAAATCTTATGCTTTAAGTTCATAAGTTGGATATTCTTCTAAATTTTCAAATTAATAAGTATTTAAATCATCAGCCAATTAATTGTACATATCATTTATACTTTCCTTTTATTAATTAGTATTAGCAGGAGTAATGAAATCATCTTCTTCTTATTCCAAAACTCCTAAAGCAGAACCGAAATCAGCAATTTTATTTTGTAATGGAGATTGCATAACATATTCAAATTCTGCAAAATATTCAGGTAATACTAAATTGTTATCTAAAACAAACCATAATTTATGTTTAGGATCATTTTCCATTACTCTATAAACAGTGTATTCATCTTAATATTATCTTCCATCAATTGACTATTTTTAAAACATCTCACTCCAAGGTTACTCAGGATTAAAATATGGATATTTTGAATCTGGAACAGACTTAATCATTAGTACTTTACAAATAAGTAGCACTCCAGGAGGTATCACATTATATTTTTAATAGTACAATCTAGTTTATATATATTTCAATATATTACCTTCTCTTTATAAATCTTTTATTTAACTTTTAATTATGGTCTTATCCATTTAAAATATATTAAATTCTTGATGCATCTGCTCCCAAAATACTATTTACTAATGGTGTATAAGCACTTAATCCTATAGATTTCGATTCCTATTAAAAAATATTACAAATATTAATTTACTTAACAACATCTGAATCCTTCTTCAATTACATTATAAATTTCTGATTAAAAATTAGGATCTACACCATAAAATAAATATTCTAATGACTTTTTGTGACTCTAATTTGAAACATCTACCAATGATTCCATTTTCTCTTCAAACTTATTTCGAATAAATTTATTGTGAATTCTTACTACTCTCTTTATTTATATATCTTTAATCCCATACTTAGCCATATTTTCAGAATGAAATCTAGAATTGATAAGATCAACACAAGACACATACCATTTTTCATTTGTTTTTCCTTCCTCTAATCTTATATTACCTCCTGTTTCCAATTCAGTTATCAATTTATGTATACTTTAATTACAGTATTCATAAACCTTCTTTTTTATGCTATTATAAATATCATTCTAATTCTCATATTCTTCCTATTTATTCTCTAACAATTATTATCTATCCTTATCTGCTTCTTAAGCTAATTTTATATTTAAATTAGAAATGTCTTCACATAATGAATCTGTTTTAATTTTCTTTCCTTTTTTCAATAATTTACACAAAGTTGAAAATGTTCTTTACATAGTTTTTATTCTCATATTATAGTACATTTTCTTTTTCATAAAAGTACCTTCAGCAAAAGATTTCTATTCATCTGATATTATTAGAGTATCTAATTTGAAAATGTTTCTTAAATGATATAAGACATATGTTTAATAATTGCAAAGGTTACAAATTGGATTATCACCAAAATGAGGATCATAAAAAGCTAAAACCCTTAAGTTCGGTAAACGATTTAAATTTAAAGCTTCTTTAAAACTACATATTTTATTTCCGCTTATATTCAAATCATGTAAATTCTTTAATCTATCAAGAGATGTTCTTAAATAACTTATTTAATTAGCTGCTAACCATAATTATTTCAAATTAACTAAATTTTCTAAATTTTGAATTGCATCAATTTTATTATCACAAAGCCATAAAGTTTCTAATTTTACTAGATTTTCTAATCCTTCAAGTTTTTAGATTGCATTATGAGAAATGTAAATTGATTTTATATTAACTATCCCCTTTAATCCACCTAATTTAGTAATTGAATTCTCATTCAAATTTAATTCCTCTAATTTTGTCAAATCATCTAAACCCTTTCATATAATAAATTAATATATACTTCTATTGCTGCAATCCCTACATTTATAAGAGTCAAAGATTTCAAATTTTTGAATACTTAAACAACATTCATTCTCCCAAAATCTTCAAGCGTAAGTTCAATCCTCTCAATTTTATCTAAGTGATTCCATTCCTTATCAGTGAAACCATTCATAATTTTCTACAGATTTAATGTATTCTTACTATAATTTCCATTTTCCCACTATCTCCTTTCTTTTTCTCTTCTTATTACATTATTTATTATTATATATTTTTGAGATTTTAGCAATTTTAAAAAAATATATTAAATATTTATATTAGATCAATATTCATTTACTGACACATCAGATGCTACAATATTTACGGCTTTATACGTCTAATAAATTAGAAGAACTCTAAATCATCCTCAACTCTGTGATTACTTTATTCAGACCATGCAGGTAATTTTATAGTCAGCGTTTCAGAATTTGATAAATAATTATGATCCTTTGTCACAGGCATTGGTGGAAATTTAATTCCAACAAAAGGTTTCTTTGCCAGAGCTATAATTTATTATTTTTAATAACAATACGATTGTAAACATAAATATGCTTTTTATTTACATCTGAACTAGTTAATGACTCTGTTTTAGAAGCTATATTCAAGACAACATCAGTTTAATTATTCTATGATTCTTATTAATCCGATTCTGGGTCCATTACTATTGCTTTATCCACAAAATTAGCTTAATCATTTTTTACTTCAGGTAATTCTTGTGCTCTTTATTATCTATTGTAAAATTATACTAGATCTCATCATCAATCTTATCAATTTTCAATGATTCCTATTACTCTAAATTTTCAGCTTAATCTTTTCATTTATTGTTATATATTACTACTTGATGTTACTGACTCTTCAATGTAAATCATAGGATTATCATCACTTTTGAATACTGCTAAACTAGCATCTATCTCTCCATTCTCTTTACCTTATAAAGTCTCTCCTGATATGTCATTTGTCCCTACATAAAAACTTTAATCTTCTTATTCACTCTAAACAATTGCTGTCATATATCATTCATTAATACTTTGTTCTTCTTCAATTAAAGACTTCGATGATCCTCTTAACATTTAAGAACCACTATAGCAAATTAATACTATAAGTATAAGAGTCTTCATTGAATATTTATAATAATAATTATTAAAAAACGATAAAAAATATTATAATTTGTTTCTTACTCACTTTAAAACTAAAAACAATCAGTTTTTACTCTAACTCAAAAAACCAATCTTGAATCTCATATTTTATAATATCCATAAATAGTTTTTCTTAAAAACACTATAAATAATAAGATTTCTAAAATTTTCTTATCAATTCTTAAAAGATTTATAATCATAACATATTTTTTAATATTTACTTCCAAATTAAGTTTATATTCTTCTCTTAATATTCTCAAAAGCAATTAACTACTACAATTATTATGTAATTTATTCATTCATAAACCAACAAAATATTATAAAAATGGCATTTCATTTATATATTATTACACATTCTAAGTAAAGAGTTTCAGATTGAAAATTTAATAATTAATTAAAAAAGGTTTGATATTAAATTCCATTTTTATTTATTGAAATAACATTAATTTATTTTTACTTCAAATGTAATAAACATTTTTTATTAAGAATATTTATTTTCATTCTGGTTTCTTTTATAAATAATAGTATTAAAATATCTTAATTTTGATTAAATGAAAATTTCAAATTTTCTTTTAATGGATTAATTTTTTCGAATAATTCTTGCTTAACTTCTTTTAATAACCTTAAATAAAACGTGCGAACTGTTTTTATATTAATTTAAAGAAAAAAGACTAATGAAGTACTTTAATCATTAAAAGCATTTCTTAAAAAGATATCCATTTTATTTGAATAGATACTCATAATAAATTATCATTAAGTAAGTTGTGAGTTAATTTAACAATTAAATTATTTAGTTTAAATGTTTCACTTCCATTATATAGATCATCAATTTTTTTATTAAAAATTTTAAAAATGGAATAAATTTTTATTTTAAAAATCTGAAACTTATCAAACTTTATTAAACTTTTAGTCTTAAAATTTTTTAATTTAGAATCAATTCTTTCTGATTGTCTTTGCCTAATTAAATAAATAAAGAACTTTTCAATTTGATTATAAATTTTATAGAGCAAAGAAATGAAGTCTTTAATAAAAAATATTAATTATAAATAATAAATAAATAATTAGTTTAAGTTTTCTTCATGAAATATTTAAATATTGTTAGGCTAAGTTAAATGAATAGAACTTACAAATAAGTCTATAATATATCTCATATAAATACTATTAAAATACTTAAATTTAGATCTACAGTTTATTCTTAATTTTATTATTGTATCTCTGAATACAAACAAAAATTTTATTCAATAGGAATAAAGCTTACAAAATAGATAGTTAAAGAGAGGAGTTAATAATAAAAGTAAAGAAGAGTTATTTAAAATAAAATTTTGATAACATTAAATTATGGTATTGCAGTTATTTCACTATGTTTGGGTATTTAGGGAATAAATTTATCGTTTTTTAATGTATTATTTTAATATAAATCTTTAGGAAAATGAGTAGTAGTTAACAAGAATTCTTTGAGTATATGAGTGAGACACTATAAACATCTTAAGCAGGACTTAAAGAGATGCAAAAATCGAATCCATAAAGTAAAAAGAAAATTCTAATAATTTTTAAGATTTCTAAAAGTTATTGGAAAAGATGAAGCGTACGATGAGAAGAGAGAAAGCAAAATAAAGAAAACATAAGGATGAACCAGAAATAGTATAGAGCAGTAAGAAAATAAAGAGAAAGAAATAAGATGATGATCCATTAAGAGAGAATGATAAGAAAACAATATAAATGATAAGAAATAGAATCAGTGCATAAAATTCAAGAGATAGAAAGAAGCAATATTTATAACAATTAGAAAATTAAGCTTAAAAGGAATTAAACTATAATGCAGAATTAAGAAAATAATTAGAAGAGCTATAAGGAAGACAATAGAAATTGAGAAATAAGAGTTAAAAAATAAGAGATTAATTATCTATACTTTAACAATTAGGTCGTTGTTCGAGATTAGGTAAGATAGGTCTCACACTCTTGACTCTTGTTTCAGTTTTTTCTGTAATCTCTCAAAAGGAAACTTAACAAACAATCTCTTCTCCTCTTGTTAAAGTTGAAGAATTATCAAATGAGAGTGCAATAGTACCAATAAATGATGAGAAATCATACTCAGTAATTGATACTAACACATTTTTCGAGGAAGAAAAGATTGTTGTTTGTATGTCAGAAGAATCTGAAAATAGTTATTAATAAATGTTACCGAATTCATTATATCGGTTGAATTCACACATAGAATATAATTATCTGCACTAAATTTGAAAAAGCTGTATTGAGTTTATGTATATTATAATAAGAGTAATTATATATAAAAAAAATCATATTGATCTCTCTTTTGGTTATTTATATTATAAACCAAGAATTCTATAAACATCAATTTCTTCTTCACAAGGAATTACTTCTCCTTTCCATTATTTCTTATTGTTAGAACCCCTTTAAGTTGGATATAGACCATGATCACTAAGACTATATCCAATTTTTTAAGCCCATAATCTCATACTTCTATTATATTAATCAGAACCAGTGAAATACAAAACAGCACAACCATACTGTTCTTTTGGATATAATTTTAAATCAATTCTACGATGAATTCCTTAATTATTAATTCTTCCTATCCCCATATAAGATTCATTATCATGTTCTCCTTTTTTAGGTAAGGTAAGATGATAAGTAAGTAATTTACCTTCTAACCGTTAAACTAAATTCATTAAAAAACCATCGCTATTCTTACCATCACATCTTGTTATTAAAATATCCATATCTCCACAACTTTCCTTCTCTCTTCTATATGAACCACAAGCAGTAGCTTTATATAATCCAGATATTCCACTTAAATCATCTATTTCTCTTTTCACTATTTCAAAAATTATTGTAGCTTCATCTCTTGGTATACGTTATTCTAATTCTTCTACTAAATCTAGACATATTTATTAGTTTTTTGTTAATAAATGTTAATTCTTTCTTAAATCATCTAATGTTTTTATTCCTTTGAAATAAAATGTAGCTGCAGTTGTTGGTCCTATTCCCCAAACTCTACTTAATTAAGTTATTGCTATATTCTTTTCTTAACCTTATAATTTTTAAACCTTTTATAATTAACCTGTCTAAATTATCTCAATTATTTTCTTTTTAATCTTTTCTCCAATTGTTGGCATCTCTTTTAAATCTTCACTTGATCTTATTGGAAATGTTAATGACTTTATATAACCAATAGCTTTTCTATATGCTATACATCTTCCTTTATCTTTTTCGTTTGTATAAATCTTTAATAACTTTTCTAATTCCTCTATTATCTAATTATTAAAACACTTTTAAGCAGATCCAGCATCACAAATAAAAAATTCTCTTTTGTTTTCCCAATATTATATTTGTTATTTAGATCTTGGATTAAATTATTTTGTTTCTTTTAGTTGAGCATTTACTAAAGGTTACTCTATATTTACGATTGCTTTTCCCATATCTAATCCTTATAAAATATCTATTTAAGGCTTACGAACTTCTGTAATTTAACAATCTTCGTCCCCATAAAATTTATTCTACTAAACAATATCATTCTCTTCTTTTTTTAATATTTTAATATCATCTAATAAATATTCATAACCATCATCTACTTAATGATGATAATTATCTAGATCTTTATCGTATTCATAATCTAACATATATCTATTATCTTTGAACATTTATCTTCTAAACTACTATTTACGCTTCTCTTTTTTTTCTTTCAATTCTGGTTTTATTATTGTATATTCTCCACTTTCCATATCTAATTAATCTTCAACATCTTCTTTTAATGGAACTACCTTTCCTAGAGATTCAATAAATACAAACCTTGTATCTGTTACTTGAGGACTCGATCTCTCTGATTTTTTCTCTATTTCTAAAAATAATTGAAATTTTTATAAATCTAACAACTTTTTGGCTTATAAAGATTAAGAAATCCAATCTGCATTTATGAATTGCAAACGATATTATTCAAAGTCTAAATTGATTTTTTGTAATTATTTCTGGCAAGATTCTAATGAAGCATCAGAACCAACAATCATTAGAGTTTTCGAATTCAGAACCATCTCACCTTAATGCAATTCTATTAAATTACGCAAGGTTTTAATTCTATTATTGGTCAGATTGACAGTAGGAAGAGGAAACATAAAAGAAATTGATTTGAACATGAAAATATCTCTTAAAATAATTTTAATTAAAATTATAATCATATAATGAGTGATTCTTTAACATCGTTTGTAAGCAAATCCTTTGGTTATTCCTTGATGTCTAATTTCATGTTAAAGGAATACTTGTGAGAATTGAAATTAAGTAATGGACTGTACCAACTGTCATCACATAGAACAAGTTTTCAACTAAATAAAATAATATTTTCTTTATTTTTTCATGACTTGTAAATTTACAATCTGTTGCATCTTCTTCAGTCAACCCTTCTTCCATTATCAAAAGATTAAATGCATATGCTAATCGAATTATTATTAAAGCATAAACTGTATAATTGTATTTATGAAATCGTCTGATTGAAGTGTATTTAATAGCTAAATATAAAATAGCAGTAGCTGCCCAAAACAGAATGTCACTGATGATATTTAGTAAGTATAGTATACGTATCTTCTAACATCCTAATTTTGACATGTAATAAATTGAATAGCTGAAATTCATTGTATAATATATCTAAAAATCATTATTAGAAATCTTACTGAAGTCAAAACGTAAGCTATCAATATACAAATTGAAGTCCTTTAAAAAACCCTTTCAAATCTAACTAATCTTGATATTGGATGATCAATTTCAAATTAAACAACACTATTATTATTATTCATATTAATCAAAACAAATCAAATAACAATAACTCCTCTCTCTATTGTAAAAACCAATAAACATAATATAGATCTATATCATAAATATAAATTCAACTTTCTTTATTTTGATGAGATTTCTTCCATTAATTCCTCTAAACTTTATCTATATTTTTCTTTAACATAAGGGATATTTGAGATCAAATTTTATCTGGATACAAATTTACTCATTCACTATGAGTTTTTATTAATTTTAAATCATTTTTCATAAGGAGATTCTTAATTTTTTGGATATTTTTTCATTTTATAAGATTTCCTTTTCAATTTTGTAAATCTTATCTAATTTTGTTTGCTTTTTTAACTTAGCTTTTCTATTTAAAAAATATCATCTTCTATCAATTAAACTAAAATAGCATCATAGAATGAATATAATTCTTGCAACTTTTTCCCTTTTATGAGCATTTTCTTATTTTGACTTTCATATTACAATCGTTCTGTATTATAGAATTTTTGAAAATATTTCTGTATTATTTCGTAAGGTATACAGATTAGATCTGTTGTTAGGGTTCTCATTTGAGTTTTTTTTAATTTTTTTTCTACAAAGAAACATGAATTAATTAATTTATAATTTAAAGTTCATTAAGTTTTTAATATAAATAGTAATTAAAGATTTAATATCAATCATATCTTTATGAATTTTAATCAACTTCAAGTTTTATATCATATAATATGAAATTTATCAATTTGAATCTTATTTATTAATATTTATAACAAAACTTTTTCAATTAATTAAGTTAGAAATCAAAAAAAGATAAGTGATTAATATAAAGTTTAAAATATTGAGCTAATTTTAATTCAATTACAAAAAATAAGTTGAAAACTTTTGAATTAAATATGTTTTTTCATTAATAATTTATACAATTTTATATAAAATTAATGAATGTAATATAAGAGGTGAAAAAATTACATAATGATTTACAAAATTCCGAAAAGAGCCATAAATATAGATAAATAATAGAAGAATTATCAGAATACTTTCTTTTTGGAGATCAAAAAAAAGAAGAAATATTTGAGTATTCATTAAATAATTTATTAAGTTATTTTGCAGAACAAAATATTTTATACTTGTTTTTTTAGAAACTTAAGACAGCAAATCATCAATTAACAATTTTCATTATTGAAAAGATGTCTATGATTATGTAAAATGCTATCTCAAAATAGTACTAATCTATAAAATCCACTCAACTTAAATTATGTCTTAAGCAATCCAGTTTTACATGAATTTATAAACTATAATTATGACTTTTCAATTCCAGAAACTGTGGATTATTATGTGAATTTCTTAAAAACTATAGCTATCAGAATTAATCGAGATAATTTTTATCTCTATTTCAATTAGCGATATTGTACCTTCCCTCTATTATGGTAAGCTCAAAAATTTATCAATTATCCAGATGAATTAGTTAAGAACACTGTCTAAAACATTATTTTAAGTTTATCAAAATGTATATTATTGTAGAATATTCATTGTAGTGTCATCAGATCCTAAAAGCGAATAGCAAACTTAATCTGTTATAATAAATTAAAATAAAATTATGATTCAGTTTAAACATTACCTTACATCATCACCTTTCATTTCAGTGTACATGAAATATATAATCCATATCCAAGAGATTTTATAATCTATAAATCTAAAATCATAAGATTAATTAGATAAATTGGAGGATACTCTAATGTTTTTTAATGATCTTATTTCTGAATGTCCTTTTTTATCAACCTTCTTAGAAAAAATAATTATCGATTAATTAATTTTGCCAATTTTAGATGGTTTATTATTAGGTAAAAATACTTCAATAATACTTGGTTTTGAGGTAGGTTTATTTACAATTTATCTATTTCTCACAAAATTACCTTTAGTTTATACAATTATGTCTTTTTTTTATGAAGATTAAATTTTTATCGATCCCTAAATTTAAAATCATGTTTATTAGAAATAATCTTAAAAATGGTTTTATGATACAAAAAATATGGAACAATATTTTTAATAAATATTTTAAAAGGAATTTGATGACATTTAATATAAAAATAATTAATTCATCTAAAATTCGAAAACTAATTAAGTAGAAAATCCATATAAAAATTAATTTCTTTAACTATTAAGAGTATTTATAAGTTAGTAATTTAGTCTAAAGATAGTACATTATTGTATCTATAATTATCAATTTGGTTTGTAGCAAAATAACATAATTATCAAATACCATCTATTCAGATTATAAAAGTAAGCATTCTAATATAATTAGTTATTTAAAATATAAGAGGAATTATATTTTTCAAAAAAGCTTATAGAGTTGATAATTTTATTATTGATAAATGAGGATTTAAAAGAGTTGGAATAATTATATTAAGAGTTATAAAATAATATAGTCTCTATGATTTAGAATTATAAAGTTAAAAATAAAAAATTAAGTGAAGGATTATCTGTTAATTGGGATATTATCGAAAATTTTGATTGGGATAATTTTAAAGTATCAAAACCAGATGTAAAATTAGAAGATTTAAAAACTTAAATTGATAATAATAGACTTTATGAATTTAAATACATCTATTTATGGATTTTGTTGAAGTGTTTAGTAAAGAATTATCCAAAAAAGAAAATTGAAAATATCTATAAAATTGATAAGGAGATTTAACTTTACTAAGCTTGTGAATTTATATAAATACCAAATTCATAAAATGTAATAAATAAATATATAAACTATATAGTATTTAATGCTTGATGTTGAATAAGGATATATAATTCATGCTTGTACTTAAAATACATCAAATACAGCAATAGTGAAATTTCTATAACCTTTAAAAGCTATTGAATGTTCATTTATGAATGACAATTTAATATTAGAATGTAATATGCTATGCATAAATAAATTCAAACCATATTAATTAAAATTTTAAAAGGATGTTATAACATCAGTAATTGACAGAATTTATCAAGCATAACAGTCAATGAGTTAATTAATAATTAATAAATTAGAAGCACTTTTATGATGAAAAAACTGATTTTTTTATAATAAATTGATATAACACAAATAAGTATATAACTCGATTTTCATAATGTTTCATTATGCTTATTACTGATCAATAGATTGCACAACACTCTTTAGCTTTTTGATTATGTTTATTATCATAATTTAGTTATTTCCAACTCTCCACCATTATTATAGTATGTAGTTCTCCTTTTTTTATCTAATCCTTAAAACTTATGCAATGACATTTAGATCCTTTTAGAATTGGAAATCCACGTTTATCTGTTCTGAACTTAAGTTTCTTATTTATTGGACTTAACACAGTATGTGATGTTAATTAAGTTTAGCTTTAAACTTTTTCCATAATTCTTAATAATTTTTCTCAAGGATATAAATTTACCTTTTTAATCATCAAAAAAGAGATCTTTTAATACATTGCTTAATTTACTTGAAATTTTAGAATTGCTTAGCACTTTAAAATTCACAAATCTTAAATTATGATAATTCAATTCAAAGAAACAAATACATTAATTACTCAAAGTTCTTCATAATAATATGCAACATTCATCAGCAACTTCTATATCATTTGGAGGCAAATTGAATTGTTTATAACACTCAACAATAATTATATTATGAATAGATTTCCCAACTATAACTTCATCACAAAATGTGATCTTATGTCCTTTCTATCCTTTTATAATTGGACAACCTGTTTTATCCAAACGTATCACTTTTTCAATTTTTATTTCTTCCTCTTTCAAACCTTCATTCTTTTCCATTTATTTAGTATTTTATCATTATAAATAAAATTCATAAGTCATCCTTTAATAAAGTTGATATTAAGTATTAAAATGCTGTAAAAAAAGTGAGTTAGATTTTAAAATAAATTCTAAAATATTTTTTATTTATTATTCATAGAGCTATATTTAATAGAAAACTATAATATAATTAGAAATTAAGATTTTTATTTTAAATTATTATTTATTTTTTTTGGTAGAAATCTATTCTCAAAATTGCCAAATTTTATTTCTTATTATTAATTATAGGAGACGATACAGAATACTTAATTATGATTGGAGAGGAAAGATTAGTAATTGAAGACTTTTCATTGAACAATTAATAGATTATTTATAAAAAAGGTGATTTTCCACCAAAATTATACAAATAAATTGTTACTGTGAAAATAAACTGTTTATGATACCGAAAAAACCAATGATTCCTTTATATAAAAGAATTAATGATTTAGAAAACTATTTTTATATCATTGAATCATTTTAGATATTAGTTAAAAAAAAAGAAAAAAATGAAGAATTGTAATTACAATTCTGTAGTTATCCTATATAAAAAATTAGACTGTTAATGAAAAATATGATTATTACATCATTCCTACCTTACCCATAATAAAAATGAAAATAACTTGCTTTTAATTCTATTTTTTCAATTCGTAACTATTTAACTTTGTTAATAGAAATTGATAAAATTGTAATTTTTCTTACTAATATTCCATTTTTAAACATTATTATCACTTTTTTTAGCAATGTTCTATTTTTGGGCTATGTCTATGAGAAATCAGTTATAAGAACAATTGTATTCATTATGTTATTTTATTTATTTCATTTTTCATTCTTGGATTACTCCGAGGAAGTTGATGAAATTGAACCTTGGTCATAATTATCAGGTTCATGTTCGGGTATAGGTGAACCACAAAAAAAATCATAAGATGGCTGTTCTAAATTATCTTGATCTTTTGTAATAATATTTTAATTCATTAATAGTATTAATTTTATGAAGTTAGATGACAGTATTTAGAAAATTTCGGATTGTGGAATATTCCAAATTCTGAAAGTAAATCAAGCAAATATAACTATGGTGTTTGAATTTTTTTTGTATATATTTAAGTAGATGATGATGACAAATATAATTTAAATAAACTAATTCAATATCATAAAATTTTTGATAACAATTTTATAATATAATTTAATTTGAATTTCGAATGAGCAATGATCTATAAAATTCATATGAAAATCTTAAGAAAATAATGAAGAAAGCTGATTATAAAGAATAATTTTCATTTGAATATGTAAATAATAATAATCCAACCTTTTTTTTGAGAATACTTCACTATATATTAAACGAATATAATTCAAGCTTTTATAAATGTACTAATTAGTTAAGATTGTTTGTTAGCCTTAGTAGATAAAGGATATGAGCGATATTCCAAAAATGAATTAAGATTTATAGAATAAGTATTCAAAATGCTTCAATTAGAATTCAACTATAAATCATAAATAAATATTGCTTAATTTTTATCAGAGCAATATTTAGAGCATAAATTAATTTTAATTAATGATATTTTTAATGAAGTATTTTAGAGAACAAAAAAGGAAAAAAAAGTGAATTAATTAAAAGGATAAGAAAATATTTCAAATATATAAAACACATAAAAATTATAAGAGTCAAACAATAAATAGAAAACTTAAGTATTTGTAAAAAGAGAGAATTTCTAAACTGAAGATGATGAAGAAGATATAGAATAATTAAAAAGACCTGAACCTTATAAAATAAATTTATAAAATGAATTAGTTCCAAGAATGACATCTTGCAATTAAGAATAATTTTAATAATAATTAGAATAATAATGCAATTATACTTAAAAATATGAATAATAGCCATTTCCTCCTTAATCTGATGAGAAGAATGATTATTAAAATGAAATTTAAGTTTAATAGGCATTCAAATAAAAAATTAATTAAGTTTAAGTTTAATAAAATCTTACAACTTAATCAAATAATTAAATTCAATAAAACAATGTGACTCATCAAGATCTTTAAAAATTGATGTAAGTAATTATGCTAAGTAATGATAATATTAAGTCGATTATGTAAAAATTTTCAGAATTATAGACAACAGTTAACATAGCTTTAGCAAACTTTGATCAGAGATTGACAAGATTGGAATTAAAAATTCGTGATTAATGAATTATTATAGTTTTCATTGTTTTATCAGAAAAATATTGCACTTAGACATAATATAATTATAAATGGGTTAAAGAGAGCGGGATTTCTATTTAATTTAATTAAATTATTATACCTTGATGCATATTTTATTTTTTAGCTTGCAATTAAGATAGATAACCAAGCCATAAATTGAAAGCAATTTATTTCAAACTGTATAACTAAAAAAGTTAAAGTTGTAGGCAATAAAATTAATAATGACCATGCAAATATTTCCCTTACTTGGTTTGTAATTTCTAATCCTTCTGCAATAAATAATGAAAAAATTGATATCTAATAACAAGTTAATCCAATTATATATAGAATCATCAAAATATGAGACTTAATATCTTATTAAGGAAACTGAGCAACACTGAGAGAAAAAACTATTAAAATTGTTAACTATTTTAATATTTTTATCCAGCTAATTTTCTTTTAAAAAGCAGGTTTATATTATTATTGCATTATTGATTATTCTGTTTTAACTTCCTTAAATGGGTATTATTGTTATAGTAAATTGTTATTACTTTATTTACTTTATCTACTCTATAATTCATTATTTTAACTTTGAATATCATGTTAACTACTCTCATATAAAATTTAAATTTTTGGATAATCTGCTTTAGAAATAACAGGTTCTTTTTGTAATTATTCTAATTCTTTTTCAGCAAGATCATAAGTAATAGATTTGATGGTTTTTAAAATACCAATTTTAATTTCCCCATCTTCTTGATATTTTACCAAATTTACAGTTTCTAAAATATTAGAAATAAAAACTACAATTAATTGGATGAACTTGCATATAGCTTTGTTTTATCGAATTCAATCCAAGTTAACTCTTTTAAAAGTTAGATTATTTAAATTCTCCTAAGAAGCTCAATTATAAACCAATTTTCTAAATGTCTTTCTATTATTGTTATCTTCCAAATTATAAAGACTATTATCCTTGTTTTGCTTTAATTGTTTTATTAGGTTCTGGTTAACTCTATAAACTAGAACATCTAGATTCATTTTCAGACATTATTGGAGGTAAATAAGCAGGTAATTCATGATCTGGTTCATTTACTTTGATTCCATGTTCTGATTATTCTGAATTGAGTCTTTAGTTATTGAAATATAATTAGAGTGAATTTTTGGCAGTATAATAAAATTTACCAAGCATTAGTATAGTTAATCCTATGATAACGACTACATAAAATAAGATACTCAATACAATTTGATTAACTAATTTCTTTTGTCAGGACATACAATATAAATAAGCTAGAAAAACTTAATCCTACTTTTGATTTTTATTTTCCAGGACCATGATCTTTTATGTAAAATAAAGTTCCTATCAAGCTACTCATTATGATTATAAAAAGTGTCATATCTATGAAATTCATTCTTAATAATTTTATTAAAAAAAGTTTGCAAATTGTATTTATTATTCATATCATATCAAATATTATCCATAGAGATGCAGTCTCAATATTTTTCTTTAAAACTACTGAAAGTTCATTAATATTCTTCTCTTTAGACTTTAATAGTTCTACTGTTAAATAATAACCATTAGAATCCTGTTAAATCAAAAATGGGATTCCAAATTACAACTCTTATTTTTTTGGACCTAATTTTAAATATAATGTTTTTACATAAAATTCTCCAACTATGTTTTGGTTAATTTGCATTTAAAAATATTTGTGATGCTTCTAATTATTAACTAATTGATAAATCCTAAGCAAAACATTTACTTTCTAAATTATATAATTTAAATAAATTGGGTTATTCTTCTTTTATAAATTGCCATTTATTATCACTTTGAGTTTATTATGATTTTGATGTTAAGTATGTTTCATTTTAAAATTAATTCGTTACAGATAATGAAAATCCTGAAATATAATTTCTAATTTTGAAGAAATTTTTGTTTCCAAATTATTTTAAAATTGGTCTTTCTATCTTCAGAATATCTTAATGCTATTTAATTGATATTATTTAAAAATAATATGGTGACTCTTAATATGAAAATTCATCATTTTTAATGCTTAAATAAAGATTATTCTTTATATTTTTAAATAAGCATGGATTAGTGAGAACTAAGTTGTTTGAACAATTTTAAAAAACTTATGAGTTTATATTATTTAAACATTATAACATAAAAGGACTTTTGATATCAGGATGATTTGTTTTTATATTTTAAATTAAGACAAACTCACCAAATCTAAATTTATAAAGTTATTCATTTTAATCTTTGCTTTATATTATCCAATGAAGTCCTTTTTTATTATACATATCCAAACTATGAAATTTAAGTCGATTATTTTTTTTCGATAAGTTTATCAACATTTATTTTTCTATTGACTTTATTAGATAAATATTTTTATCTTAGATTGGCCTGGGCTATTTTGCAAACATGATTTCTTTTAATATTGAAATTATTTTTTTATAGATATTTAATATTTTTTATTTTATATAGATCATTTTATTCCTAAATGTTCTCCAACTATATCTGCAAATTGTTTTTTTGTTACTTTTTCTGGAAAAATAGATTCATCCTTTAATTAATATTATGAAGCAGCCATCACTTTAAAAGCATCTATTGCTTATTTTTTTGAAATCCATCCATCTTATTTTAAATCAAATAACTAAAAATAATGCTTAATTTTATTTACCGTAAAAATGTTATCAATCTCCTCTGGTTTGAATAATCCTGTTTTGAAACCGAATTTTTATTTTAACTGCAATTATTCAATTAAAAACTTTTTTATGTCTGTTGGTTATTCATAAGAGATTGCTGTTGTCAAGTCTTCAAACAATTCAATTATTCTATGCTATCTAATATATAAATCAGCTTTTTCAATCCTATAATTCATTATAATAATTATTAAATTATTATGGCAAAAAATTATTATTTCTTGTTTTTCCAATAAATCTCAATTAGAAACTCATATACTCAAAGATTTATACTTTATTGAAGAAAAGAATTATTTAAAAAAAGATATCTTATCATATAATATAAATAATGAAATTAATTTACTAATTTGTAGTAAATTCTTAACTTCATAATTTTTATCAACATTCTTTTATTTCAAAACAATCAATTAGATTAATAATTTTTCTAGCTTCAAATAAAATTTCTAACAACTGAAAAATTTGAAAAAGAAGATTTACTATAAATAAGTTATAGATCAAATTTAATTTTTTGTTTAACAATTATAAACTTAGAATTATAGATTAAATAGTATAAAGATTCTTTTTTCAAATTTATTTAGCTTTAAAGACCTAAATATAGAATTATTATAATCATTTCGATAACCATCTTCTATGATTTTTTGGAAAATGATGTTATTACCAAATAAATTCATTTTATTTTATATGTTTTTCATTAATTCTTTAATTAAATCTTTGAGATGATTCATCTCTATTAGTGAATATATCTTTCACATCATTTTGCATATCTTCTTAAGTTAAAACGTGTATAGCTTCAATATGCATAGTTTGGTCATCCTTAAATTTGCAATAATTGATTTTTATTTGTTATTAAATTTTTTCATCTTCCTGCAATTTTTAGTCATACCTTCTCTGCAATTATAGCAACTTCCCTTCAACATTTACAATAGACATCAATTTATTTTCTCTATCAGTGTCTTCTATAATCAAATTAAATTGAGATAAATCAGTAGGCATATGATTTAAATGTTTTATTTTTTCTTTGACTTCTAATCTTTTCAATTCATTTAATAACTACCTTTTTCTCTTTGTCATCAAATCTATAAATATAATCTAAATAATTACTTTTATCATCCAATATTCTAGTTGCATATTTTTCTAATTGCTAATTTAAGTAGTCATTTTTAACTTTTATGGATAGATCCTCTCTTATATGTATTTTTAATTATTCCTTGCATTTTAGTCCGAATAACGAAAGATTGGCGATCTTTGAAAGGTTTAATAGAGCCTATTCTGAGAGACTTTTTTTATAAAGGGGATTTTCATTTTTTTCTAAATCTGTAAACAATTAAGAACCTCCTAAATTATTTTTAATTTCAGGAAAAGTAGTTTTAAGTTTTTGCTTGTTTGAAGTAAGAGTTATATTAGTTTATTTTTTCAAATCTGTTCTTAGTGTATCTCCTAATTCTGTAATCAAAAGTCTATTCATTATAATTTTTTTATTTATAAATTTAATCAGTCACATTTATTTATACTTTTAAGTTTTTATGATTTACTTTTTCTTTATAAATTAATTTCCCTCTTATTTAAACTATAACATGATAATTAAATTCAAGTAGAATTTAAGAATCTGTATTTACTCAAATCTGAGACATTTTAATTTTATATATAACAAATGCGAAATTTTTTTTATATTTAACTTATTTATCTTTAAATATTGATGACTATTTATACAATGATATTAATTATGGATTTTTAAAATTTAAGAAGAATTTTTTTATGATAAATTTAAATTGTATATAAATTTTTAATCATTTTCAGATAACTAAGTTAGTTTGATCGTAATAANGAATATATCTTTCACATCATTTTGCATATCTTCTTAAGTTAAAACGTGTATAGCTTCAATATGCATAGTTTGGTCATCCTTAAATTTGCAATAATTGATTTTTATTTGTTATTAAATTTTTTCATCTTCCTGCAATTTTTAGTCATACCTTCTCTGCAATTATAGCAACTTCCCTTCAACATTTACAATAGACATCAATTTATTTTCTCTATCAGTGTCTTCTATAATCAAATTAAATTGAGATAAATCAGTAGGCATATGATTTAAATGTTTTATTTTTTCTTTGACTTCTAATCTTTTCAATTCATTTAATAACTACCTTTTTCTCTTTGTCATCAAATCTATAAATATAATCTAAATAATTACTTTTATCATCCAATATTCTAGTTGCATATTTTTCTAATTGCTAATTTAAGTAGTCATTTTTAACTTTTATGGATAGATCCTCTCTTATATGTATTTTTAATTATTCCTTGCATTTTAGTCCGAATAACGAAAGATTGGCGATCTTTGAAAGGTTTAATAGAGCCTATTCTGAGAGACTTTTTTTATAAAGGGGATTTTCATTTTTTTCTAAATCTGTAAACAATTAAGAACCTCCTAAATTATTTTTAATTTCAGGAAAAGTAGTTTTAAGTTTTTGCTTGTTTGAAGTAAGAGTTATATTAGTTTATTTTTTCAAATCTGTTCTTAGTGTATCTCCTAATTCTGTAATCAAAAGTCTATTCATTATAATTTTTTTATTTATAAATTTAATCAGTCACATTTATTTATACTTTTAAGTTTTTATGATTTACTTTTTCTTTATAAATTAATTTCCCTCTTATTTAAACTATAACATGATAATTAAATTCAAGTAGAATTTAAGAATCTGTATTTACTCAAATCTGAGACATTTTAATTTTATATATAACAAATGCGAAATTTTTTTTATATTTAACTTATTTATCTTTAAATATTGATGACTATTTATACAATGATATTAATTATGGATTTTTAAAATTTAAGAAGAATTTTTTTATGATAAATTTAAATTGTATATAAATTTTTAATCATTTTCAGATAACTAAGTTAGTTTGATCGTAATAAAATTTTATTGCTTAAATCATGAGATATAGAAACAATTAAGATAAATTAGAAAAGAATGAGTAATTTTTTGTTTTAGATTTATTAATATATATAAAATTTAAAATTATATAAATAGAAAAATATTCTATGAAAATTAGATTAATATTTTGAATATATATGATGTATGGTTAGAATAGAGCAATAAAAGAATATAGTAAAGAAAATAAATTAGAAGCGATGATTAGTTGATTAGAATATAAAAATGGAAGATATTTTAAGAACCACGTCATTTAGTTTATATTCTTAAAATATAAAGAGTTTTCTAGAATAATAATTTTATCATACGTTGATGAAAGCAATATTGTTTGGTTTACTAATAGCTATGACTTTAGCTAACTTCTCTGGAACAGATGTTGAAGAATTAACTTAAGATGAATTTAAGTTAAAAGTGTAAGATTAGAAAAGCTTTTGGGTGATAGTGGAATATTCTTAATTGAATTAAGAATAAAGAACTTAAGCTGCTTTAGCTGCTGAAGCATTGAAGGGAATGATCAATGTTGGTGCTGTTTAAAGTGGAGAGAGTACAACATTAAGAGTATATTCAAATGGATAGGCGATTGAATATCCAGGAGAATGGGAAGCATAAGAAATTGTAAACTTTGCTTTTGATAAAATAAGAGATGTAAGAAATATTTTAATTATGAAAATAGTTTGCTTTCAAAAGAGTTGGAAAAGTACCTAAGAAATAAGGAGAGAAAACCCCAGAACCACAAATAGATGAAAGTGATGTAATTGTATTGACAGATGATAATCTTGATGAAACAATTCTTAATAGTAAAGATGCATGGTTTGTTGAATTCTATGCTCCTTGGTGTGGTCATTGGTATAAATATATAAATAATATAATTATAGTAAGAAATTGGCACCAGAATGGGCTAAATTAGCAACATCTCTAAAAGGTGAAATAAAAGTAGCTAAGATTGATGCTAGTGTTGAAGGATCAAAAGCTAAATCTAAATATAAGGTAGAAGGATTTCCAACAATAAGATTCTTTGGAGCTGGAGAAAAAGTAGATGGCGATTATGAAAGTTTTGATGGAGCTAGAGATTACAATACACTTCTTAGTTATGCTAGAGAAACTAATAGAAAATTAAAACCTCTTTTCTTTGAATAATTAGTCAATCAATAATAATTTACTGATAATTGTTTGAAATCAACAGGATTATGTATTTTATTATTTGTTCCACACATTTATGATTGTGATTAAGAATGTAGAGATGCATATTTAAATACCTATAAAGAAACTGTTAAACCATTAAAATCTAAACCTATGATTCATTTTTGGTCATAAGCAGGAGATTAATATGAATTAGAAGAATAATTTGGATTGTCAGGTGCTGGGTAAAATATAATATTTATATAATTTATAGATATCCTTCAGTTTTGGCTTTGAGTCCTAAAAAATAATTATTTTCTAAAATGAGAGGTTCTTTAACTTCAACAAATGTAGATAGATTCTTGAATAATCTTTTAAATGGTAAAGAATAAGTTTCAAGATTTAGTTCAGTTGTACCTATAGAAGAAATAAAAAATTGATATATATAATAATTTTAAATGTACAAATTCATATTGCTTCTTTTCTGATTGTAATTGTTTTTTTTGGTGGTCCTTATAGCAAATCACTATCATTTCCAACAGATGCTTCTGAAGACAAAGTATCATTATCACTCATTACATCATCTGAGGTATCATCATTTAATGGTTTAGTCAATTATTATTCTTGTTCTGAGGATGGAGTTTATCCAGTAGAACAAGATCTACAACAATCACTCCAACCTTTATATCCATCTCCAAAGAAAAAGAACAATGTTGCTGCTATTAATTACCATAAACCTAGACATATCATAGCTCTTCTAAATGCTTCTCTTTCTTAATCTACCATTTCTTAGGGTGGTGATCCTGTTAGATTAACATTACCACCAAATCCATCATATACAGATCCACCTAATAATGGTCCCACTAAAGATCCACAGCCCATTGACATTATGAATAATGCTGATGCCATATCAGTCAAATTATTTCTTTTATTAAACTCAAAAATTATACTTGAATTATGGATCTGTCACCACTGGACCTAAAAATTCACTTATTTATGGAATGCTAGGAATCATTGAAAATGATTGTGAAACACCAACCAAAATTAATCCAATTATTACACTTGCTAATGTATTACCTTCTCCCCAAAATGGTGCTTCTATCATGTTTCCACTAAAGCATACCACTAAAGCCAAAGACATCATAAACGTCTTTTTAACATACTTTCCAATTTTTGGTATTATATTCACCATACCGATATAGAAAATAGCAGGAATTGTGAGAATAAATGCAGCTATATTTTCTGAAATTCCAAAAGATTACATATGATTTACAAAGAATGGATTAAAATAAGTATAACCTGCAGTAATAGACATTACATTCATTATAGTTACTATAACCTTTATGGAAGTAAATGCCTTTATAATAGGTAGTTTTTTTTTTTTTTCAAAAGTTTTCATAGTACTATCAGGTGGTAATTATGAATAAGTGGGAATTTCAGCGCATAAGAAAAATATGGCAATAACGAAAAATGGAATAGAATAACCAAATGCATAATTTAAAACACTACCAATCATTGGACCAAATAATAAACCCAATCTATATAGATTATTAAATATCCTTACGCAGTCATAGTTTCCATAATTGCTAATTTTTTCTAAAATTCTCCTGGCCAAAATATTGGGACATAAGCAAAAGTAACAGTTGAATAGACAGATCTACTCATACCTTAGAAAAATCTAGATAAGAGGGACATTGAGAAGAATAAATTCTTATTATCTGTCATAAAATTGAGACATCCAAATAAGATTTAAACAGATGATTAAACCACTAAAGCAATCATTAAACATTTCTTTCGACCTAGGTATATATAAAATTAATACCCCAAACTTGAATAAAACTTCCTATAACAAAACTAAAAAGAATAGAGCCTAGTGGATTGATACTAAACACTAATCCTATTTAAGAATATGTGAGACCAGCTTTATCTGCAGCTAATCCAGGATAGAAAGGAGCAATTTACGAAATACCAACATTGATTACAAAATTAGTGATACAAAATGTCATCAATCTAGGATCAACGCATTTACTAATAGTAATTATATTAATAGTGTCTACCCTTCATATTTAGAACTGTTATAACTTGATTCCTTCTTACCATCTGGCTCCAGGACAGAAAAGGGCTGCATTAAAGGTTTTTGATCTCCTTATTAGTCAGATGACATAAATATTAATTTGTTAAAATTTATGAAAACCAAATTCAGAATAATTCTGAAAGAATTTCATAAAATCTTATCGCTGTTTCTATTTGTATATTATATATCACTCTCAGAAATCAATGTCTTCCTGGCATTTATTCTTTCTTTGGTTCTAACTTAATCATATCATCTATTCTCAAAATTGTAATAGCAGCTTCTGTTGCAAATCTATTTTGATAAATTGATAAGTATACTTAATAGCCTTTATTTTACTAACAGTTGGTTCAAGAACACCATGTCTAAGATTATGTCTGACTTCACCTTTGATTAAATCTAATCCACTAAATTTATATCCTTTTTCATCAACTTCCAATTATTATGATTTACTATGAAGAACTCTCAATTTACTAATTAAATCAATAGAATCTTTGGCTGCATTAGTAGCTAAAATCTTTGGAATTGAAGTCAAAGCTTCTGCAAATTCTGCTATAGCTATTTATTCATTTGAATCAATTTTTCTTGAATAATCATCTAAATAAATGCTTAAAGCCATTTCAACTGCTCCACCTCCAGCAACAACTGATCCTGATTCTAAAGTTCTCTTTACTACACATAAAGAATCATGTAATGATCTTTCTATTTCATCTGTCATCAATTCATTAGCTCCTCTTACTATTATACTTGCTGATTACTCCTTCTTCATTCCTTTAAAGAATATATAATCATTATCTCCTATTGCTTCTTCATATACTTCCTATAATATATAATTATAATTATTACTTCAGCCTCTCCTAAACAAGTTACATCAAATGATTCTCCAGTTTCTTCATTAGCAAAAGTTGTCACTACTTTAGCACCAGATGCTTTTGCAATCCTTCTTAAATGCTCCTTTGGAACTCTTCTCAATCCTATTGCCCCTGCTTCCACTAAGTATTTATTAGCTAAATCATCCATTCCTTTTGATGTCAAAATTACATTTGCTCCTGCTGATAACAATAATTATATTCTCTCTTTTAATACATCCATTTCTTTCTTTCTTATTTTTTCTAAATTATTTGGATCATCAACCAATATTTATACTCCCATTTACATCTTAAATTTATTTAAATTAATATCTAAACAAGCTATTTTTGCATTCTTAACTTTTGTTACCATTTACTAAGAAGCTCTTTACAATTGAATAACATATCCTTTTACCATTTCAGATTAATTAACTGATTGACCATGACTTTTAACAATGTTTATTGATTAAATTGGATATTTAGCTTTACCAGAAATTAAACCTTAGCTCTTAATCAATCTTACTGAATCAACTGCTAACTTAGCAAAGATATGACTTTCTGGACCTATAACTTTACTATTCATTGAAGTTTTGGCAGCATTTATTAAAATTTCAGTATCATCTTCAGTTATTTTATGAACCAAATGTGATTGAATATATTTAACTGCTTATCTAGCAGCTAATTTATATCCTGATATTATTGTAGTTGGATGAACTTTAATTTTAATTAATTCATTAGCGCGGCGAAGTAATTCAGCTGCTAAAACAACAACTGATGTGGTGCCATCTCCTACCTCTTTGTCTTATAATTAACTCAACTCTACTATGACTTTGGCAGCTGGATGTTCAACTTCTAATTGTTTTAGAATTGTTGCTCCATCATTTGTTATTACAACATCACCAATTTCATCAACGAGCATTTTATCTAATCCTTATGGTCCAAGGCTTGTTTTGACAACATTAGCAATAGCCATGACAGCAGTTACATTACTTGTACGTACATCTTAACCTTGATCTCTTTCACCACGAATACCCACAGCAGACATTTTAATTAATTATATAATTATTTGAATAATTTCAGAAAATTTAATCCATCTTTTAAATAATTTCTTTTATAGTTTTTTTTTCATCAAAAGTAGGAATTCATTAGAAATATTATTATTTAAATAATTTTATGCTATTTAAGCCTCTCGGTTAAAATACTTGTATTAGATTATTGTAATTTATTAATATTTCTATAACAATATAAAAAATAACAAATTATATCAAAATTACTTATATTTTTGATATTTCTTGAAAGCAATTAGACATAATATATTATTCATCATTTATTTAAACGATTGAAAGTCCCCATCTTCTCCACCTATTTTATGAGTTCTAAATGCTGGATGGGAGTTAAGGATTATGTAAACTGATTGATTGTTTCTTCAATTTCTTATTGATTCTATTTTAAATTCTTGATATCTTAGTTAAATTTGAGTAATAATCTAGAGTTATAGAATTATATTAGAATACTATTAAGACATTTTGCGATGGTTAAGCATTTTATCAATAGTAGGTAAAACACTATAAACAAGGTTATCATCTTCAAGTTTAGCTTCTTCCTTAACGATTTCAACATATTAATTAAATTCAGTATCATCTAATTTGATAAATAAAATACTCTTTACAATTTTAAATTTACTAGTTCCAACTCATAAGTTAGAGTCCATAATTGCCTTTAAGAAAGTTCTTTTAAATATTTTTAACAGCATATTTAACATAATCTCTTCTTTTAATTCCACAAGTTCCATATCTCATCTATAAATATATTATATTAAAATAATTACTAAATAAGAATCCAATACTAATTAAGCTTAATCAGGTGAGGAACACTCTAAAACTTAATCAATAGCTGCAGAATTTCCAATGATCATACTATTTAAAATTGGATGTGATTGTAATATTTGTGTTAAATACTCAAATGATTATCTAGTTGTTTTTTTGTATTCTTATATTTATTAATCTAATTCAGAAACCTAATTGTATATGTAATTGTCTTTACTTTTTTTTCAAGTAATTTCAGATAAACTTTTTTTCGAAGTCTTGAATTTTTAGCACTTTGTCTCAACCTTTTGTTTTTTGATTCAGTATTCAATAAATCATTGTTTGATCCTAAAAGACCTGCCAATTTGCTTTTATCTTATATTTCTGAATAGCTCTCTAATTCTAAATCTTCTTATAAGTCTTCATCAAGCAATTTTTCTCCTTCTACACTGAGTAAAGATGTGATTTTTTTGATATAAGCATTTTTAACATTTCCTTTGATTTCTTAGATTGGTTAAGCACAATCCTTAAGACTTGTTGTTGAAGGTATTGTTTTAATTGTCTTATTAACTTTCTTAATTTTTTTGCTTTCTAAATTGACTTATTATTATTAGATCAAGGGATTCATGAGCATACTATTAGTGAATAGACTTTATAGGTTCAACATTCTTTATTGCTCATGTAATTATTGTAATAATCGAACATTTTATGCTAAGAGTTAATCTTATGTGATGGCTTATTAAAGAATATTAGGAATGGATTATTAAGTGGCAAGAGGATGAAGAAATTGATCGACATCTTCGAATGGTTAATCATTACTCATTATATAATATTAATTAATTAATCATCTTCTTTTGGTATATGACTTGTTGTTTAAGTAATCATTCAAGTCATTTTTGGAATAATTATTATACTGTTTTTTTGGATGATACACGTTCTCCTTATTCTCATTGTTAAAGGGAGAAGATCTCTCTTTTTATTGTGTTTTTTTGTTTTGATTACTATTACTATTATTACAAGATAAAAAGACTTGGCCAAACTATTCATTTAAAGGTTCTTTTAAATCATTCTTATTATTCTTAGAGATGTAATTAGTGCATAATTATTAATCTTGAAGAGATAATGAATTAAGAATTTATGATAGTTTAGTACATGGTATTTAATTGGTATTCTACAATAAGAGCATTAATTCAGAATTGTTTACAGAAACTAAATTTTCAAGATTATTCACATTAATATCTAATTTTAATGCAAGTATAATAATTTTAGTGATTATTGGATAAGTCTATTCATCAAGTGGATAAATCAAAAGGGAATTTACAGTCATCTCCAATTATTAATGTTATATTCTACTTTCTTCTAATAATTAATAAAATCTATTTAATAAAGGTAATGCTGATGATAATTATTTATCTTGACTATGTAATCTTATAATAATCAATAACAATTAAGTTGATTGTGGAATTTGATGTTAGAATTAATCATAAATTTGAACACCATTATGATACTATTATTAATTTAAGCATGATTCTAAAATCAATTGTAATAAAGATTCATCTGGATTGATTTAAAAGAATAACATTGTTTATACAGTTTCATTTAATCTCTTCATATTACCTCTTCTACAATGTCCTTTTAATAAAGTGCTAAATGTAATTAAATCTGGTTTAATGGTAGATTCAACTAATTCTTAAAATAACTTATCTGCTTAATTCATCAATCCATTTTTTACTAATCCATCTAAAAGTGAATTATAAGTTATTAGATTAGGATATGTTCTTTAATTTTATTTCATTAAATTGAAATATTTCATTGCTTCCTCAGTTTGATTCAATTTACAAAATCCTTTTATAATAGTTGTATAAAGAACAGTATTAATTGATAAGTTTTGTGATTTCATTTATTCTATAAATTACAATGCTTAATCTAATCTATCATTTCTAACACAAGCATCAACTAAACATCCATATGTTACATCATTTATTGCAATCATTTTTTATTTCATTTCTTCAAACATTCTAAATGCTCCATTCAAATCATTCATCTTTCCATGTGCTTTTATTAAGATTCCATATGTAACTGATGATGGTTCTATAGATTTGTTTTTCATTTCCTTAAATAATTACATTCCTTTCTAAATTTCATTAAACTTAACACAAGCATCTATTAATGAATTATATAGAATTTCATCTGGTTTGAATTAACCAGTTTCTTAAATTTACTCTAATAATGAAATTGCTCTTAATAATTCATCTCTATTTGAATGATTAGTTTTTATACCATTCACTAAAATACTATATGTAAAGTTATCTGGAAATATTCCATATTATTTTCTCATCTCTTCAAAATATCTCCATGCTATATTCATTTTATTACATTTAACACACGAATCAAGTAATGAATTAAAACTAATTCTATTTGGTTTTATTCCAATCTATTTCATCTCTTCAAATAAATTTATAGCCTCATTCAATCTCTTCTTTCTTCCACATCCTTTTATCAATGTATTATAAGTAATCTCATCTAATTATATTGATTATGACTATTTCATCTCATTCAATAATTAAAATCCTCTATTCAAATCTCCTGCATTTATACATGCATCTAATAAACAATTGTATATTATTTAATCTGGTTGATTTATTTACTTGTATTCATCAAATAATTAAAATGCTAATCTCAAATCCATATTATCAGAATTCTTTAAACCATTAATTAAAGTTGTATAAGTGAAATTATCAGGTTTTGTTGATGTTAATTTCAAATTCTCAAAGGTTTTCCATGCTTTTTCTTTCTAATTATTCTTGAAATATTAATCAATCATAGTATTTATTGTAACTATTGTTGGTTATATCTTAGCATGATCTCTCATAAATGTTAGTAAAAATTCAGCTATTGTTACTTATTATTTTCTAAAAGCATAATCAATCAATTTATTAAAAAATATATCTGAAGGATGTAATTTTATTACTCCCTCATTCAATACTTCATTAAATACTTTCAACCAATGATTGTTTTAATTGCTTAACTCAATCAATTATCTTAAAAGCATATCACAAATCTTTTAAGCTGTCTTCTCAAATTCATCTTTAATTGATTCATTAATCTCTCTATTTAATTTAAATTTTAATAAATCCCAACATTCTGCTGCCAACCCCCAATATAATAATTAATGAGTGTAGCAATATAATATTAATGGTTAATATTAAATTTAATTATATTATTTTAATTCTTCCTTTTAAATCATTTATTCTAATAAGTTATCAATTTCATATAGAGCATAATAACCTTCTTATGCTCCAATTCTAGCTGAAACACTAAATATCATTTTAATGATTTATCGTGTTAGTAAATAATTTTTACTAGTTAATATAGCTGTTAATCCAACAACCCTCTATTTTAAATACTCCTTCTCTTGCTTTACTATCAATTCTATAATGTGAGTAACATAATTGGATTTGACCCAATCAAGATCTTCAAATTCATCTAAATAGGAAAATATGTCAGGAACATTATTTGAAGTCAAATATTACTCTAATCTTGATTAACAAACAATCACTTAATTAAGTGAAAGTTATGTAGCCTTAACTGGTCCTACTTAAAAGCATGATATTTCAATATCATCATTGGTAGAATGACTTATTTCTCCAGTACTTTATAGAATAATAATTCAATAATACTTTGCACTCCAAGGAGTTTTTTATCCCGAACTTCTAGGAATCTTCTTTTGTTAAGAAGATGAATTACGAATGATATTTGGATCTATATTTTCCTAATTGTGATATGTATCAGACTTGTTCATTGACTTAAAAATTGATATTTAAATTAATTGAATTCAAATTCTTTAACTGTTAGTTTTAAATATATTTTTATGCTAATAACACAATCATATATCATAATCATATTAAATTCTAATTTCAAAATATATTTTCGATACTACTAATTTATTACCTAATTCTCTTCATTATCTCAAATCTAATTTCCTCAATTTATTTTTGCATAAATCATTTCTCTTTTTTTCTCCCTTTTCATTTTAAATACTTTTCAATAATATGTCATAATGATACATTATTTCTTCTTTATTCATTCTCATTTTTCTAGAGGAATAATTTATTAACTAAATCTGTAATTCCCTCTTCTACCCAAAATCAAAACTAATGTAAATTTTAACTACAGATACCTAAGAAATTCTATTATCAACTAATTTAATTTATCTAGTAGATACATGATTTCAGTACTTAAAGTAAAATTTAAGTGGATGAATTTTGCTTATTGATAACTTAGACAACTGTTTCAATAATGATCCCTAAAGTTTCACATTTAAATATATGTTAAGAATTCTAAAAATACAAAATTTTAATAATAAACAGAAAATAATACAATATGTCCTATATTACCATATCTATTTTTTAGAATGGATGCTCTTGTAGTTTCCAATATAATCTTTTTCCTACACGTCTACTGTCTACTGTGGGATAATTCTTTTACGAATCTTTACCTTCAATTTCAATTTGAATCAAAGAAAGCCATATTATCAATATTTATTCTTGAAATATTAAAAGATAAAATCATCCATTTCACACTGGTGTAATTACCATAGTTATAAAAAAGGACTTTATGTTTAGTGGTTAATTTAACAAGTGTTCTATATTTCAAGAGATATATATTATAACTTAATTATCGCTTCTAGCTAAATTGTTATTTCTTAATTCTTAAATCTAAAGTATATAAAAATGTTTTTTTTGAAATATTATGGCTATGAAAATGTAAGTATAATGTAAAAATTATTAAATGAATTTAGATGAAATTCATGAATAATATATGAATATTTCAAAGTATATTTAATGATCTCATGAATCCTATAAGTGGCAAGGTTAAATCTTATTCGAATTGAAATTTAGTATGTGTCATTTCTGGTGGAGTTCTAATTAAAGATGGGGTGTTGGATAATTCTAAAATGTAGAGAGATATGAAATACCATAAAGTTTTTTGGCTTATTCTACTGAGACAATGGAATCTTTGAGTCCATGTAGAATGTAAATTGGTGATTTAACTTTAATGATTTTATTTTTATTAGTGAATCTCTCTTTAAGCATTTTCCTAAGGAATGGATATTTTTCTTTAACGATTTCTTATAATGATAAGAAAGGAGAGATGAGAACAAGTATAGCAGGTTTAAAAAGTGATGCTAAATGACATGCTACTCCAGTTCCTATTGATCTTCCCATTAGTATTATATTTTATTCTTCTATGGCAGAATGAAATGCCACATATTTATAAATATATTCGGCATCTTTTAGGATTAGTTCTTCTGATGGTTCACCTTAATATATTCCATAACCTGGATATTCAACAGCTAAGATATTCATTTTCATATTATGTCTGAGGAAATCTATAAGATTGTAGGAAGACTTAAGATCTTCACAATTAGCATGGAAATAAATGATGGTTCTTTTTGTAAAGATGTAAGATTTTAAATATAGGCATGGAATTTCTTTAATACATTTGCAAGTTCTAGATGTTAAAGTAGTTGAGAATTCATTACTATAAGTAATTCTGGGTGAGAGTGATAATCTTAATGGACTTAATAATTATTAGATTATAAAATTACATTTAATTTTTAGGTTTAAGATTAGTTGTTTAAGTGATACGAGGAATTCTTTAACTTGGAAGTTCATCAATATGATCATCATATATAGATTGTGTACTTACATCCTATAAAGATATATTAGACTTAATTACATTTGGAATTTCATCAGGAGGTTTAAAAGGATTGATTTTGTGAAACTAGATTTTGGTTTTAGGAGAGGTAGGTACAAATTTAAAAATGTCTTCATAAAATGGAATTTTAATTAGTTCCTAGGAGATAAGATAAGAGATGAACCTTGAGATCTCCTTCTCTATAAGTATTTTTGGGTATAGGAAATATCATAAAATTTAATTCCATTGAAATAATTAATGTAATAATAATAAGGATAAGGAAGTTGTATTTAAGATTTTAATGTCTTAGAAAAATTAGGAGAAGGTTCATTCTCTTCAGTTTATAGAGTATGATAAATATAAGTATTTATAGGTATAAAGAAAATCTGATGGATAATATTATGCATTGAAAAAAGTGAATATATCTTAATAGAGTTATAAAGAAAGAGAGAATGCTTTAAATGAAATTCGTATTTTAGCATCACTTGATTCTCCATATATAGTTGAGTATAAAGATTCTTTTCTTGATTCTGAAAGTAAAACACTGTATGTAATAATGGAATTTGCATCTGGTGGAGATTTAAATAGTTTGTTAAAGTAAGGTAAGATTAAAGGTGGAGTTGAGGAAACAGAAATTTGGAAAGTCTTAACATAGATAACAATAGGAGTTAAGATGTTACATGATAATAATATCTTGCATAGAGATTTAAAATTAGCAAATGTATTTATAGGAAAATGTCCAGAAGGAAACATATATAAAATTGGTGATTTAAATATAAGTAAAGTTACTCATGGAGCCAATGCCAAAACATAAGCAGGAACCCCATGTATTAAATATATCTCTAATTATTTATTAGATTATGCATCTCCAGAAGTTTGGAAAGGTGAATAATACTCTTGGCCATGTGATATATGGTCTATCGGATGTATCATCTATGAATTAGCTGCCTAATAACCTCCATTCAGAGCAGCAGATCTCCAATCTTTGAGTAGAAGAATTCAAACTGGGGTTTATGATTCTATCCCAGCTAAATATAGTAAAGATTTATCTGAAGTTATCAAACTAATGTTATAGGTCAATCCTCGTAATAGACCTAGTTCTGATGCTATTCTTAAAAATTCTCTTGTTATCAAAAATAGTGGCTCACTTTTAGTTGAAGAAGAAGTTGGAGGCAAGAAAGTTGCTAAACTCTTATAAACTATCAAGTTACCTTACAATTTAAAATAATTGAAAGGGAATCTCCCAAAAGCTAATTACGAAAATAAAATCAAAAGATCTAATTCATAATCTGGAATTCGAGTCAATACTGATACCAGTTAAACCCCTTAACCTGTAGCTAAAAAATAAATAGATGAAATTAAACCACCTCAATAAATATAAAAACCTCCTTAATAATAATAAGTTAATAAACCTCCTTTACTCAAACCTCCTGTTGCTCAACCATCAAAACCATAATAACCTCAAACTCCTTAACAATTATATAATAAAGTTTAATAATAAGAATAGAGATTACTTGGATAATAAAAGTAATTATTTTCATTAATTTTTAGATATTCAAATGTTCCATATCAACCTTAATAATAGATTACTCCTAGAGCTTAATCTCCAAGAGGAAACTAAAAACAAAGTTATCAAAAAGGAGCAGCTGGTATGCCCTCTGGAATGATAAGATAATATAGTGCTGGACCTATTGGTAAAAGATGATTAATATATATATTATCTAATTCTATAATAGAATTTAATATATTTTTATACATTCAAAAATAGTATAAATTTTAAACCATTATATTAAAATTATATTAAATCAGATCTCCTTAGAATACACTAAGAAAAAGTCTAAAAAGGAAAATTCATAATTTTGTAAACATAATTCTATTCTACTAGATGAAACAATATTGATACTTCTAATGATTGTTTTTGATTCCTATATTTGCATAAATATGAATTTACTCTCTCTTATGCTTTCCATATTTTATTCTATAAATTGTTGAATGAGGAAGGGATATTCTAATTTGTAGATAATCTAAAAAATCTTGTTCATATCTTGTTATTATATCAATTAGTTATCTTTTAATATAATTATAGAAACTCTTTTTAATATACTGAATAAAAAATTTTCAATTAAACATTCAATATTAATTAATTAAAATAAAGTATCAATCATTATTTCACTTTTATAGATTCAAGATTAGCTCGAACTCGTTTTCTTAATATGTTTGTTTACTCAAAGTAAATGCTGTAAACTTAGTCTGCATTATTAAAAAAATCGCTGGCTAACTCAAATTTCTTTAAACCAAGATATGCTACTCCGATGTTGTTTAATATTTAACCTAATTGAGCATCAAAAGATCCTCTATAACATCTGACAGCCAAAGTATAGTAATCTATAGCTTTTTCCAGTTGTTATTGAACTTGATACACTATTCCTAATAAATTATATATTTAGACAAAGTTAAAATCATAATCATTTTTATAACTAAGTATTATACAACAATAAAATACTAATCAGCATGAATTTTTTAACTCTTTAATAAATATTCTATTGCAACCTCAAAAGCTTTAGAATAATAAAATATTTTCCCTAAAGCATAATAAGCTTTTCCAACTTTAATATTATTCTCAATAATATTTTCCCTATAAATTTCTAAAGCCTCATAAGTAATCAATTTAGCAGATTCATAATCATCTTTAATTATATGATATATCTACTTAACAGTGCATAGACAATCCCTAATTATAACAAACAATCAGCTTATTGTACTTTCCAATTCAGTCTCTCATATAAAATTAAAGCTTAATAGAATTTATCTGCAGCTTCCTAAAATTTAAGTAAAATCCTATATAAGTTTCCTAAACTCAACATTAACTATCCTTTTATATGCAGATCAGCTATGTCAAAATTTTACAAAATCATTTTCTATGTCATAACTGCCTCTTCAATAAGACCTTCAGACTATTAGACTTTACTCAAGTAGTAAAATGCTTAAATACAAATAAGTGAACACTATTTTTATTCAATCTTTGTTTGAGCTTCTTTTATTCCCTCTTTTGAATTGGCTATAATCTTAACCAATCGAGATTTAGCTTTTTTCAATTCATTTCTTTCTAAATCCTCAATAGAACCTAATAATTCCCTATAGTCATTATTTTAACTCAAATCCATAATAAACTAAGTTTTTGTTGGCATTTTAGTCATCTTTATTGTTTTTAGTTTTTTCACCTTATTTTACATAGTATGAACTTCTAAGGAGATTCTTGGTGGTACTTAAGCACTTATTTCTTCTGGTACAATCAATAATTTATCCTCTGATTATCTTTGTGTTAAAATTCCTTCTAAATCTATTGTATGTCCTCCTGAATTAAGCATTAGTAATATAAATAAATACTTGAGTTACGCTATTCCTATTCAGTATTGGCTCATTTTTGAAAATGTTCATTTTATAATTTTATTCAGTTCTCTCCTCACTTTATAACATTAAATTATTTAATGTCTCATACAAAACTAATTAAAATAGTATAAGAAATATGATCAATAATTTTGTATAACTCTTATATAATTAAAATGAATCAATTAATTCTATCTAAGTTATAAGATCATGGACAGTAATGATTGCAATATAGACTATAATTAATTTTTACATTAATTTTTGTTATGAGTTTATATAATAATTAAAAACTGTATTTAATCAATTAATTAAATAAAACTTTTTATAATGATTTTGATTATTTTTTGTGACTCAAGGTTTTTAAGTAAAGAATTTACCTATAACTGATTTCTTTGATTTCAAATAATTAAATTCCTCATTCGAATCTAGTGAAGAATTTTAGTCTGCAATATTTTAAATGAATATAAAACTAATATTTTGGAACAGACTTAAAGATTTTTTATCTTTTTTAATTTGTAAATTCTAAATTATTCTTTAATAATATAGTTTCTCAACTTTTTGATAAGTACAAAATTTCTATAATGATATTATCATTTTGATATTTCTTTTAATTATTAAATTTAAAATATTTTCTTTTTAAACTTATATCTTAATTTATTTTGAGCTCATTTTAATTCCTAGTTCTAAATGATAAAATGGTATGATTTTTTTCTTAATTCTTTAATTTATGGGCTAAAAATTACATTTTTTTAACCTATTGATAAAATTTTGATAAATTAAAATGAGAAAGAAAATTTATCAAGATTTAAAAAAGTTTATTTCAATAAAATTGTATAAGTTTAATAATAATAATAAATTTTTTATAAGTTTGTAGTTTGAATATATGGGATGAATGAATTTAAATACAATTGTCAATTCTGATTGTTCATCTACTCATTTATTTTTTCACTAATTTTTTTAGATTTGATATAAATTAAACTTCTATAATCTCCAATTCCTCCTAAAATGATAGTATTTTTTAAAAGGGATTTTTATTTCCATTCTCTAAACTTCTGCTAAAGAAAAATAATAGAAACCTTGATAAAATAATATTTATACCATATCTCCGCTATTCAATTTTGTTTGTCGAAACCTAGGTTCAATATGAGAATATTTATTGCCATAGACTTTAGAAAATATATCTTTATCTTCAGGTTCTAAATTGAAGACTCCATACTTGATAGTAACTGAAATTCTAGTCAAACTGACAATCACATCATGAAATCTATAACAAAGAAGATTAGAATCTACTAATTCATATATGGGAATCTTCAAAGCTTTCAAAAATCTCTTTTTATTATTAACATCCAATAAATCTGATTATTCTAAACCAAAAATGATGGCTATTTAAGATGATAATCTCCAAAAAAGTTTATAATTTATAAAACCCTCTCCATTTTCATCAAATTACGACCATAATTCCATAACATCTAATAATTAGTATTTAGATATTGCACTTTATTCACTTTTATGATATTGTTCATAAGCTCCTATGATATTTGCTACCAAAAGGTTCAAAATCAGTAGAGAAAATACAAGAATGAATGAAATAAAAAATGGATAAGTAAGATTTGATCCACATCCATTAAATCCTACTTCTGAAAATTCAGAATATGATTCAATATTTATGCATGCTACAGCTGGTGATTACTTTAAAGCTGTCTCTTATAAAACTATCCACCATTTCTCACCTGATGATACTTTAATCAAAGTCATTAGAGCACCCCAGAAATCCTTAAAATGCATATCAAATCCATTTACTGATTATTAAGGACGTAAATAAGCAAATAAATCACAAGATACAATTGTGTAACAATATAATACTACCAACATTATTAGTAACATTGATGCTGTATTTGGTAAAACAGCAAATATAGCATGAAATAGATGTTAAATTGTTTTAAAATGTTAAGTTAATTTATATATTCTAGAAACTTAAAATGCAACTGCTACTACATGAAGAATATGATAATCAAGAAAACTTGAAAATACGCTTAATATAATTCCACAAATTTCATAAATCTTAAATGTGTAATCAATTACCTAAACAATACTTATAAGTATTTCAAAAAGTTGAATTAAAATAAAGATTTAATTGATTTTATTCAAAACTTATTCATATTCTTCATTCATTCTTGCATAATATAAACTAAGGATAATGATGTTGCCTAAAATTACTATCAAAAATGGAATCTAAAATAGCTAATATATTCTATAAAAAGTATTCAATATAAAATTAGTTGGAAGTTTAAATTTCTTTTTTGGTTTTAAATGCAATATCTATTCTTTAATTTAAAACCATTCTCTTTATTTATCATCTAACAAGTGTAGATTTTCTATTATAAATATATAAAATATTATTACATGATTCTTCCCTCGTTTTTATATAAGTTTCAACAACTAAAGTTACAAACATCCCCAAAACTAAAGTGTTACCAATAAAGAAAAACATTTAATAATAAATAGACCAATATCTATTTTTATCATGATGTGGTTAATGGTCTATTCCTGAAGCTGACCATGCAGGTGTCATCAATGGAATCCATTCTTCAGATGTTGTTACACAAAATAAAATATTTATTGATTAAAACAAACTATCAAAATTTAAAGTTCTATTAATCCAATTTCCTCCTATATCAAAACAATCAATTTTTGTTTTTAAATGTAATTCTGCTTAATTACCTTCAGGAATGCTACAATAATAGAATTCATCATTTAGTAATTACATACCTATAATGCTGTACATTAATAAAATTAGAAAACTAAATAGTGCTAATTAAATCATCTTAGTAAATGCATTAAATAAAGCTTGAAGAGCTTATTTTAATATTGGATATTCATCTGCTCCAGTTTTTAAAAATGCTAATACTCTTAAAGAGTCAAAGAGAGTTAAAATAAATAAAGCAGGATTACCCAACCCTATTGAAATAATATTCACAATAATATTTATTATGGAAATAATATTTAAAAATGATTGATTTATGAATTTTACTATTCCATAGGCTAAACAATTCAAAATAAGTTCAATCATAAAGAATATAGTTGTAATATATTATATAATATCTAGTATCATCTAAAATTAATTGAATTAATACCTTCTCATCACTTTAAGGATCTGTTAATGGATTTTATATTGCACTTTTGACTGCACTTAAAGTTACAATAATTAGAATAAAAATTCTAAATAATTTATTTTCTACTATTTTTTGATAATTTGAAATATTTGTTTACATTATAATATTTTTAATTTTGACTCCATTCTGATCAATTTCTTCAAGTGGAACATTTGAATCTTCATCATTTTCAGATTATGATGCTGAAGTAGTAGATTCTTATTAAAAACATGATTTTTTTATATGCTACCATGCTCTTTATAAATAATCTGTTTATGGGTATTTTAAATCTAATTCGTTTAACTTCTTTCCAAACTCATTTAAAAACAATGCTTTTAACAATCTCATAAAAAGAGTATGAGATAGGGTAAACACAATTAGAAAAAAAATAAAGGATGAGGCAGGTTTAGATAATGCATGTTAATACATAGTTACATGCCATTCTTCTGCATAAAAAATATTAAATACAGCCATTAATGCATTTCCAATACCATTAAAATGAATTTCAATTTCATCTGTTCTTTAAACATAATGAGCGAACAATTCTTAACCAATAATTGAAATTAAGAATGCAAAGATAACCCATAATATTATTAGGTGTCTAATTTTAATTATTGTTTCAATAAGACATCTTAGCAATAATCTAATAACTCCAAAATATTCTAATTTATAAATTAATTTTATTAATCTAAAAGCTTTGAAAGCTTTAATAATAATAAACACATTGTTTTAAAAATTTAAAAATTCTAAAATAATGACAATTATTAAAGCAAATGATAAAAGTACATCTACCATGATATATAATTTTCTCCTTGATTTCTCAAAAAAAATTAATTTTAATATAGTCATAATAATTAAGCAGAAATTCATAACCATATCTGCATAATATTCTTTAGGATGCCTCATTTCAATTTAATCTAAACATAATATGATTGTTGATGCAATAATGAACATTTAATCAAATTATTTAATTCTAATAATAATCTAAGATTGATCTTTTTATTTTATATTAATATTGTGTAAGATTTCAGCAGGAATTACAAGATTAGCTCTATGTTAAGATTATATTTAAGTAATCATATGCAATTTATGAAAGTTAATTTATGCTTTGTTTTAATTATTAACTAAGGTAACAGTAGTTCTTCTTCTTTAAGAAAATAATTCAGATTTATTAGATTAAAGATTATTTTTTATGGCACTACTGACAAGAAATGATTCATATAAAGTAGCTAGTAATAAATCAGATAGAGTGTAATGTCTAACATAAATAATTTAAAGATACAAGATAAAAAGCATAAATATGAAATATATTGCAGTAGCAGGAGGAGTTACAGCTTTCCAAAAATAAAAAGTGGTAGGTGACCAACCTGTTGCATTAAAAAACATGTAGCCACTTAAAAATGAATCATAAATAGTATCGAAATTGTAATAGCCATAATAAAAGTCTAAATAATTTAAGTCTTCAGAATTATAATGGTCAATACATTCATAACTTTATAATGAAACATTTATACCCATTAGGACATTCCCATTCTCCACATAAATTTCTAATACTTAAATCAATAATTCCATCTTTAGCACATCTACGTCCTGTCACTCCTCTAAGTAAATGCAATCCAATTATTGAAAATCCAAAAATCACTATCACCAATGGTATTATTATTGTGTGAATAGTCAAAAAACATGAAAAAAAGGTTTCTACATGCTCTCTAAAATAATGAATTTCTTATAAAAGTCTCACTAATCTTAATAAACGAATAACTCTTAACAATTAAATGAAGGTATTTGACTAATCTAAATAAATAGACCATGTACAAACAAAAGTCAAAAAATTTAGACAGCTCCATATATTTCTTAAATATGTTCTCTTTCCCATTATCACTCCATAACAAATGCACTGAATTATTATTTCAATCCCAAAAAATACATTGCATATTGTTTCAATTATTATTGAAGCTATGTTTCTATAACTTAGATTATTTACACTATCTCTAATTTAATAGTCATATAAACAGAAGGCAATAGTATTTACAATCACCATTATAATAACTAATCGTTGCAAAACATGGATGTTTTTACTTAAGTATAAGCGTATTGTATTTTCTTTGCTAAAACATCCCAGTGCAGTTTAAACATGTTATTAATCCTCTATGGGATGATGTTTGATTTTCTGCATATATAACTAAGTTTGTATACTTGATTTTTAATAGTAACCAAATCGGGGTGTAATTCTAAATATTGAAACGTAAAAGGGTCATATTCAAAACCTAATCACGTTTCTAAACAGTCTCCCATTCTTTTCTATTTGATTATTCGATTTCTTGAGCACTGGTTCAAGGCAAAGTAATTTTTAGTTACTGAAAAATCATTAATTTATATATATAATTCAACTCTCCTACTTGTTCATCAATAAGGCTTCGAACAAATATCGCAAATTAATTTAACATTACCTCCTATTGTCTAAATATTTCAAATTTAAATAAACCAAGAGTTAATTATTTTATTTTTTATTATTTTCTTAAAATCATCAAAATCTCCATAAACCTCAACTTTTATTTATTATTCCACTTCTTCTATCAAATTTAATATCGATTCTTTTATTGTAATGAAAATTTCATTTTCTTATCTTAAGATTGAGATAAAAAAATAATAATAAAAAAACAAATATTATGATCACTTAGAAAATTTTAATATATCAATTTCAATCAATATTCATTTTTCTAAATGTTTATTATTACCACCTATTTTTGCTTCTGGTTGAATTATTCTTTATTATCTTGGAAATCCATTTCTAGGATTTGGTCCATTATCTTTATTTGGAAATTAATCTAAAGATATATCTACAAATATATAGTTATTTCTTACCATTTGGATCTTCTCCACGATTCAATCTCTCTTATTATTTATTATTTAAAAGCTATCTTTTATATGCTTACAGAATTTTTTAACCTTTATCTTTTAATTCTTTCTGATCACTTGTAATCGCATCTTTATTTTTTAATTAATAATTTACTCAATATTTATTTTCTTCTAAATAAGCTGACATTTAATTTAAAAGGAATATGTTTATCCATTCCTTTTTCTAACTAACCATTACTCATCTCTAAAATTATCATTAATTAGTCTATTACTCTTAAAAAAATCATAAATAGGATTCTTTTCCCCTTAATCAGTATTTCCTCCTTTTTGAACTCCTCTCATTATTGTCAAAAACTCTTTAAATTCAATTTCATTAGTTCCATCTTCATCAACTTCATTCATAATCTTTTCTACTTCTTCTCTTGAGTTTACTAAACCCAAAGCTATTAATGGATCCTCTAATTCTTCAATTCCAATTGCACCAGAGCCATCTCCATCAAGAGATGAAAAATATTTTCTAAGTTCTGTTATTTCTGAATCTTTGAAATCTATTCTATCTTAATAACCTCTTTTTATTAACCATGCTCTTTCCTAAAATCCAGATTGAAACTCCTTTTGTATAATTTATTTACAATATATTTAGATGCCTTATTAAAATTAAAGGCTTCTTATATTTTAGTTAGTTTCTCTTATTTTTTAATAGATTGAGCTGTTTCTTATCTGTTTCTATTAGATTAAGATTTTGATTATTATTTTTTCATTAATATGATAATATAAAATTATAAAAGATAATTAGTCCACATCATCTATTTACCATTTTTTTATAATCATTCAGTTCCTTTAACTATTTAACTTTCACATAATCCATTAGATAAATTTTTAATTCTAAATTTCTAAAATTTATCTGTATATATAATTATAAAATTCATTTTTGTTTTTACCAATTTGCTTATTACCAATTAGGTTGATTTTTTTTCCACATAGGCCAAGCTGGTGCCAATACCTAATATAATATGCAAATTAGTCTATACTAATATACAAAGAACACTTGCTCCAATTGTAGAGTATACACATACTGAAAATCTTTCCAGGAAGAATGCAATAATAAATGAAATTATCTAAGGATATCAAAATTTGATATTACAGCTACTGTCAAAATGACGATTTTATATATCCTTTTCACAAACAATTGAGATTCAAAATCCATTTCATTGAAATAGATATAAAGCGATTTCCAAAACGTGTCAGATTATCCTTCAGCCATTTAATTATATTAATTATTATTTTTAATTATAAAACCAAAAAAAATCAAGACACTTCTTTATGAAATAATTCTCAATATAGAGACCTTTTAAATTTACTAAAATCTAACTAATTCTTTTCTTGTTTAGAAACTAACAATTTTATTTTCTGAAATGAATCTTAAAAATTTAACGGGGCAATCATAATATGTTGTTTTAAACTCTTGCTTTGTTAAGGATTCTTAATCGAACATTTAGGTGTTATGATTATGCTAGGAAATTACTTTGAAGATGGTGTCTTAAGTTTTTAATTGAGATATTTCTATTCTTATTATTTTTTAAAGTTTTCCTTTTATTCTGTAATTAATCTTTAGATAGCATTTAATTTAAATGAACTTTTTTTCTTTTTGCTATAAAATTGAAGACTTAAAAGTTTTTATAGATCATTTTCATCTTCTCTTTTATTTTTAGGTTACTCAATCTCTTTTACAACCAAAACACTTTCATAATCTAATCCATAATCAAGTTATTCATCTTCTAATGTGTAAAGACGACTCATAATTTGTTATAATTAAAATAATGTAAAAATTGGCACAATATTTATTTTATAATTTTCTTAAAATAATTCATTAGTGTACTCATTAGTCTAATTTAGATTGTTGTTCCTCAGCAACATTTTCTGTATTATTATTAAGTTATTAACTATAAATAAATAAAAATAATTACTACTAATTTGGATCTTATTTAATTTAACTTTCTTGTTCAAGTGATTTACTGAATCGTGTAAAATCAAATTCATTATCAGAACTTTCTCCTTTATTTTTTTCTTCTTCTTGTTCAATAAAATTAGATTTCATATTATTTATATCATCTTCAACATTTCTTAAATTTTACTCTATCTTAACCTAAATTTAATCAGATCCTATCACTGTTGGAATTTGAACACTAGTTTTTAAGATTGATTTTAAGATAATATTCTAATTGTGTACATTTTAACTATCAATTTCTTTTTCTTAATTAATTTATTCAAAATCATCAATCTGTTTATGATCTTAAACTTCTCCATTTTCAGATGTCGATTTATTAGGATCATAATTAAAATTATATTCTTAAACTTCATTAGTCTCCCCAATTACATCCTAATTCTCATTAATAGATAACGATTATTTCTTAGATTCTTCTAAATTTTGACCTTAATTTATATTAAATCGATTTTCTTTAAAATCTACTAGATTTTGTTAATTCTAGTTTCTGTTTCTCTAAAGATTATTTTCTTCTGATCTTTATTTATTAAAATTATTAAATTAATCATCTGCTGATGTGACATTTTAAGTAATATGTTTTGAATTGAAAAATCTAAATTATTCATTTCTTTCTAGACTTTAAGTATTTCTATAAGATTTGAATTTATTATTATCATTATTACTATATTCTATTTGATTTCTATTTACTCTATTAAAACTATTGTTTTATTAGTCTTTTTACTATCTTGAATTATTATTATATTCAAATTATTCATTATAAGGCTATCTTTAGTTTCTAAAATTAGCTTATCCCTATTTTTCATTTTAATCGTAATAATGTTTTCCTTGACTTTGATAATTATTGTTTCTTGAATCAAAATTTCTAAATTTTTGAGGTCTATCATTTTCCTCCTATTCTTAAAATCTATTAAAATTTTTTGTTTTATAATCATCATCTCCTTTCTGAAATTTAACTTAATTTTTATTTTATTAATCTTTAAAGTTATTAATTTAATCTATTTTTTCATACCTTGAATGAAATTAACTTTTACTATGTCTTTCATCATCATGATTATAATGTTATCTTTTATATTCTTCTTATCTGAAATTCTTAAAATCTTCACCATGGTTTTCATAGCTTTTGATATTATTTTTAAAACCAGATATTTATTATGATTATGACATATATTTTGAATTTTATCTAAAATCTTCTAATTAAGCATTTCTTTAATTATCCCATCTTTATTAATTACTATCAAATATAATTTTAGTTTATTATTATTTCAATGAAATTTCTTAATCTTTACTATTTTCTAATCTATCCTCATCTTAATTAATAAAATTCACCCTTCTATTCCCTCGATTATTTTCAAATTATCTTTCTGATCTTTCTGATTTTTCATATTATCTAAATGGTTTTTCTTATTTATCATTAAATACTCTTCTCATTTCTTCTTACTATCTAAATTCTCTTCGGTCATTTTTATAATTATTATTTTATCTATCATATTTATTTTCTATATATTCTTGTTTATCTTATATTTCTTTATCAATTTATCTTTATTAAGTTTCTAATCTTGAAGATCGATCTTATTCTTATTATCTAAACTATCTTTCCTATCTATTTTATTTATCAAATCTATCATTTTAATAAAACCTATTTTAGCAATCCGAACCAAATTTATTATTTAAATTATATGATTCTTCTTATCTATTTTATCTATCAACTCTTTCTTATTTACCATTAGGATATTTTATCTCTTCTTTTTAATAATAATTTTATCCATCCTCTGCCATCTCACAATTGTAATTTTTATGATTCCTATTCTCACTCTATTAATTATTTCTTTAGTATTAACTTCTGTTTATCTAATTATTTTACTCTTAATATTTCTCATTATTTTAAAAATTAAAATTGCTATTTATTTAGTGAACATATTTACTGGTTAGAATCCCTAAATGATGAATCTTCTTTTTAGTTTTGAACACTTTAAAATTGTCTATAATTTTTGTCATTTTAATAATTTCGATTTTCTTAAGGATTCCTATATTTTAATTTAAAACTTTACTTAAATTTCTATAAATCATAATTATATTATTCTTTAGAATTTTTAGGAAATGTAAAATTGACTTTTTAACTATAATTTCCAGGTTATTATTATATAAATCTATCAGATTCAAAATCATTTCTAATTTATGGTACTTATAATTAAATAAAAAGTTTTACATATTCCTTTTGCAAAATTTAGTAAAGCAAATTCATCATATTTAAGGTTTGTAATTGAAGCTAATTTTAATATTTCTCTTGCCATATAAGACTCATCTTTATCATAAGCTAAAAAACTAAAAGATTTTCCTTTTTTTTCTCCTCTACCAGTTCTTCCAATTCGATGAATATAATCATCAAAATATTTAGGAAAATCATAATTAATTACAACTGTAATATCAGTAACATCTAATCCTCTAGATGCTAAATCAGTTGCACATAATAATCGAGTCTATCCACTACGAAATGCTTTCATTATTTCATCTCTTTAAGGTTAGGTTTTATCACCATGTAAAGCTATTGTATAGTATCCCATATCAGCCATATTTATAGCTAATTATTCACAACGATATCTTTATTCTGAAAAAATAAGAACTTTATCTGATATTTTTAATGTATCTAAAATACTAAGCAATGATTTTAATTTTTCTCTTTAAAAAAGACAAATAATTTCTTGCTCAATATTTTTATTTATTGTTAAATTTGATTTCCCTATTTATACATAGATTGGACTTTATTAACAAAAATCAAATGCTAAATTTTTTACAGCTTTAGGCCAAGTAGCTGAAAAAAGAACTGTTTATCTATCTTCTCTAATTTATTAAACTATTTCTCTTGTTGTATCTTCAAAACCCATTTCCAAAAGTCTATCTGCTTCATCAATAACTAAATAACTCACATCAGTTAATGTTATTACTCTTTCTTTTAAAAAATCTAAGAGTCTTCCTGGAGTTGCAACTAAAATATTTGGAGATTTTCCTAAATTAAAATATTAAGTTTTTCTATTGTTTAGACCACCATAAACACAAACTGTTTTTAACCTATAATTCTATGTAAATAATTAAATTTCTGAATCTATTTAAATAGCTAATTCTCTAGTTGGAACCAAAATTAACATTTGAGGACTATTTTATTTTTTAGTATTATTTGATTCTTCATTTATTTAATTAGTAATTTAAATTAATCCTGGTAATAAATATGCTATAGTTTTTCCAGATCCTGTTTATGCAACTCCTATTACATCATATCCAGCTAAAATTATTGGAAAAACTTAAATTAAATATTTAAATTATAATTATACCTACAGATTGAATAACTGTTGGATTCTTAAATTATAATTATTCTATTGAATCTAAAATAGGAGATGGGAAATTAGCTGAAGCCCAACTTAAATATGGAGGAGGTACTTTTTAATTTTCTAAAGTTTTTATTATTATTTCTTTTTCTCTATAAAAGGCTTCAATTCTTTCTTCTGTCATCATATAACTTTCTTAATTTTTCTTAAGAAAATAATTAAATCTTATACATGCAAGAATTCTTTACGAAAAGGCTAAAAGTCTTAGGATTTCAATCCTATTTTACAACCTCTTGTCTCTTTCCATTTAGAACGTATCGATTCTTCATTATCTAGATTATACTCATCAACATCATCGACATAATGACTATTCATAGATATTTAAATTAATGAAAAAAAATAACCCTGCTTATTTTTGGTATTAAAATTTAAAAAGAATTAAAATAATCATAATAATTTTCTGATATTTTTTAAGTTATCTTTAGTTTAGAATATCAATTATTTTTTTTATAATTTTGGTAATTATATGTCTTACTGAATATCTGATTTTAATGGAGATTTCTAATTCAAAGGAGAAGATAATTATTTTCTTAATTTTGGTGTAATTTATCTATTAATATTGTTACAATGATATTCTTGAGCACTTGGATAATGTTAATGATTATTAGGTTATAATTGATAAAGATTATTAATGTTTCTTATATTCTCTTTTGAATATTAATTATTTTAAGAATTATTTCTTTCAATAGAATTCTTATGATTTGATAGTTTATTTTTAATTTTGAATTTTCTACTAGCTGGACTATTAGATTCATCTGATCTATTATTTGAAATAGCTCTATATCCACGAGAAGTATTGATTTTACAAATAACTACACTTGAATCATTCATTTCTGTTTAATATCTAGGTCTAGGCAATCGAATTTCTTTATAGTTTTTAGATAGACAAATAGTTTCAAGTAATTTTACATTACTATTCGAAACTGAACATTAAGAAATTAAGTTTTATCTATTTCTTACTTGAGCTATCTTTAATAATTCTTCACAAGATCCCCTTTATTTTGAAGAAATCTATAAACATTTTGTGATGAATTCATTTAACTCTATACTATATCTTGAATTTAACTATTCATATTATCCTTTAGCTATTTTTATCTACAACTAAAATAAATCATTTGCCAGAAATGGTGGTTACAATTATGCCATTTCATATATTACACATCCTAATGACCAGATATCACATTTCTAATCATAAGGTTAATCCATCCATACTTCAGGACTTGCATAATAAGGAGTTCCAGCATATGTATTTGCAAACTAATTTGCTTTTACAACTTTAGCAACATTTAAATCACCCAATTTAATATGTTTATGATCTTAACTCAAAAATATATTTGCACATTTAATATCTCGATGATATATTCCTTTCCTATGCAATTCATTCAAACCTTAAAGCATCTCATATATATAATTCCATATCAATTCCTCATCTAAATAAAACCCTTATCCTTTTTTTCTTATATACTCCAATTTTTATTATAAATCTCCTCCTCCTGCATATTCCAATACTATAAATAAAATGTCTCCTTTTATAAACGCTTCTCTATATCCAATTATATAAGGATTTTCAAGACTTGCTAAAATCCTAACTTCATTCAAAGCATTATTTAGTTCCTTTATTGATAACCCTGATAATTCAACTTTTTTCATTGCATATTCTTAACCATCTGATTTTCTTTTCACTTTATATACAGCTGAAAAAGAACCCTATCCTAATTTTTTTATTATTTCGAAATCAGAAACAGACAATCGACTCATTTATTCAAACTAAATTTTAAATTTTATGTTTGAATTTAAATTTATCAACTCCTAATTTATTTTAATGAGATAAAAACTCAATTCTCATTAGTATATAATTTAAATTAACAATAAACTACTTTTATATTAGATTTCAAGTTAAGTAATACATATAAAAAATAAAATCAAAATAACAAATATTCCATTATTTTATTTGTCAACTTTATCTAATATTATTCCTCATTCAGAAGGATTTTTATTTTCTCTTAGATTCTATGTAATTCCTCTATTGATTTATAATAAAAACACTATAATCATAATTATAGATTTAAATTCAAAATGGAGCTATAAATGTTTAAACAAAATATATAAAATTTTTTTTATTCCCTTTAAACCTTAAAAAATAAATTCCAAATTATTGAATCAAAAAAATCTAGTTAAACTATATAGTTTAGATATTAAATGATCCATTAAATCATAATTTATTTTTCTTGTAAATCAATATCTCTGCTTTCAGAATTATAATTCAACTTAAATTAAACAAAACTTAAATAATATAAACATTAAATTAGTAAAATTGCGGACAATTATTCTTAATAAAGAATAAATAAACCTGAAGATAGTAAATAAGATTTCAGGATAATTAAAAAATGTAACAAAAAATAAAAGTAGAAATTCTTGAATCAAAAAATTAAATCACTAAACTATCATAGTAAAATTAATCAATTTACAAATTTAAGTAAATAAGAAAATTATAAAAAAATATAAGCTTGTAATTGATAAAGAGAAATTTATAATCATTAAATCTATCAATGAGAATATAAATTAATATACCCAATAAACAGATGCTTAATGATCTAAAAAATTAAGAAAAGTTTAAATTACTATATGAATTAATAGGAATAGTAGATGGATATCATCAGAAAAATTAGGATTTTGTAATTGAAAGCATTATTTGAGTAATGCTAAACAATAATATTAATTTTGATTATACAAACTTCATAAATGAACAACAACACAAATTAAAAAGTTAATTAAGCAATTTAAACTTCAATTGAGCATAAGCCTTACAGTGATACTACTTAATGTAAGTAATTTAAAGATAAAATGTAGTTATAACAGATAATTTAAAACTGAAATATGAAGAATTACAAAAGAAATTTTAGGAACCTTAAGTTTAAGCAAAATGGGGTTAAGCCAAAGATATATTTATCGAAAGAACAAAAGAATTTGGAGTAACAAACTTTAAAATATATAGTTTCTTACTTTAGATTATTTAGTTAAGACTTTTGAGATTACTAAAANTATATAATTTAAATTAACAATAAACTACTTTTATATTAGATTTCAAGTTAAGTAATACATATAAAAAATAAAATCAAAATAACAAATATTCCATTATTTTATTTGTCAACTTTATCTAATATTATTCCTCATTCAGAAGGATTTTTATTTTCTCTTAGATTCTATGTAATTCCTCTATTGATTTATAATAAAAACACTATAATCATAATTATAGATTTAAATTCAAAATGGAGCTATAAATGTTTAAACAAAATATATAAAATTTTTTTTATTCCCTTTAAACCTTAAAAAATAAATTCCAAATTATTGAATCAAAAAAATCTAGTTAAACTATATAGTTTAGATATTAAATGATCCATTAAATCATAATTTATTTTTCTTGTAAATCAATATCTCTGCTTTCAGAATTATAATTCAACTTAAATTAAACAAAACTTAAATAATATAAACATTAAATTAGTAAAATTGCGGACAATTATTCTTAATAAAGAATAAATAAACCTGAAGATAGTAAATAAGATTTCAGGATAATTAAAAAATGTAACAAAAAATAAAAGTAGAAATTCTTGAATCAAAAAATTAAATCACTAAACTATCATAGTAAAATTAATCAATTTACAAATTTAAGTAAATAAGAAAATTATAAAAAAATATAAGCTTGTAATTGATAAAGAGAAATTTATAATCATTAAATCTATCAATGAGAATATAAATTAATATACCCAATAAACAGATGCTTAATGATCTAAAAAATTAAGAAAAGTTTAAATTACTATATGAATTAATAGGAATAGTAGATGGATATCATCAGAAAAATTAGGATTTTGTAATTGAAAGCATTATTTGAGTAATGCTAAACAATAATATTAATTTTGATTATACAAACTTCATAAATGAACAACAACACAAATTAAAAAGTTAATTAAGCAATTTAAACTTCAATTGAGCATAAGCCTTACAGTGATACTACTTAATGTAAGTAATTTAAAGATAAAATGTAGTTATAACAGATAATTTAAAACTGAAATATGAAGAATTACAAAAGAAATTTTAGGAACCTTAAGTTTAAGCAAAATGGGGTTAAGCCAAAGATATATTTATCGAAAGAACAAAAGAATTTGGAGTAACAAACTTTAAAATATATAGTTTCTTACTTTAGATTATTTAGTTAAGACTTTTGAGATTACTAAAACGACTATTACCGATTTATACGGAATTTACAATAAGTGAAATGAACTTTATATTCAAAAGTTTCCATATTTTCAATCATAATATTATAAATAAAATAATAAAAAATTAACCACAACTAAATATAATTTTGAAAGCAATAAAGTCTTGCTTAAAATACAATTTATAATATGTAAAATTGATTTTCAAATTTTGTGTCGAAAACAATTAAGTTAAAGATTATTTTATTATGATTTATTTTAATAATAAATGAATTATATATAAAAAAATATAATATTTAAATTTTTCGTATGAGTAATCACGAACTCTCAGAAGAAAATAGACCTCCTAAACTACTATTAATTTGGAGTAAATGTTCTGAGTTTAGCGAAATTGATTTGGAAAATAAATAATCCCCAAAAATAGTTAAATTAAGAAAATTGTATCATCTTATTTAATTATGATAGGAATTCAACAATAGAGAATAATGAATAACTTCAACAAGTGATTAATAGATAAATAGATTTAGATGAAAAAAAGGAAGAAAGTCCTAAATAAGATAGTACAAAATGGCAGCCTTGTAGTTGTACAAAAACTAATTGTTTGAAGATGTATTGTTCATGCTTTCATAATGGATAAACATGTGTAGAATAATGTAAATGTGAGGAATGCTAAAATACTGATGAATACCTAATAAAAAGAGATGAGGCTGTTGAGTATATTAGAAAAAAAGCTCATCGAAATAAAAAAGTGACTTAAGAAAAGTTATTTGAAACAAAAGAAGTTTGGGGTTGTAATTGTTAAAAAACAAGATGTTAAAAAAGATATTGTGAATGTTTTATAAGATAAAAATCATGTACAGTTGATTGTAATTGTAATCATTGTGAAAATGGAAAGGATGAGGATTTATTTAATGAGATAAGAAGATAAAACGAGTAACCAAAATAATTTAAAAAAAAGAGATCAGAGCGATTGTTTAATAATTGATTTGTTTCATATTTTGTAATTGAGTTTTTTTCTTATTATTTAGATCATAAAATACATTTATTTTAAAATTAAATTCTGAGATTTAAAATTTCTAAACCAATAGGAATCAAAATTAGATCTATAGAAAGTTTATTTTTGATTCATACATATTTAATCGTTATTAATAAAAACTATCCCTTTTATAGTTTTTGCTCATATTAAAAGCTATGACTTTCTAACAACATATAGATTGATAATGAAAAATTTTTAATTTCTAAGTTTTATAATTAAATAAATTAAGGGTAGAATGTTGAATTTTATAATATATAATTAATTATAATTTATTAGGGTTTAATTCTTTTAATGATCCTAAGCAAAGATTTCATAAAGTCTCAGAATTTAACTAGAATTTAATCTACTGCTTTTCATATATATTTAGTAAATAATAAAGATAAGACATATTTTGGATATATTTAGAAATAGATATACAAAAATAACTAACAATTAAATGAATTTAAAGCTGGTAACCTGCAATTGTAAAATGACATCAAATATATACGAAAATTCAATAAACCTGTAAGTTAGGGTTTCTATGCATTTGAGTCATATTAACAATATAAACTTTTATCAGAACTTAAATATTTTGGGGAATAAGTTATTTTAAAGATTTGTCAAGATCTTCTAATTGCTTTATTTGCTATTCATTAAAAGGGATTATTAGGAAGATGCTTTAATGTTCACAATATTTTGCTTGTTGAAAATTAATATTGTGTTATGATGGAATTTGGATTCTATCCAGATTTAGAATTTTAAGTGCCAGAAATGGTATACAATTAGATCTATAATGAGAAAGTAGATATTTTTTTATTAGGCAGAGTAATATTTTTTTTAATGATTGGAAATGATTTGCCAAAATTTAATATGAACAATTTAAGTGAAGTTTAATCAGATATCAATTTATCTATTGCTTAAACAAGTTATTCAGAAGGTTTAAAGAAATTAGTTATATCAATGTTATAAATAGATTTAAATAAAAGAATTGATTATTCACAATTGTTTGCTAAATTTAAAAATAATTAATATTATTCTCATTAAAGTAGTTCAATAAATAAAATATTTTGATGGGCACAACTACAAAACTTATTCATAAAAGAGAGAAGAATTCAAATAATTATTTAGAAGAATCGACAGCTTTTGATATAAAATAAACTTTAATAATAAAAGTATTATATTACAATTTAATGATTAGAAAATGTTTGAAGAAAGTTTGCCTTTAATTTAATTTAGTTTCCCTATAATTTAAGAAGAAAAAAGTAGTTTGAACAATTCATCTTAAGGTACTAGTTAAAATATGAGTTCACTATATCCTCCAGAATTAGAAAGCTCTGCAAAATATACATAGCTTCAATAAGATCAGATTGTAAGCATTTGCAATGCTGATTAAAATTAAATATAAACTTAGTAAAAAACTCAAGAAGATAAAATAAAGAGTTCTCTTTTGGAAAATGATCTACTGCTAAGCATACTTCCATTTCTAAATTCTGACAGACCTGATGATTTTTTGATTTGGAATCAAATATATTTTTATTTGTAATTACAATTACATTTTTAAAAGCAAAATAATTATTTAATCTTCATAGCTATTTATGGATTGAAAAAGGCATAAATAATTCTAAAGAGAGAGTACTAGATTATTTTAGAATAAAATTAGAATGTTTATAATGTTCCATATTAGGAGTGGTTATAATTTATAGCATGTTCTGAAGAGTATAAGAGGATGATTACAAATATAAAATTGGACATTGAATCTAATTAAAAGATATTATTTTAGAAGGATTAAATTTAGTTAAAGAAAATTCTTGAATAAAATAAAAATGAGTAATTTTTATAAGATTTATTATAATATATTGGAAAATATTTAGATGATGTACAGCATATTATTTAAATATTTTAGAATTTTGACATCAGTAATTTTGAAGAAATCAAGCGTTCTTATAGATATATATTAACAAATAATTTATCTTAATTTGATAATTAAGAAGATAAGAATTATTCATATATAAGATTGATAATTTTAATGTGCATATTGATTAATAGAATATTTGATGTATAGTGTATTCCAAATCATTTTAAAACAATATGTAAATTTTTGAAGATATAATCAATAAATTCAATAGTGCAGATAGAACAATTCATAAAGAAAGGGAGAAAATAAGAATATATAGATTTATTTGAAGAATTAAAGCCAATATTATTTAGATATTAGTGGAATTAGAAAGAAAGATTTTGTTTTTTAATAAATTGTGATGGCATAGAAATATTTCATGGAGCTGGCAAATCTTTTAATGGCAAATCTCCAATAGTTAAAGTTTTTTGATATTCTTCTTCTTCGTTTCTAAATAAGAATGAGATATTTACCTTTTTAATCCAAAATATTATTTAGAAATTAATTATGTATGATTTGAAAGGAATGAAGTTTTAAGTTTAGGATTCCAAAAGGCATCTTCTTTATAGAGATACATAAGATCTTATTTATTTAAGCAAGATATTTCATACATGCCTAGATCCTATTAATATATGAATGAATAGTTTTACATTTTATCTCATATTTTAAACTCCAGATTTGGTATAATAAGGTAAGACTTCTAAATGATGAGTTTCAAATACATCTTCTCTAACAACTCCAAATGATCCCATTCTTGTAACAAAGACTAATTCTTTATCTTTACTATATTAAACTCTAGTAACATAATTTTTGCCAATATCATTCATAGACATATGATGGAAATACCATAGATATGCAGAAGCTGCAGTAGCTGCTAAAACATTGATTCTCATATAATCCATATTATAAATAGATTATAAATGATAAGGATAGAATGAAGCATCTATTTAATGATCAAACATTAAATTAGTTTTGTATACAATATTATATGGTAATACCCAACAAATCCATGCAAAACTAAATGTTCCAGTCCACCATACAAATTTAAGCCATTCTTATAATCTTGTGTTTTCATAGATTACTTCACCTTCTTCAAAATTTAATGTAGGATCAGGATCACCTGATGGATGTTAAACAAATGGTTAATCATTATAACTTGGATGATACATATCACTTTCTAATCTAAATAATCTTTAAAAAGGATTTGCTAAAAATTCAGGATGTCCTAATCTATCTGCTAGATAAGGGAATCTCAAATGATAAGGAGTTTCAACATCATATTTAGAACCTTTATCAGGATGGAATTTCTTTGTAACTGGTCTAGATTCTAATTCTTTCTCATGTCTTTTTTCACTCTCTGTTTTATCTACTGGAGCAATTGTTTATGCTATCCATCTCTTTTCATTTCTAAATACATTTTCATATTCCAATTCTTCATTTTCTAAATTACCAGTTTATGCATATGGCATTTCTATTGGAAAATAATCTCTCAATCCACCAGTGATATTTTTTGTTACTCCACTTTTACCTTTTAAATAAGGTCTATCCAATTATTTAATTGCTTCATCAACTTATCTTTACATTGCTACATCTCTCTTTACTCCATCAACTAACATATTATGAGTATCCACTGTTAATCTTTATTTATAATCCTATCTCTAAGCAGGAATGTAATCTTAATGTGCTGGATCATAATGAGTTATATGATATGGGAAGCTTTTATATTCTAATTTATCAGCTAGTCTTTCTAAATGCTCTTACATTACATTTCTTCTTTCTAATTTCAAATTAGATCATATTCTTATACCTTTTCTTCTTTGAATAGCGTTCTTTACTACTTGACTTGCATGAAACTGTGGTCTCTAGTATCTCATTGCTATCAGTATCATATTAATTAAAATAATAAAATAATATGTATTCAAATCAAATATGTTAGATATATTATATATATTATATATATTATATATATATTATTAAATTAACATCTATTACCTTTATATCTTTCTTTTATTTCAGCAATCAATATCTATTATTGTATATTGTTTATTATCATAACTATTTTTATTAAATAATTTTTATATATTTCAAACGATGGATATTAAAAATTGGTTATATTATGAAGATACTCACTCAAACAACAATGAATATGACAAAATATTGGTTTTAATTCATGGAAATCTAATATCATGTAAATATTGGAGAAGACTGATAAATTAAATTCAATAATTAAATTCCAAGATTCGTTGTATTAGTATGGATTTAAGAGGATTTGGAAGATCCTAAGGAAATCATAATGTAGAATGTATGACTGATTTATCTAATGATGTGGATAATTTACTAAATTCTATCCTTTCCGATAAGGATGAAGAATATTATCAAAAAAATGTTTATCTTGCAGGATGGTCTTTAGGAGGAATTGTTAGTATGTAATTAGCAGTGGATTATCCTAATAAATATTAAAAACTTATTTTGATTGCATCTGGTAGTGTTTGTGGTTATACCTTAATGACAGAAGATTAAGATGGTTAAGTAAAATGCCAAACAAAACAATAAGTGAAAAATCATTCTAAAGTTGCCCTATAATAACAGAAATTAAATGATAAGGATAGAAACTTTATGAGAATGATATTTGATAAGGTATTATTCAATAGTGGTAAATACCCAGAAGAATAAGAATATCAATAATTATTGGATGAAACATTTTTATAAACATAATATACTGATGTTTGTTGGGCTTTAAATCAATTTGATATCTCGTAATATTATCAATATTTTTAGCTCTGGAGGTACAAATAGAGCTTCATTAATTAAGGGACCCGTATTAATTTATCATGGTGAAATGGATTTAGTTATACCATAGATCTATGCACAAGGTAATGCTAAAGAAATTGGAGAAGATAAATGCACTCTTATTATTAGACCTGGAGTAGGTCATATGCCTCCTATTGAAGATGATGCTAATTTAGCTTAAGAAATTAGTCGTTTTATAAATTGATTATCTAGATTAAAAGTATATTTTAAATAAATTGATAAATTTATTTATTTTAAACTGCAAAAAACACCCAATCATTTTTTCTTGTGCGATTATGTTTTTAATTTAAGTTATCTTATATCATATTATTCTGCCAATTGAAGAATCCAATCATCAATTTTTTTAACATTGTTTTTAACTTATTCATTTGTATCTACTGGATCAATATCTAACCATAATTCGATTCTTATTCCATTGCCTTTAACAGCATTTATTTTATCTAAGACTCGAACTCCATTTACCTTTTTTTATTTTAAATTATACATGCCTTAATTCTTCTTTTGATTATCCTATAATCTCATAAATAATATCAGTATAGAGTTAATTATAAATATCAATTGAGGTAAGTGGTACTTCAAATTGTATATCACCTCCTTTCTCATTTTCTGGATCCTCCCAACACGGATTGATATCATTTTTAAAAAATTGAATTGCTTCAATTTGTGTTTCTATTGCATTGTTTTTAAAATTTTTGAATCTAACATTACATCATAATTATACTATTTTTATTTTTGTGGCTCACTAAATAAATCTGTCAAACTTTAATAGATTGTTTATTTCATTATAAATGCAAATTCTTCAACACTCTTAATTGAACATATATCAACTATTGTCTTTTTATAATCATCATCTTTATTTTAAACAGTATACTTCTCAGATATTGTCCATTTATCATTCAACTAATGGAATTAGTCACTCATTAATATTTTATTATGATTTGAATTATGAAATTTAAACTATAAAAAATAATTGTAAAAATAACAAATTAAGATATCAATCCGAAACTATATATTTTTTGTATTCCTCTAATAATCCATGAATATAATGAAGTTCAGGAACTTTCTCTAAAAGAGATCTAAAACTTTATTAGAAATCGAAATATTAACTTTCACTGATTCTAAATCTTCTATGTATTACTTCTAAATCAGTTCTTTTAAAAAACTTAATAGTATAAACTAAAAGATTCAATTTACTTTTGATATTTCTCATCATATTTATTTCTTCTGTCTAGAATTAATTTCAATTAATACTTCATAAATTACATTGAGTTATCTTGAATAAAACTCATTTTCTAAATTATAAGCCAATTCATTTATTAATACATCCCTATCTTTTATTTTAAGATAAGACATTCTAGGATCACTTAAAATTAATGGTTTAATTTCATCCCAATCTTCATCAAAATCTTCCAAAACAATACGATCATCAGTAAGTTTACCAACTTCAACCATAGCTTTTTCCTTCAATTTCATAAAAATCTTTTCAGTAATTATAGTTTTATGATAATGAATTTCTTCTAAATCATCTAAAGTAATTGCTTTGACATTATATCGAAAAAAATAATGGAATATATTTTCACAATGACCTGTAAATTTTGCCTTTCCCCTTCTTTAAATTAAATCATATAGAACAGGCTCTTCTAAACAACTCTTTACAAATTGTTCAATAAACAGATTATAACCATAATTACATATATAATCTTGAAGACTATTTTTATTTATAACAGCATATTTATAAATATCCATTCTTCTAAGTAATGCACTTGCATATTTAAAAGGAACTTATAACTCTTAAAGAGTTAGAGCGAGATAAAATTTAAAATTTGTAAGTTACACATTCGTTAATTCATATTTAACATGTCTTTCTCTTAAAACTTCATTTGTATAATTTGGAGAATCCATATGATAAATTAATTAAAAGAAAAGTTTAGCAAATTTTGATGCCTAAGTTGCTCTATCTATTCCCACAAAATAATATTCTAATGTTATATCTGCAAATATTTTAGCATACATTTAATTTGCACACAATTCTATACCATCTTAACCACCATATACATCATATTCCATTTTTTCATTTAATATATAAGGTCTCACATTTTCTATTCTCTCACAACATTTAAATAATTGTTCTACAGGTATACCCATTTGCATAAATCTATTCATAAAATGATATTTAAATCTAAAAAAATGAAAACTCTTTAAATTCAATCCTAAATGAATACTTCTTATCCTATTTAAATCTAAATAGATTTATTAATCATATCCTGTTGCTAATATACTTCTAAATATTTATTTAACATGAGATCCTGTTTTATTATAAAATTTTTTAGCTAAATCACCATCCTAAGTTAAGGCAGAATAAATTAATTCTGTCTCAAAATCTAATCTTGCATCTATTCCTTGTGGTTTTTATACCACTCTTCTTTTTCTTTTTTAATTAATAAGTAAATTTACCTTGCCAAATCTTTTAAATATCCTGAAATTATCTATTATTGCGACTTCTAAAGTTAAGGACTATGAGGACAGCATAAATCATTCTTTATTTTATCTGACCCTTTTACTACATCAACAAGTAACTGATGATTTCTTATTAAATTCACTTTCTTTTATTATGGACTTGATCTTTATGACGTTATACGAAAATGCTAACTAAAACTACTTTTTTCATATGAAATTAGATGATTTGAGTTTTTATATGATGGACTATCTATTATTTGTTTAAATCTATGATTGTTAATTTCTGAGTCTTATTGTTAAGTTTATATAGCTATCATACCTTAACTACGACAGGCTTATGGCATATTCAATAATATTATTATTTTATACATGTCGTATATTTTAAGCCAATTAGATATCTTTTAGTTATCCACTATCGTTATGATGGTGTATAATGCTTCCAAGAGTCTACTGAGATTTTCGTTTATTTAAGATTGGTAGGATTTGTTTTCTATCAGTTGATAATAGTTCTATAAACTCCTTAAATGAACTTGTTTTAACTGACTTTGAGTGTTCTGATTCAGAAAACATTATTATAATTATTATAAACACCAATTATAATCAAAAATAAATATGATTTAAAGTTATCATCAAAAATCAGAAACAATATGTTTTTTATAATCCTCTAAAACTCTATTTAACCATTACAATTTAGGAAAATTTTCAAGAATGTGTTTAGTGGCCTTCATAATTTTATTAATTTACTTATTGAAATTCAAAATAAACTTATTCTGATATTTTTAATCTTTTATGAAGAACTTCTAACTCTGTTTTCTTATAGAAATGAATTCCATAAAGCATTAAATTCAATTTGCATCTCAGATTCTAGGCAACACAAGTATCATTATCCTATTGAAATTATATTAACAAAATCATACCTCAAACACCTTGTTTAATTATGGTCTTTATTACATTTCAAAGGCCAAAGTAGAGGCAAGGTTACTAATGAAAGTTTACCCTCCCAATTATTTGACAATTTGTTTTTTTGATCTGTTCAGTATAAAAGGTGTTATTTCTTCCCAATCTTCTTCAAAATCAGAAATTATAAGAGCATCTTTTGTTATTTTAAGTAAAGTCTAAAATGTGTGTTCTTTTACTTTTAAAAAGGCCTTTTCTGAAATTATGGAGTTACATTTATGTATTTATTCTATATCTTAATCTGTTATTGATTTTACATTATCTCGAAAAAAAAAATGAATCATATTTTCACAATGAGCTGTAAATCTGTGCTTACCTCGTTTATTAAATAATTCATATAAAATCGGTTCAGTTTAACATTACTTAACTAATCCATCAATAAACTCTCTGTATCCAAAAGCATTGATTGTTTCTTGTAAACTTTCCTTGTTTAAAATAGCATATTTATAAGTATCCATTTTTCTTAATAATTATCTGATATGTTTAAATCCTATTTGTTACTATTACAAAGTCATTGAAAGATAAAATTTAAAATTAGCAAATTAAACTAAAGTTAAATTATATTAAACATGTCTTTCTCTCAATATTTCTAAAGTATAATTTGGAGAATCAGTATGATCAATCAACTACGCAAATAAACGAGAAAATTTTTTTGCTTGAGTTTCCTTGTCAATCAAAATAAAATATGGAGAAAGTGTGTAATCTTTAAAAATTTTATCATACATTGATTCTGTAATTTTCTTAATTCCTACATCCTAACCATATATTTCGAAATCTAAAGGCTATTAATAAATTTTGATATATATACTTTATTTAAAACTAAGGGTTTGAAACTTTCTATTTTGTGACAACCTTTAAAAAATAAATCTAAAGGAGTTTCCATTTCGAGAAACTAATTTATGAATAAGTATTTAAATCTTAAAAACTAATCATTTTTTATATTTAATTAGGAATGGATGCTTTTGAGTCTCCCAGGGTCCATCATAATTTCTTTGTCATATCCCACACCTAACAAACTGCGATAAACTTCTTTAAGATGCTTTATATGTCGTCCTTTGTATTTTTAATATAAAGTATAATCAGATGTGATCTTTGTAAAAAGAATATTAGCCTCATAATCTAGTCTTGCACTTGATCCAATAGGTTTATGTTATAATTCCTTAATTGTAAATGATCATAATTACATCATTTTCATTTGATTTTTAAAACTTTGTTTAAAAAAATTATGTGATAATCTCTTCTTATGTAAGTTAGGGTAGAGAAAAATTGTTAACATTTGATTTTTATTTTCTGTTGATTTACTCTAATTGTTCATTACAATTTCTGAGACTATACATTCCAGTTTTTCTCATTCGATGCTATGGTTAAAATTTAAAAAAGCCATTCGTTGGTGTGATTGGAATGTTAAGCAATGGTATTGAGATAGATTCTGATTTAATTTTCTTAAATTCTTGTTCTTAGCTTAAATAAAATTAAGTTGTACTCATTGTTAGTTGTTGTATGTGTGATTCTCGCTACTTTAACTATTTCATTTAATGGTATTTATTGATTTAATTGTGCTTATCTAAAAGAGAATACTTCTGGTTATAATAAAGAACTTAATTATTTTTCCCATCTCCTATTTTTTGTTTAGACAACAGTAGGTAATGATGATTTATGACCACTTTATCTCTAAATAAGAAATTCCTTGAAGCTCACTTTCTTCACAGGAGAATCTTTACTTGGTTCTGTCTAAAATGCAAAAGGACATCTTGGACTACTATCCATTCTTAATTATGTTAATAATATAATTATAAACTTTTCTATTTTTACTAGAATTAATACATATTGCATCTTTAATGAACTAATACAATATTTTGAGTTCTTTCCGTTAATAAATTTATTAAAAATTGTTTCAATATCTCTTTTAAGAATTTCCGAAAATATTTTTAGAAAACTGAACTTTGTTTTGTATTTTTGTACTTCATAAATTTATTGGATGATTAAATAAAATCTTAATTTAAATTAAAAAAATATAATGAAGAAATTCATAATTGGATACATTCTTTTGGTGATTGTTAATTCAGCAACACCTTTGAGTCTTTCTTAATTTAATTAATGCACTTGTTAAAATGCAAAATAACAAGATGATTGTTTGATTGATTATTGCATTTGGGATCCAAATTAATCAACTTGTTCAAATAAATCCTGCTCTGTATTCAACAAAAATGATTGTCTTGGAGTTCCTAGTCCATTTAAATGTGTTTGGAATTACACATCATCTAAGTGTGAATCTTTTACTAAATGTGCAGATTATACTTTCTCAATTCCAGATGGTGAAAGATGTTATGCTTTATTTAAATGCTAAGTTGATGTTAATACGATTAATAATACCGATCAGACTGTCAAATGTATGGATAGAACATCAGATTCAGCTAAAAGTATTGGCAGTTGTGATAAAGTGCCGTTTAATGAATGCCTCTGGCTTGTAACTTCCGATGGTAAATAATGTATTAGGAATACTCAGACATAAGCATGTGAAACAAAATTAATAACGAAATGTTCTGATTATACAACCAATGATTCTTGTAATACACAAGCTTGTTTTTGGGAAGCCACTACTTGCAAACCGTTAACTTGTTCTTATTTTAATGATAAATCTTGCATATTATATTTCTCATTTGATTTCAAATAAGTTACATTTTGTAACTGGAACGGAAAAAGTTGTTTAGATTTAGATACAACAACTTTAACATAACAATAATGCTTATCATTCACCCTTTATTCTTATATTTGGGATCCAGATACCAAGAAGTGTGAGGTTTGCTCAGAGTAAGAGGAGAGTTCTAGCACAGGATTTCTGATTTATACATCACTGTTGATGGCCTTAGTATTCAATTGAATTCTATTATAAGAACAAGATAATAATATAATATTTAAATTGTTATTTTAATGGTAATCATCTTAATTTTTTTTCTAACAATTCAAAAGCACTCTTTAATGTTTCAACTTCTTGAGTTCTATTTATATATAAATAAATAATTATACCTCTTTTGCTTTCTAGCAGAATATGCCAAATTATAAGAATCTTATTGTTGTTTTAGATTTGTTAATACTTATTCTGTTTAAGGAATTGTTATTTCAAGTTATGCCTTTCTTTTATCTGCAGTTACTTTTTCATTTTATTTTTTGGCAATTGAAGTCTTAGCTGTGGAAGCATCAAAACTTAATTTTTTAGAAACTTCAGAAATTTCATTGAGTAAAGTCTAATAAGTTTATTATTAGACAGTCCAATTTTATTCAGATTAAATTAATTATTATTCTTATTATGATTAAATGTGTTCCAATTTTAAGATGATGTTTTAGACAGTGGCTTTATCAAACTTTGATGTCACTTCAACTAATAAGGCAACAGGATGCTTTTATCCTAATTCTTATTTCATAGTATTCACAATTTCTTATTTTTCTATTAATGATTGTTGAGATAAAACAGCATCTGTTAATTTTTATATGATTTATGTAAGGCCATTAATTGATCTTCTTGCTTATGAAGATTCACTCTAAAACTATTAATACTTAATTTACATCAAATGCAGCTCCTTCATTTGCTAGTGAATCTCTTAATTAGATATCTCTAGCCCCTAAATCTGTTAATTGCTAATTCAAATTGGCCCATGTTTTAGATATTGTATAAATTTCTTCACTTAAATCTCCTATTAAAGTGTTTGTTGATTTTAATTAGTTCACTTAAGCTTCCAGTTAGGATTATGATATTAAAATATCAGCTTCTAATTTTGCATTTGTCTTTTAAATATTAAAATAATATACTTGAGCAAGTTAAGTGTCATCCATCATTTATTCTTTTCTTAATTCACTCAATAAATCACCTAATTGTTCCAATACTTCCTCTTTTGGTGTTTATAGAAGTGACAATTAGGCTAAATCTTATGAAATTGGAGCTGCCAAAGCTATACCAACTATGACAAATAACACAAACTTCATTAAAACGGGTAATATTAATAATATAATAATGAGCTCAAAAAAATTATTGTATTAAGAAATAGATGTAATCATTTACTACTAACATAGTAAACAAAATAGCAACTTAGTTTACAAATGTCTCATTAGAAGACAACTTTAAAAGAATTTAGTTCATATTTAAAAGATTATTAGGCCTTCCTTAAATCTGTCTCTGAATAATTGATAAAATTGACAAGAAAAGAGTGTAAAACTTTAAATACATACTTAGTTACCTGTAGAGAGTTTGAAAATAAAACCATCAAAGAGTTTATAGATAAAAATATTATCTCAACATCTAAGATTAGCGATATTCTTGGACATTTATCAGAAAATATTAATCAATTAGAGCAAGATATTTTTTAAACCTATCTTGAAATAAAATAAAACAAAGAATTAGTAATGCAAAAAGTATACTTACTATTTATTTTAGTGTGATTAATAAAAAAAAGAAAGAGATTAATTAGTGAGTGCAAAAAACGTTGAAAAATAGATTATTGACCAATTCTCGTAAGTTGCGATTATTACCATGCAAAGTAATATTGAAACAGCAATTAACACAGAGAAGAAAAAAAATGCTAAAATAGTAGATTCTTTCAAAAAGTTTTACATCTAACAAAAAGAGTATTATATCAAAAATATATAAGTCATGCAGAAATTATTGAATAATAATTACTTTTATAAATCCAATATTTTGATACTGTCCAACCAGAGTAATAGACTTTAGAAAAAATGAAAAATTAATTATAAGTTTAATCTTTGAATCAAAGTGGAAAATAAATGAATGCTTCTGGACCTGGGATATCTAAATAAAATGATTCACCCAACGAAACCGAGCTATTATAATCTCACAGAGATAAACTTCTTGAAATCAGAAAATCATATGCTTCTTGTAGTCACACAATGCCTTTACCCATGATTATAAAAGATTAGGTTGGAATATTTAATAATGAAATACCATATAATATGTAGTTTTAAAAATATATTCATAAGGGATTTAGCCAAGGAATTCCAATAGCAAGAGTTTTATTAATTCACTTTATTAATGATGCTAAGATTTAAGTGTTCAAATTAAGATTGGCCACTTTTAATAACCCATATTAAAAATAAATTTAAAATCAATTTAGCTTCCATGAAAATATTGGAATCTTTTTTAAATACCATATCATCAAATATTCAATCAAGTATTACTAGTTCCATTTTTATAAACTTAATTAAAGATGCTCAAACGATAATTAAAAATACATAAATTTACAATGAAATTAAAAATAATGAAAAGCTATTTGCCATTCTGAAAAAATTATTATTATTTTCAACTTTAAATTAGTATTGGGTTTAATGTTTGTTGTAATAAGCATTTTAGAATAAAAATTATTAATTTGATGAATAATAAAAAAAATATTTTACTAATCTACTTAAATCGATGATTATTGATGAGAAAGATTTAGTTCAATTAAATTTCGATTCTCAAATAGAAGAAATTTCCTATCCTTTAAATTAATGCTTATTAGAGCTCATATTATCAGCAATCATATAACCTTCTTCAATCGACATGGATTTTATACCCCTAATATTCTAATTTGCATAAGATGTACTGAAACTTTCACCAGCTCATGTTAGTATAACAGTAATTTCTTTAGTTTACTAAAAAATACTTTAACCTGCATTGAGAATAAAAAACCTTGACATCAAGGATGCAGTAATTATTACAGAATAGTTAACTCAATAATTGTGGGATATTATAAGCAAGGAAAAGTTTATCAATCAATCCAAATTATAATTAATATTAAAATAAAAGAATTCAGATAGATTATATAAAGATTTACTAGGACTTACAACTAGTTTTTGGTCTTAATTACCTAGTGACTAATTTTTTCTTTCTGCATTTATGAATTTATTTTATATTGTAGCAAACATTTCACTTGAGTTTATAGAATGCGAAAATATAAATTAATTAATTCTAAAGATTATGGAATAAGCAGGCCACAATTTTTATAGTATGTTCATTAAAAGAGAATAGTATCAACAGAATCAGATATCAGACAAAACTTTTAATTAAGTAGCTAATTTGGTAACTATCATGTGTAAAGAATGTCTTGAATTGAAAGAACAATATTTAGATCATTTTTCAAAAGGGATATAACATCTCTTTACAGATAATTAAAATCATTAGAGTCTCTTCTTCTTTCACTTTATGATTGGTGCATTTTCTGAGATATTTTTAATACTTGAACAAGTTGAACTTTGCATTCAAAAAGCACTCATTTCAGAAGATAAGAATGGAAAGTATTATAATGATATTATAAAGTTCGTTTACTATTTGTTTCGCTTTGGCTTAAATAGATAATTAAATCTTACCAAATAATTTAAATACAAAAGCACTCTAAATTATAGGGCGGTCCTTAGAAATATGGTTTCAATAATCTTAATAAAATACATTAAAAATATTGTAATCTTTACTTTCGAAAGAAAAGTTTCTTGATGATACTCTATCTTTTAAAGAACTTATGCAACAAACATAAACTAAAAGTATAGAAGACTTTTGCTCTATTTTATTTAAATCTTTAGAAGTGTTGCAGTAAGTTTCTAATTTTAAAAATTAAAACATATTTAAAAAAACTATAAATAGCAAAATAGAGCATGTCCTTTACACAGCAATCTAAATGTATTTGGAATAAATGGAATAAAATCTTCAACAAAAATCAGATTAAATAGTACTATGGTTTCCTGTAATTGTTAAGAGTAAATAAAGCCTGCCTTTTGACTAAAAATAATTAGCACAACAATAAATTCATCTTGTTATTGAAATGATGATGAGAATTTGTAATCTTAATTTCCTTTAATAATAATACTAGAATCTAAATGATCAATTGAAACTAGGTGTTCTAGAACATTTGAGTAGTGATTTTAATACTAAAGGAAAAATGATTTGTAAAAATATTTCTAAAATCCTCATATCGGAAATTATTTATCCTAATTTATTTACTCCTATTCATCAAGACTTAAAATCCATGACTGATCCCAAAAGTTATTAATAAAAATCAGAATGGTCTATTCTTTAATAAATAGATGAAATAAAAGATTTTTTTGTAATTTTTAATTAGAAATTGCCATTGAATTATTTTTCTTTATTTTATGAAACATTCATTAATTCATTTTTTGAAGGTACTTATAATTAATAGATTATTAGGATTATTTTATTGTATATTCGATATTAACAAATTATCAAACATCCCTTAAGAGATGTATTTTGAATTGCTTATTTTAGAATTCTAAATTTTATCAAATTTTTTAGAAAAATAAATATCCAACAATGACTTAAATAGAAAAGTTAAATAATAAATAGCTGAAATTAAAGATATATCTAATTGGTTTAGCTTGTCAAATCAACATTTAATAACCACATTTGAATAATACCATTTGCGATAAGACAATAAAAAAATGTGTTCTGCTCTTTATCGAATTATTTTGCTTCGCAAACAAGATTCTAAAATGAAAGATTTCGCAAAAAAATATTAAAAAATTTATGAATGAATTTTAAATTTTTAATTATAATCAATATTTCAATCTGATTTACCAAGCTCAATTTGCCTAATCAATTCAGTAATAAGGAAAGTAAACATTGAGAAATTTGCATTGAAATTTATAAACTGCTAATAAGCTGGTAGAATAAATTAGAAGTTGGAGATTTTTTTAAAAGAAGCAATGATATATACATATAAATCAGATTTCAAAATCTTAATAAAAGATTACAACAAATTAGTGTAAAAGAAAATAAGAAATTAAAAAAGTTTATATGTCTAATTGATAAAGAAGGGGCTTTTCAATAAATATTTACCAAATCTCCTATGTCAGGTTTAATAATAATTTAAATTTGAAAATTAATAATTTAAAATTTTACTAATGTATAATTTTAATATGTAAAATAATTTATTTATATTCATTGTTTGGGAATCTTCGAATAAAGCCTAATATTCTAACAATTTTTATAAAGAATTATTACATAATTAGGGGAAACTTTAATTTTCACTATTTACTTGTTATTACTACATTCAAAATTTCAATTTCCAAATACTTTTCCCTAAATTTCAATTCATTTTATAAACTTAATAGTATAATGTATTTTTAAAATTCGAAAACTATTTAAATTATTTAAGAACATTTTAATATGATCTTATTTCCATCTTTATTGAATGATTTCATCATATTTTCTTCTAAATTCATATTGAGAACTTATTAATTCAGCTATCGTATTATTAATTACAGTCTTAATAAGTTTTATTAAATACCCAGGTTCTTTCCTCTAAACAAACCTAAGTAATTATTTATCCGTTAATTTTCACTATTTGTTGGTACAGCATTAAAGATAGATGATAGTATTTATTTTTTAAATATAATATTCATAAAGATATATATAAATGAAATATAGTCCCTGCTTTAATTTAAAAAGTTTGATTCAATTTCAAATAATTCATTCTAAATAGATAATTGAGATATTTCTTTAAAATTAACTAAAAATTGCTTTTTATGAACAATTGTTAATATTAACAATAATTTTACCTAAATTTTCATTATTTTATTAAGAGTAATTAAAATTCTCCGCAAAAATGATTTCGAAATAGTGGCAATATATCATCAAATTAACAATTATTATTATTAAATAAATGTTTTTAAGTAACAAAAATAATACCATGATTTATTTCTTTTCATGTGAGTACAAGACAGCATAAAATTCATAGAATTTCTCCTTCTAATTTTTAAATGGCATATAAATTAATCATATTATCATATTAAAAACTGTCCTAGATTTTCATAAATCCTTAGCCATCTTTTTCATAAATCTTTAAATTTAACTGCAACAGACAACTTTATCACTATAAATATTTATTATAAAAAATTAAGATTCTATTAAATAAGCAATATCTGTTGGGTTTGTTTTCAACTTTTAATCATCTTTAAATATTGTTTGCTATTTATTTTGAGTGTTCTCTGTACATTTAATTATATATATATTTCTATCATAGTTAGTATTATAATCCCCGAAAATATATTTTTCATTACGCATCTAAGGGTTTTTCTCATCAAAAGATAAGTTAGATGCTAATCTATAATTATTACATGGATATTCTTTTCTTAAAAGATTAAAATCATTATTTGATTGATTTTTTTAAATAAAAAAATATATCCCTGCATTATTTTTATAATAAGAATGTGTAAATTATTGTTCAAACTTAACATATTAAAATAGTTATCTTTGAATTCCAGCACTTCATTTAAATTTATAAAAAATTTCAAGTATATTCATAAAAAAATTCTACTTTCTTTTATTAGACTTCATTAGACTTTTAGTCTTTAACATACCATTTGTGATATGTCTAATTATTCCAACAAAAGAAGATAAATATGAGCCATGCAATGGTTTATTTTTTTCAGAGGAAACCACTTACAAACTCAGTAAGAAAACTCATAATATAAACGAAAAGAATCATATTTTACAAGGATGTTTTATCAATAAAAATGAAGCTACAATGAATTCACAAGAATCATTATTTCAGGCACTCTACAAAATGTATTCAGATAGAAAATAATATGAAGTTTTTTTTTAAATTGATATAATTTAATGGGAGATTGTAAAATATTTTTAAAATGAAAATGAACAAAATCGAGAAGAAATAATTTAAAAAATTTAGACAATTCATGAAAAAGCTTGTGAAAAATTCAAATAATTGAAAGAATCACTTTTTGTTGATTATTAAAATTAGCAGACTAGCTCTTTTTCGGAGTTAATTCCACACAAATGAGGAAGGAATATCAGAACAAAGGATTGATAACTACAGAAAGGAAGATGTTATAAACTTAACTAATTAAAAAATAAATAACTACTTTTGGTGTACTTTTTTTAATCTATTTGTATATTTTTAATGAATTTTTATATAATTATATAGCATAAGATCAGTAATTTTTATGAATATGAGTATAATATAAATAAATAATTATACTAAACAATGGGATTGAATTAAAAAATTAATAATTAATGGTAAATAATCAAAGTGACTACTTTTCTATCTTAAATTTGTATATTTTTAAGGGAATAAAAGCTTTTAATTAAGTTTTAGGAATCTTAGTCTTGGATTTATTGTTTAAATTGGGCTTGTTGAATTATCTGATTTTCATAGAACATTATGACCTAAGTTTAAGGAATAATTTTTGAATGATGGGCACAAATTGTCAGAGGAAGTACAAGAAACCTATGAAAAGTATTGTAACCGATAGTAAAAATTGGCAATTTTGGTCTTATTGTAGCATTTGTATCAATCTCAAGTACTTGAAGATGATGATGAATCATCTATTTCATAAGGATGGAGGGGGAGGAGTAGAGAGAAGATAAATTACTCATGAATTAATTCTCATTTGTTTTAGAGTAAAAAAATCTCAATAATAACATCTAATTTAATTCTAAGGATTATATATTTGACTTTTAAAAATAATTTTGATGTTTAACATTGAAAATAATTAAAGTTTTGAAGTAAAACAGACTTCAAATTTTATAATTTAGATAATACGTAATATAAGAAAATTTAGAAACAATAAATTAAGACAATCAAATACTGCTAATTCCTAAAAAGATTTGAGATAATTAAATGATAAATATATACATTAGATGAATTTCAAAACATCTAACAGCTTTACTTAAAATTAGATTCAAGGCTAAAATATTTTTAATATTAATTAGATTGATTTTTTTAAAGTGAAAATACACCCTTGAATAATTTACATAGACATTGTTATATATTCAATTAAAATAAAAAATATAAAATTAAAAACTTAATAAATATCTTATGATAAATAAATAAAAATGATTAATTTAAATAATGGTATTTGAGTTTAATAAAAAATTTAAAATAATTTTTAGTATCAATATTTATAAATGCTGATACAATTAATATAAAATCCATTTGACAAAAATTATGATAGAGGAAGCTTAACAACAATGGATTGATTTCTGAAAACCATTGCATGTTTATTTTAAAATTGCAAATAGATTGCAGATTTCATAATCAGATATTTTTAGATTTAGATAATTGAGATGATTAAATAAAATTATCATCTTTAGCTAAATTCATGCTGCAATGAATTTAGTAAATGTAGGATCTTTTTAACACAAACAAATAGTATGAGTATTTTATTTTTTTAATTTTTTATTTTAATAAGGCTCATTTTATTATTCTAGATCTTAGAATTATTTTGTTATAACTTTACTTCTTTAAGTGATCTAAATCTATTATTTTCTACTTCTATTTCTAAACTTTTTGTGTTGTTTCCATCATAATAACTTATCCAAAGGTTTAGAGATTACAAATCTTATTGAATTACTAGTTCAAATTTATTTAATTTCTTTTCAATTTAACATAAAAATTTAGTTTTAAAATGACAAATAAATTATATCCAAAAACACGATTATAAAATATCTATTTTTGAAGAGGCTCTTTAATATTTAAACCTAATTTTTGATTCTGATATGGTTGATCTATCAAAAAATAAGAATTATTATACAATTTCAAAAAAATTTATATAATCCAATCAATATTTTATTATTTCTATACTATGGATAACCTCTTCTTGTAATTCTCTTTTAATTTATATTTAATCAATTTGTTATGGCATTTTCTTTGATGTTTAAAAAGATATTTTCATCATTATTAATCATTAATAAAGTATATAATTACTCTGCCACAATTATTTGATTAAGTTAATTAAATAATTACAACAATGGCTTTTCTTTTGAATTAATTTATTTTTTTTGTTTATATTATATTGAATATAAAATTGAATTAGATTTTAATACAGATTAAGAATTTTAGCTTAAACTGAAATATACATAAGGGACTATTATTAGCTATATATGTTGATTTATTTGTTTTATAATAGTTGATATAAGTTTTAAATTTGATTATTATTAACTACTAAGATAGAGAAAAGATACAACAAATAAAAGGATTAATTATAAAAATAATAAATATGATTTTAAAGAATTTATATAGAAGATGGATTAATAATGATAGATGGATAAAAGTGATCTAAATTAATTTGTAATAATATCAGAATTAATATTAGAGAGTAATAATATAGAAATGGATGATAGAATGAAGGATTTATAATTTTATAATGATTAAGTACTAATTAATTTTTTATAATAAATAAAAACAATAACCATTCCAACATGTTTGCTATTATTCAAATATAATAAAGATATCTCTAAAAGCAACAGCAATAGTTTTAAATAACTCAGAATTTCAAGAAAAGGAGATTTATTATCAAGAGGAAATGTTTAATTAGAAGAAATTGTATTCCAGAAATAAGAGAATTAAAGTTACTGTCTGGTTAGCAAATTTAGAAAAAGAATTTAACTGGGTAACCTTAGAATAATCTCCACTACTAAGTAAAAAAGAGAATTAATTTAGAGAGTAACAATTTTTCAGAGTATATCTCAAGAAAAATTAAATAATGCCAATACCTAGAGGAGTTAAATAAAA